GGTTGATTGTCAGGCAGTGCCACGAAGATGGAAATCATGCTATGGGGACGAATCAGACGCTGGCTAAGCTATCAGAACGATATTGGCTGATAAGAGGCAGAGAAGAGATTCGCGAAGTCATAAATAGATGCAACCAGTGCAAGGTGAAAAAGGCAACACCCGCAAAGCAACTTATGGCTCCATTACCATCGATTCGTCTCAAAGAACCACTACGTGCATTTGCAAGAATTGGATTGGATTTTGCAGGACCATACATCACCAAACAAGGACGAGGAAAGAAACAAGCCAAGAGGTACTTGTGTTTATTTACATGTTTACTATCAAGGGCAGTACATTTGGAACTAGCGTATGGGCTGGAAACCAATTCATTTCTTAACGCATTCTACAGAATGGTAAACAGACGAGGATTACCAAGCGAAGTATTGTCGGATAATGGTACAAATTTTGTTGGTGGTAACAAGGAGTTGCAAGAGCTAATTAACCACTTGGATAGAGATAAGATTGAAACTTCAGTTGCTAACAAAGGGATCACATGGTACTTCAATGCTCCTTTAGCACCACACCTGGGAGGAGTCTTCGAAACTATGATAAAAGCAGCTAAAAGAGCAGTAACTGCTATCCTCGGAAAAGCAGATATAACAGACGAGGAGCTTCATACAGCCTTTACAGGTGCGGAAAGTCTATTGAATTCAAGACCATTGACTTATCAAAGTGCTGATATCAAGGATGATGTACCTTTAACTCCTAACCATTTCTTATTTGGACAAGCTGGTGGAAAATTTGCCCCAGAGTCAGTCGACACCGAAGATTACCATCCTTCAAGACGATGGAGACGAGTGCAAGAGCTAGTACGTCACTTTTGGAAGCGTTGGATGAAGGAGTGGTTGCCATCTTTATCGCCGCGCCGTAAATGGAACAAAGAACAAGGCGATTTAAAGGTGAATGATGTTGTGTTGATAATATCACCAGATATCCCAAGAGGAAACTGGCCATTGGGGCGTGTAGTAAAAGTCTTCCCAGGAAGCGATGGACATGTTCGAGTAGTTCAAGTGAAAGTAGGAGCAAAGGAGATAAAACGACCGATTTCAAGACTGTGTCCCCTTGAGTTCAGTAGTGGATAGTGGTGTTTGATGACAGTTTTCATCAAAGAGGGGGAGAATGGACAGAAGAAAACGACTCGAAACTTCTAGAACGCTGGCATCCTGCTGCGACTATGAACGTATTGATAGAAAACAATGAATATATTAGACATGCTGAGTAGACACTTAATAAAAAAGAACAATAAGCTTCGTAATGAACTAATTATAGAAATGTTGCGTCATTCCTTTGTATTTCGTAAAGCGGCATTCCTTTGTAACTGCTTGACCTATTAATTCCCGTGATTTCTTGTTTATTCTGGAACTTTCCATTTAAAATGTATAAAAGTAGCATTTGTACGATTTGAGTAGTAGTTATTAGTTAGTTCGATAGTTAGTCTTTACGCTCTTCGACGATAGACGATTATTATTAAGACTTATTATTGCTCTCATAATCGGAGAGTTATTTTTCTATGATCAATCTTCGGATCACCACCTTTTCAAAAACATTTTTGAAAAGTTTCCGTTAATATCGGAATTCGTTTTTTTCGTCATGAAGCTTCACTTACTTTTTTTATATTGGAGCCTTTTCATTTTGCCCTTTGCGCAAGCAGTTTTCAAATTCATTGGTATTCAGAAAATTATTCAAATCAACGATTCTTTGATGTATACTGCAAACAACTTCGTCGTTTGTATAAGGATATAAGATATAGCTATTGGGTTTCTGGTTGTTAAATTTCTTTTTAGTACATTTTGGTACAATTGGCTAGATTTTCTGTGCAAGCTGTCCTTACGCTGCACAGCAAAATAACAACGAACTTTGTGTCTACCAATAACAGAAACAGATGGCTGCTTCAAATCCTTACATGTGACATTTTTTTGTTTCTTTTTTGCCACAGATTACACAGACTTAGCAACAAGCAGCATAACCCAACGACAGATTCTCCATTTCCGTGCACCGTTTAATATCGTGTACTACTGCCTTCAAACACTAGCTGGAAAAGTGGAGAAGCTGGAAATCCAAGGAAAACAGGCATTTAAAGTCTTTGATGCGATTACGATCTATCAAGAGAAAGGCAGTGTTATTATAGAGGTAACCATTTTTTGTACACAACAGTTTTTTCTCGCTGCCAATTTTCGCTTTAGATTAATGCAGTGGTTGGAATCGAGCTTTTTTATTTGAGAGACAAGTGCAGTGAATTTACAGAAGCACTTATTTTGACGGCTTTTCCTCCCTCCATCCCCCTTTTCAAGTCACAATATATGACTTTTCAGACTTCCTTTTTAAGAGTGATATCTAGTTGAGCGGGGGTAGGGTGAAGCAACGCAACTGTCCCTTTGCTTATCCCTATAATTCTCGCCACTGGATTCACGATTTTTAGTTCTGTCAGTAACATTTTGGATCCCGCTTTAAACTCCTCCTCCCGAAGTATTTTTTCATGATAAGACTGAACGCAATTATCCGAGTTGCGATGAAGTAATGTGACTGTGGAGGATGAATAATTGAAGGATAAGGGAAACTAGAGTTTAGAATCGACTGGTTTATATACTGGATTGCTCGAGTGTGACTAGAATTTGCGAGAATGGTAAGAGCGCTTTAATTTTTAATTAAATAATTAATTAGGTCCTGCAAACGTCAAAAGTCATGTGCACGTCCTCTCTATTATTTCTCCTGCGCAGTTACATTTCCTCTTCGCAACCCAGATTCTCTCTGCATTGTGCGTTTGGTAAAAGGATAGTCTTCTTTAGGAAAGTCATATTCCGCATAGACTTTTGCTCAACGCTTATAACGCCTTAAAACCGCACTTATATGCCACCCGCATCCGGAGGCAGCGAACCATTTCAAAACCAGTTTGAACATGATCCACACACCCGTAGGACCTAACGACTTCCCCTCAGGGAAACATTCATATCCTCTCTGTGTCCACTAACATATAACAGCGTCGGTGGTGTAGCGGTTAGCATGGTTGCCTTCCAAGCAATCGATCCGGGTTCGACTCCCGGCTGACGCATTTTTTGGGGGAAGGGGTCCTTATCCCCTCCTCCGCAGCTACGTAGTGTTAGTGAATCACGCAGTTGACACCACAATGAACTTTAAGTACACTTGTTTATTGAAAAAGTCATCCGTAGTGCACATGCTTTTAAACCATTTTATTTTTTTAAATTTAATTATCTAAAATTATTTTAATTTATTTTTATACCATTTGCACAAGCTATTGATCTTCATAAATCGATTGTTTTCCTTAACATTTCATTTTTGATCCCATTATCAGCCTTAATTAAATATATTTAGTTGACTTCTTGGTATAAAATAAGCAAAAGAAGATAAATCTTAGAAATGAAACGAAAACTTGAATTTGCTATTCTTCTTTCCTAGTGGCCTTCGAATCCTGTCAATGATATGTACGCAGACTGCGTTCTGACTGTCATTTTGCAAGTTGAAGGCAATCCTCAGTTTGTCCAAGGTATGTTCCTAGTATCAACCCTTGCACCTGCTGTGACGTCATTCAGTATCAAACACCCCTGCCCCTTTTAAAGCCCTCTATATTTATACCCCCACTCCTTTGAGCTGTGTGAAATCGCCCAATCTTCTTAATACACTTGCTGTTCAGGGCTGGCGAAACGTATTTGAAAGTGGAGGGGCCAAAATATCAAAGCCTTGAAAGGGCCTACAAAAGCCGCCACCATGGTTGGCGGCAAAAATTTTTTTAGAATTATGGTGTCTTAGGGATGGCCAGAAACTGTATCTAAATAGATTTTAACTGAAGGTTTCGCATAGTCCCGTCTATTGTGATGTTGACTTGAAATAGAAAAGTTTTGCAAAGTTTTAGAAAAACCACTACCATATAGCTCGTGATGAAAACTTTTTTAGATTTTAAAATTATCCGAAATAAGATTGAAAAAAAAGAAACACGGATTAATAAAAAACATTAACGTTTGAAAATGAAAAGAAAAACTATCAACTAGAAATAAAGGGTTAAGCAATTTTGTACTGTTAAGATATAACTTTGTAACATCTGCTCTTAACTTTTTCGGAAATTAAGTGCTTTAACAAAAATTTGAAAAACCTTCAAACAGGGCTTGTCAAAATGAGTTTAAATATAATTTATAATTGCGTCGATATTTTCTCTTTTGTAGTAGGAATGGATTATCCAAACGATCAAACTCCGAAGTTTTCTTGATGATACTTTTTAAGAACAAATCTGCCCATTATTTCCAGCTGTTTCTTTTCCTTCAACAGCTGATTTTTCTCTTTTTGTAATGTTCTGAGAAAGTTTTCGTTCACAAATAGACCCTGTGTGCCAAGTTTGCTAAGCCAAGCTGTTACTCGTTGTAAAACTTAAACAATGACCGATTTCTTCGATCTAATTCCCATATTCAATTTTATGTATGTCTTCTATGGTAAAAACATAGCAACCAAGGTAAAGCTAAGGACACATTTAAGAGAATACTAGGCAAAGTTACTTACGGAATCATATACTGTATTTATTTTCACTTTTGCCTAAAATTTTTCTTTAGCTCTGCAGAAAATCGGGGCCCCCGTTGTCACGGCCCTGCTGTTATGTAGATTGGAAAGGGCACTAAATTGAACACATAAGTTAATTTTATTTAGGGTTTAATAACAAATCAATATAAGATATATTAAATACTTTATTTCTTTGTATCACAGAGAATTTAGGATTAGCCATACGAGCAATCATTTTGTGACACCTACACGTTTCTCTATGTTTTGGCCATGAGGCATTCAGGGCTCTCTCCTCCTCTTGGTATCGTCCTTGTAATGTTAGTTCAGCAGTTCGTAGTTATTGGTTTTATTTTGTTCATGTGAATTTATATATTGGAAATTAAAAAATGTTTATGCTGGGTTGTCTGTCGGAAACATGAATTTTCCTATTCATTCCGAGTAATGGATCTTTATTTCAGCAAACAGGGATCGACATTTTGGCTCAGGCAATTTCCACGAGAGGCTTATGAGTTTGTTGGAAGAGAAATACGGGAAGGAGTTGGTCACTGAAAGTGATGATGGGGTCTCGATTACGATTTCTGTTGACGGGACAATAGCAGTTATCGACTTGGAAACATTGGTATGTTGGCACTGGCCAATTTGATGTTTTGTAATACAAATATTGTTTAAAGGCAATCTGTCTTATTGTGGATTGGTTAACGAGAACAAAAGCTGGAACAATAGCCTAAACACGATTCCAGCGCTCCGCCATTTTTTTCACAATGCGATAAATTAAAGGGGGACTGAAAACAATAAAAATCCCTTTGTTCTTATAACCAATCAACGTCGTGACAGATTGCCTTAAAAGTCTAATGTAACAATTTATGGAAGCATCCCATAACCCCATTATAGCCCAACGCCTACACCATACCACCTTCAAAGCTGGAGTTTATGCATTTCAATAGCAGAGAAATTCAAGGAAGGGGTTCAGAATATTAACAGAATTGTAGCTTAACCAAATAAGGCTTTGGTGGCGCAAATTAGATATGGTTTGGTTTACATATATATGGTTTACAATTTGTTATATAGAAGTAATATTAATGGCTCATTTTCTAAAAAACAGCTATATACAAGTTACGGTAATGATGATCAATATTGTGTGCAAGCCAAGCACAGAGATGCCTTCATAGTATCGAATAATGTCTATATTTGCATTTTACACATGAGCACAACCTGGGTTATCTAAAAGATGTTGTCCGATGGCAAAATTGCTTGTTTTCAAGGTGTTTTCAGACCTGAAAGATCGAGGAGGCTGTTATCTTAGCTGGGCAATGTTGGAAGGAACATGTTGTTTTGCTTTTGAAGTGGACAGATTTGTAATAAATGTTTTTTCTTAGTCCGTAGAGTGTGCCGATGAATCACTGAATCATCTAATCACAACTGCTGTAAACAACTTGAATCAAGCGATGACACCAATCACTTCGTGATTTGCTAGCACTGGCCGAGATCCCGCTCTAGTGCTAATGGCGTAGCCCCAAAACCAAGTAAAACGAGGCTGGTGCTAATACTACAGCAGCTGGTCGTGTATCGATAGGAGGCCAAAAGACTTTTACAGATTTTGGGACAGTTTATGTTGACCGCCGCTAGTTTCGGCAATGATTGCCAGTAAGCTTCTATTGCAAGCTAGTGAAAATCAGTCCATCATACGGTGTTTGTAATTATGCCTTTATGTTATGAAAGCAAGCAGGATTGGAGTTGTATAAAGCGGAGATGTTTTGATGAAGTTTACACTGATCAATCGCACTTATTCTTGTGTTTCACTTTGCCCATCTTATGAATTATAACCAAAGGTCGTGAAAATATCGAAATAGTGAACTGCGATAAGGTTTACAAGTTCTTTAAAAAAAACTCTGAAAAAATTCAAGGCGTTAAGTGCTAGGGTAAGAAGGGGTGTGTTGAAGTTCTGCTTCCACAAGGATAGCCAGGATCTTTTTGAACATCACCATTGGTTGTAAAGGCACTGTGTCCTGCGGCCTTATTTTAAATATCGATTACTTTGTGTTACGATATACGATATACTTGGTTTTTGTTCAGAAAGCAGTTTCGGTTTTAGAAGTGAATTGTATCAAGGTAATCCAGAGGCTGAAGACATCTGTGAAGCTCATCCGTAGAAGTAAAGGGTAGGGTACAACCCCCCCCCCCCTTTGTAAATACCAATATTACTACCTTTTGCTGTTATATTTAGATATTTTTGCGTGAGCCCCTTTGTTCTTTAAAACGCTCAATGTTGTATTTGGTTGTTGATTTATAGACACGTCTCATTTACAAGCTGGGTGGTTTTTCCTCGGCTAGCAAGACTAAAAGAATGTGAAGTTTTAATCGAGAAATATTGGGTGCAATGAAATAATAATTCTCGACGATAGAAGCCCATGTAATCGTGACACAATGTCTCAAACTCTTCCCACATTTTAGACAGGGGAAGAGTTATTTATTGCGTGGTTTGCAATTATGTTTTTGGTTCATTGACGCGCACGACAAGATAAATCTAAAGGGTGTTCTTTTTTGTGAACAAATAAACCGAAACTTTGGGGAAGCAACTGGCGTGTTTTCGTAGCAAAGGCGATACTATGTTCCTCTAGGTGTATTTGCAATTAGCTAGAGTTCACTCGGTGTGATCAGAAGCTGAATTAGAAAACACACGGAGGTTACTGCTAGAAAGCAAAGCAGTTTGATGCAGTTAATGAAAGTGCCAATCATAGAGTGAGTTGGAAGACCGCCTAGTGGGGGGGGGGGGGACCTCGAGGTCTAGGGGTCTCATAAAGTAATGGAATTAATCAAACGTAGCAAAAGTAACACGCTAAAAACAGTAACACGCTTCAAATGATTGCAAGAAATGGCATCAAGAAATATTCTGAAATGCGTTTTAAGCTAACTGAAAGGCGTGATGGAAAAGAAAAATTTGGCGGGGGCCTCGTCTTTCGGTTTTGCCCCATGGCTTCCGAAACCTCCTGGCGGCCCTGGTGAACTGTAATCTCCTTTTCAATTTGTGTTTAACGAAATAATTTAAAACAGGCCTGTTTAATGAGTAACTGGGTAATAAGTTTACGAAAATTTAACAAAAAGTTTAAGAAAATTTGACAAAAAGTTTACGAAAATGTAGCAAAAAGTATGTCATTTAGAAATATCTTATGAATTTCTCCATTCTGATGTTGCCGTAAGATGTTTCTGATGTAGCATCGCACTTCCTATCCAGGGTTTTACTGTGCCTTGTTTTGCCTAAGTTCAAATCAGCTCAAATCAAATCAGCCCATTGTGTTCATCAATTTTTACTTAGCCTTTTACTTGGATTGATTCCCTTTTTTATTATTTCTTCTCGATTCCTTGAAGAAAGTTCCCCTGGAATTTGTTTCTGTTGTGAATTTTTTATGAAAGTGTGAAAAGTAGCATGCATCTATATTCGCACTAACTTGCCAGTTCCGAATTCCCTCGAGATTCCAGGGAAGCTTTATTTCTTTATGGCTTTCTGGCATTGCAATGACTATTACTTTCGATCCAGCAGTCGAGGGATATCCTGAGCTCCAGACCCCAAAGGAAAAGCATTGGGAGTCTGGGCCTCAGGCTATCGAGGGAGCAATGGCTGCTCTTGCAAATGTCTTAGTACACTGACGTCAAATTGAAATTTTGAGTTTAAGAATCCTCATCTTTTCCCGTTGTTGGATTGTTGCTTAGTGATTTGTAGCATTATGAAGCGTTTTTATTCTACCCACGCTGGGCACCAATTCTTATGAACGCTCCAGGATTCGTTTTAGCTATCACGGTGGCATTTTATAGAAGATAAGCTGATAAAGTTATAAACAGATTCACTTAAGATCCTCTTATTTTACTCACTTTGTTAATTTATGACTATATTTAAGGAAACCCACAAATGTCTCTTCGGCAGCTTTCTCGTGGCTGATATTTAGGAAATGACCATCGAACCCACAAAAAACTGCATTGCCTGTCAACCAAAAGCTTAGTGAATAAAATGTTTACACATAATAGAGAATGCACAAGTCTGCATACCTTCTTTTTTATAAGAACCAGTTAATTTTTGCTGAAGCTCAATGTTCTCACTTTTAGATAGTTTGAGGCTCGGGTGTTCTTAATGTTATTTTTTACTTCAACATTGATTTTTTCTAAAACTCTATACTTTTAACTGTTTCTAAGACAATCAGACAACTGTTTTGCATAAAGCTTCTCTATCTTTCAACAGAAGGAAACATTTTAGGTTCGAAGCTGGGCCAGTGGCGGATTTAAGGGGGGGCAACTAGGGGCAGTTGCCCCTCCCTTGACGAGTCGAAGCAAGTCTGGCGCCCCTTTTTTGGAAACAGGGGGAAAAGTTTCTGAGACCGATAGGTTAATTTGTTTCAAGGATTACCTCAAAGTTATGTTGTTTATTCCAAAAATGGATCTAAAATGTTGTATACAGCGTACTCTCGTCATCAACCTCCGATGTTTTTTAAAACTAGATTGTACAATAATAAGAAGCTGACCCTGATCAAGATAATATGTAGTAAATGGCAGTGGCATGCTCCGACAGGACATGCATGGGGAATTAAAGCGTTCCTTCCTTCAACTAGCTTACAGGTCCAGCCTTACCCGACTGGTACCACCTGGCAGGGCTCCCTAGCTCAGGGCTGCGAGCGATGGCCAATGGCTAACTCGGCGGGAGACCGGCAAGGAGGGTGGATGAGCTACGACTCCAAGGGTCAACGGCTTTGGGCGGAAGAACTCCTGGAAAGAGGGATGGTGTCCCTTTAAAAACACTGTAGATGTGGTTCTGGGGGCCCATCTCTACTATTAGCCCCTTAGTTTTATCTATGACCATGACAACAAACCAAAACTCAGTTTTTGGGATAGTTGGAGGGTCATGGAAGCCAGCCTTCTGATAGAAGATAGTACCTGATGATGATGTAGTAAAACCAACTAAAAATGGAGATTTCATCCTAAGTTAAATATTAATCAAAGATGCAAGTGACGTATCCTTTCAGGGACCAAACACGACGTACATTTTAATCACAAAAGCTGCCATTAAGTCGTGTTCAGGATGTCGTGAAGCGGAGCTTTACAGTGTCTTAAAATCTCATAAAAGATATAATCATGATAAATATTTTTATCAGACTGATTTATGGCGATGTTTTTTGCTATGTGGAGGTCGCAGTAATTAGCTCTCAGGTTTTTTGAAGCTACGTAGCAACGTCTCGAAATCGCTTCCTGTTGGTGATGTCGCTGTGGAGCACGACCGGCTTCATGCTGGTGGGATTGAAACATGTCTCTTTTGCAAATTATCTCTCTCCTTGTTATAATTAAGTCACTATGTTGCAGAAATAGGTGTTGGAATTTTGATAATGCTAAAGCAAGGCGTTGTAATGCACGGAAGACAGTCTGGAACTAGCAAGGAAGACATCAGATCGAATTTTCCAACACGCCCGTAAGTGGAAATACATGTCAAAATAATCTGATGATAAACTGCATTTGCAGGAATGATGAATTAGCTTTGGTTGATAAAGATCAAGCAAATAACATAAAATTATTCAGGATTATCTGAGGTATCCGTTCTTGAGGTGGCAATCAATACTTCCAAAGTTAGGAAACAGTCATTAAGAATTTCAAGAGATAGCAAGTGAATCAGCCAGGCCCTTGATCCGAGGTGAAGAACAGAAAGTGGTTTCAAACTTTGCAGCGTGAAGTGCACCATACGATGCAGTTCTCTGAACGTGTAAATATTTGGGTCTACATATTGCTGTTAGCATTTTTGCTAAGTCTTGCTAAAGATGAACTAGTAGATGCCAGAAGAAGGACAAAGAAGGAGAAAAAGGTATTGCAACAGATTTGGTAGTTTGAAAATTTTCGTTTGTATTCTTCAGTATGTATGTGTGCTATATAGGTTGTATGCACCAGTCGTCGCCTGTTGCAGTTTATGTAGATAACTTATGAAATATAAGGGTTGCATTTCTGCTTTTTTTAAACAAGAGTAGCTCAATATAGAGTACGTCGTTTTTGGTGCTTAAAAAACCCATTAGCTTTTAACTGTAACTTTTACAAAACTAGAGTCCTTCCCTGTTTTGTTCTGATCTTTCAAGACTTTTTCTACAGAATTTCTAGAGTTTATAAATACATGTATTTTCTACATTCTTCAAGTTTATAAAATACTAACTGTTACTCTCGAATACTAAACTTCGGGTTTGGATGGTATGTAATCGTGCATCTAGGAAAAATACAATATTTGGCTTGGCTTGGCAGCTATTGCCATGCATTACTTAACAAAACAAAGTAACAGCATTTTATAAGTTGATAGACTAAATAGTCGTGTTCTTCTTGCTTGTTTTCAAGCAGTTTTTTAATGCGGTGCTTAAAACCTGTTTCATTTGGCATGGTAGCAAACAAGAAATCAATTTCAATTTTGCTAGTGAATACATTTTTGCTTCTCGTTTCGTTATGTCTGGTTTTCATTGTTCGGATTTTAATTGGCTAAAGGTCAGTGCTGTTGTCAGCTGAGTGCATTTTTGGCAGGACGTGCAGTCCAAATTAACCAAAAGTCTCTGTTATGGCAACATTGGAGGTCTGCAGGGGTGCAGTAGCACAGAATAGATGTGGCCTGTGGCAGTAGTATCAAAAAATCAAGGAATCCCCCGAAAAATTACTATCCTTGCTTCCTACACATTGCTTTTATTTTTTCCAGTGAATATTATCCATGAAATTTTATCTTGTTGGAAGCAGTGGCTAGTGAACTGCCCTAACTTATGAATGTGTCAACAATTTTTTTTCTCTAAATCCATTTAACACCCTAGACAAGATGTACTAGCAAGATTGATTTGTTCACGCTGATGGCTCGCTATTTCGCCATCGTTATTAAACAGTTTGCAACACGAATTTTGTCATAACAAACATTGCTGAGCAGTGATTTGAAGCCTTGTTGGGAACTTTGTCAGAATGGAGTAAGGAGGTGCTTTAGGGAACCAAACCCCCAATATTTCGGCATCGTTTTCTTCTCTATGCCACAATTTGAGGTTCAAGGCGTGACCCTTCATACCTACTTGTTTACTCTGATCCATGTTCTTGCAAGAACGGAAGCTATGATATCCGTATTGCTTTAAACTGTAAATTTGTGACGGTATATTCAAATAAACGGGTCTCTTTGCTCCTGTTTGCCTGTATCATGAGTCTGTGATGCCGATGGAGGGTATGACAGTAGCATGTTGGTCATAGCAGTTTTGCGGAAATGTCACTTGGTCGGCATGGAGAACACAAAAACTCCTTTGCGTACTGTGCAACAATTTTGATGAGCCTGTCCAATTGAGGGGCAAATTAAAACGAAAATATCCATGATTTTGCGAGGGTCAGAGGGCCACTGTCCTCCCTCTGCCCACCTGGCGTAGGTGTCCTTGCATAAGGGATGATTTTTTCTTGGTATGGTTATTTTACTATTTATGTAATTTCTGATAAATCGTGGAAGTGTACCTGACTTTTGTCAGCGATTTAGGTACCCTTTGACTTTCATAGCCCTTTTTTCACTTTAGTTTAAAATGGTAACATGCAGTACTAGCCATATTAAAGCTAATTTAAACCAACTACACATTTTTTATAAGAACAATTTTATAAGAACACGAGCCTCAAAATTGGTCAAAAGTTAAGAACAAATCAATAACAAGCTGAGGCTGAGCTTCTACAAAGTTTTTTTCTCAAAATCGGGGATTATTAGCGATGTGTGGGTGCTTTTTCGGTGAATATTCAAACCTGTCGGCATATGAAGGTTGTCTCACTCACTTTGTTGGCAAATAAGGCCTGAGTTGACGCAAGAATGTATAAATATATATATATATATATGTTAACAAGTTAAGAATCTAACAACAGTAACAGTAATAAATGAATTACTAAATACACAAATGTACAGAAGGTTCCCTGTAATTTTTTATAGCTCACTTGTCTATATAAATGGTTTGCAAATGCGGCATGAGCAAGAAATCGCTGACATAGTCTGATACTTGCTTTAAATTTGTTTATATTTGAGCTTGAGGTGATTTCTATGGGAATTGAGTCTCTTTTCTGCCTTACTCCATTATCCTTTTGCCCTCGACTTTTGGAGCATTCATATCTTCTTTGCTTTATGGCTAGTTTTGATTTTGAATACAGAAAAACGATTGTTTCATTAGAAAAAGTTTAGTCGATAATCTATTGTCTAAACGAGCAAATATCTTTTGAGCTGGAGGAGCCATTGCTCCCCCTAGCCAGCAGATTAAAGAAAGCCTTGCTCTTGAGAAAGAAAATAACTTTTGTCCAAAGTTATTGTAACAAGCCAATAGCTTTAAATCTTTCAAGTCAATTGCATTTTCTCTTCCAGTGCTCTTTACGAATGACAGAAGATGGACGGTATTCGGTTGTTTGCTCAAAGTCAAAGGTTGGACGCAAGGTAACATATGATAAATTTAAATTCTAACAGTAACATTGACAGTATATAAGCAATTTCCATAACACACAGCTATTCAATTCTATGTATTCCGAATCTGGTTTCAGTTAAAAAAAATGAATTCGTATCACGTCTATTTTATTATTGAATACAGTTATATGGAAACCAGGCTTATCTGAAGCATCTTAATAAGGAAAAATTTTTTTAGAAAATTTCTTGGTTTTCGATCGAAAGTATGGGTATCATATGCTACCTTTCAGCTCTCTGGGCCCATCACCGGACAATGTAAGCTGGAACTCTCTGGGCCCATCTCCGGACAATGAGTGTTTTCAGCTAACGGGAAGAATTGCTTATATTTAAAAGCTACTACTTTAAAAGTCTTTGGAGATTTCTTGTTTATATTTTTCATGTTGATGTAACCCTTTCATCAAGATTTAACATCTAAATTCAATTAATCAGGCGTCAAGAAAAATGGAGCGAAAAACAAAGCAGAACAAATTTGTCAAACCAAAAGTAAGTTGATTTTTTGCTTTTCTTTACAACGTATTTTTCACACCGTCAAATTATTTCACAATTTCAGTATCTCTTAGTCAGGTTCTTCTTATTGCCAGGCACTGCGGGGCAAGGGGGCTAGGGCCCCCTGATTTTTACCAGTAACAGTAGCGTAAAGAATTTAGAAATTGACCATAAGTCAAGCACGTTTTGAATCGGTTTTAGCCCCCAACTTTTCTCAATGCTCCGAAATGCCAGCCATTGCGCCCTTTCCTTTGTCCCTCTCATGGTGGCTTCTTGAATTTCCAGTGCCATTGCCCCTCTTACAGCAACGCCTGTTTTTCTATTGGTATGGCGCTTTACTTCTTACGCTATTTAATTCAATAATCATAGACATCAATTTGATTTCACCATGTCTGAGGTTCCTCGAATTAGCATCAGTTCTACAATAAGAATCATTTGAAACTGTAAGGAGAAGACCAACAAATCGGGACACCTTGACCCCCTTATTTTCAGACAAGGCGCAATTTTGCATCGCCTATTTCTTAGGAGCGCAGTAGGGGCAAAAATCCGGACGAATTTGGTACTTTTTTGGAGCTGTAGCTCCCTGCTTCTTGCATCCACTGCACCCCTTGGTTGCATATTTTACTCATGGGTTACATGGGCAATGGCCTAAATAGATTACGTCTCCAACGTCTTTTTCAAAATGAAAATGTCACCAATTTCGCAATTTTGTAGACATCTGGGAAAGCCGCCATGCTGGAAAAAACATTGGAAACAACAAGAACAGTAAGAAACAAATGGAAACGGGGAGCAATGGTTTGCAGAAACTCATTGACGCCCTGGGTTAGCAAGACTGAATTTCATCATGGTGAAATAACTGTTGGATGTGGTCCACGAGAGCTTCTTCAAAGATTTTCTCTTCAGAAACTGGCACATAAATTAAGATACGAGTACACGTGCTGTAGTTTGTTCTAAGTTGCTAGAAAGTTTTAACTTATCGCTGTATAGCTCTTTATATATTATGCTGACAATTAACGAATTTTATCATCGTTGATAGGTATAAAAATTATGATTCAAAATTTGAATTGTGAAATACGATAAAACCAACCTTAATTGTTTTTAAATTGTAAAGTTATCTAGATTTTATGCTGTCATTCTTAAAGTTCTTAGAAAACCTTCAAGTGAAAATACAGTAGAGTTCATTAAACGTTTTTCTGAAACCTCTCTCTAATATTGACAAGTTGTTAACTTAATGACCGTTGGTAAACTTGCAAAAAATTATCCGGTGATAAAGGGGAATTACTTAAGATTATATTCTTATCAAAGAAAAAATCACTTTCAATCGAAGAAAAATCAACTTGCAAGAGCGACATCAATCACCCCCTCTGCAACTCAAGAAATTACTACAAAGTGACTACGTAAGGTTCGCAATTATATTTTCTCATCCAATTACCCCCCCTCCTTTTGGCAAAACATGGTCCACATTTTATATCTAAAAAACCGATAAAAATGTATTAGGTAGCGGTAGGTCATATTTTTTCAAAATTTACCTGAGTAAAATACACAAGGTATATAAGGCACCGAAATAAGGCAAAAGGGCGTGGTCTAATGGGAAATGCTCATTACCCATTGACCTTGCAGTAGCTAGTGCCACCGTTGTCAATAGGTTGATTATTAGTATCACAGGGCTACCAAAAAGGAGGTCACAGGGCCACCAAAAAGGGGGTCACAGGGCATGCATTTCGGCAAAATTCGTTGTTGATAGTTGATATTAAGCAACATTTTCTACTATATTGCCCCCTCAAGTTGAAGTTTCAGGCATGGCTGTTCAAAGCCAACTAGAAGATTAAGAGGCTAAGCAGAATCAATGTTAACAGCAGGTTTCTTTCTTATGAGTGCCAATAAAAAACGTTCCACAGAATCATTAATTTGATGCTAATCAATTGGAAATTACTATAGTAAAATAAATAGATAAAGCTATAAAAATTACAATTTAATTTACAATTTATTATCTGAAAATATAAATTAAGTGATAAAATTGTTAGATTCTATCTGTACAAAATAAATTAAAATCACAAAGTTGGGGGTTTCATTCAATACCTACTAGCTTTTAATTGGGAAAAAGGATAATTTGAAAGAGGCCAGGCATAAAAAAAGTTTTGTGGGCTGGGGCCAGAAGATTCAGCTAGGAAGATCTGGATGACTGATAGTTGGTGCTAACCAATATCGTCTTTAAACGCATTCCTTAAAAAGGTTTTCTACATTGTTGATTCATTTCATCTTAAAATTCTGAAGTCAATCACAAGCACCACAGAGAAGGGGGAATGGGGGCTATAGCCCCCCACTTTCTCCAAAAGACATCAAGAAGAAAGAAGTGGACCACCAGTCAAGCCTTTTTTACTTGGTTTAGTCTGCCTGCTTTTCTCAACCTCAAAGGTGACTGAATCAAGAGGCTTGTGCCAGGAAAAAACACCCTATAGAATGGCGCATTTCTTGTTGAGGGGCTTCATCAAAAGTTGGGCTGACTTTCTATACTTTATGCCCCACTATAAAGTTCAAGTCATCATCCCTAGAGGTATCTTGTTTCTATTCCTAAGATATTGAGATTCTCTGATACAACAGAAAATTTTGCAGCAAAAAATTGCCTGAACTATGAACTGAAATGATTAGGCTACAGAGTAAAAGGCAGAATATTTTGAAAAGGAAATTGTTATGGCAAAAGAGCATTCTTAAAGTCCAGATTTTGCAGAATTCAATGTTTATAATTTCAATAGTTCAGTTCTCATTGGGAACTGTTTTTGTCATTAATAAACACTCTTTGAGTGGCTATCTTGAGAAGTTTTCAATCTATAATCAAAGAGTATTGCTTTTATTCATCCACAGGGTTAGCCGTCCATATTTCACCCTATTTCCATCTTACAAAATTCATAAATTGTTTAGAATCAATATGCAGCAAAGTTCTATGAATCAGGACTTTCAAAGTAAAATTCTCTTTACTCAAAGTGAGAGGGTATCTAGCCTTCAATGGCCTAGCAGATTCCTTTGATAAATTGAAAAAAGTATTTCTGCATCTTCACTTTTGCAGCTTCACTTTTGCAAGAGTACCAAATCACTCCTTCTGCAAATTGTTTTGACCCATGCTCTGAGGTTCAGAATCTGTATACAGTTTACACTATATAGCACTTGCCAGGATCAAAAACATTGTTGGATATTCTTTAAAGATAGAAAACCGAACCCTAGAAAGTTGGACCATACAGGGTTTAACAGTTAAGCATTGTGCACAGTTTCCCTAGAATGTGTGGCTTCTTCATATGTTGGTGGGTCAACCAACAACTCATTATCTTGACATACCACATCAGAATATGCTGGTGGTGGCTCAACGTTTTCACCTTCTTGATCATCCTCACTTGACACCCATGTTGCCTCTGACACGTTCATTGTTAAATTTGATGCTGCCAATCCTGAAGTTCTATGTGATGCAAGAAAATTACGCATGTTTTCCCGGCTTGCTCTACGATCATTACGTGCCACGATCTCAGCTAGTCTATTCCTCTGGTACCAAGGTACAATAATTCTTTTGCAAAAATGGAAAAACATCCATACCAAAATACTTGCAACTATCAGCACCACTGACCATATAATTCGTTGTGATTGGACCATTTTTTATCAAGGTGGTTTCCTTTCTAGCATCATTATAATGATCAAATCTGCAGCCAATATCAAGAATTTTTTTACTGCAAAAGAGAATTATCAGAATTCCATAAACACAATTGTCTTCAATTATACTTATTATTGTCATTGATTCAATTTTTTAAACGTTGTTGTCATTAATCATTGATAGTAACAAGGCGAATATGAATCTTTATATGGTATTTATTTATGCTAAATATAAATCTTTAAAGACAAATGGCATATAAAATCATAAACCATATTTAATAATAAGATCTAAAACAATTATAGTTAAAAATACATTAGAGAGCTTTGCTTCTTTGTTCAACGTTATATTTAATTAATATTTAAAAAGCTTTAAGATTTGTACAAAATCTGCAATGAGGGGATGGGCCTTGAACTTCAAATAAGGGGGCATTAATCTAAGAAATAAGTGATTATTAATTATCATAAATATACCTTGCTTGAAAGAACACCGGCCTTTGCCACAGGGGAGCCAGGGGGCATGCCCCCATTTTTTTCGCTAAATAAAAGACTAAAATCAGCTTAATATATTTATAAAGATAAACCTTTAGATTACAACAAAACATTGAACCAAAGTCCACACATGAAAAAAATGACTGCCGCAACTAGGAGAGGGGGAAGAGACCATTTTCTTTACATAGCTGATCCCTCCAGTGACCCCCGTTTGGGACTGTTACTGATCAATATACTTCTATTAACAGTAACAATGCTGCTGAAATATATGAATCTTGTTTTGAAGTAAATTCCGAACCAGTAGAACGACCAATAGGTAAGGTCAATTTTGTAACCTTCGACTTTTGACACACTTTTATCTTGCAATTGAAAAAATTACACAGTAAATGGAAAAATTCACGCCACCATTTTTAAAATCAAAGGCGTGAAAGATATGTTATGTTCTCGTATTTGAGCTGAAAAGTGACAATAAAAACAAACCTTTAACTGGGCCTAAAGCAGCCCCAAAGAAGTGTTATAAACAACAGAAGATGTGTTGGCATGGCCCATGCCATATGGGAAAACTACAAATAACACTAACTGTACCAATTGAAAATAAATTTGAATTATATTTACCTGATTTTGATACTTTCAAAGACAAAAATTCAAAAGGAGCTTTCTTTTACATATTTGAATTTGTTTTGGTCCATCATCCAGCAGCATAGTGTACTTACATACCAAGGGCGAAGGTTGCTTGGCGCATGCCCAGCAGCCAAACAAGTCGTCTACATTTATTTCTGTTGTTTTGACCAATAAAACAAAGTTCGTTGTGTGAATAGTATCTGAAACTGAATGTGACAAGAAACAGACGTTCTAACCATCTTAAAAATATTTAAAATCGGGATTTTTTTCAGAAATTTTTCGTGAAATATACCAATATAGCCCATCTGCAAGTATTTGCGAAAAAATTCCGCAAAAATCAGCTCTTGCAAAATTTACTTTCTTTAAAACCATTGGTAGGTGAGAAACTTGAAAAGTGAAGCAAAACTTATCCCTTGCATCTACACTCGGGTCTTTTTAATACGTATCAACTTTCTATAAGTATGTGAAAACAACTTTCTATAAAACGAGGATTGAGGTAACAAAACATTTGAACGCATTTGTTTTAACACTCGAGTTAAACTTGAACGTTCTCTGTTTAAATTCATACACACAGATTTAGATTTTTGCAAAGCAATTTATCATAAAACTTTATGTTGTTGTAAGGAGTCAAACATATTTTTTGTCCTCATAAAATCGTTTTCACGTGTCGCTTATAAAACCATAATTTTGCCATGGCAGGGGCACCTGCCTTTGCATGGCTCAGTGAACTAGTAAATCTTTTACAAAATGTATTATTTTCTGAAATAAGTAAAATTATTTTCAAGTAATTTGAGTTTTTGAGAAAGTATGCTTGCTAGCGAAATGTGGGGGGGGGGTGTGTTTTTTGATTAAAACCCCAACAGCTAGAGCAGGTCGCATTGCCTGCCTGATTGCCTGGTTTGCCAAAATGTAAACAACTGAAAGAAACAATGGCAAACTTTACAAGCACTCATGTATATCTTTATTTGCTTGACATGTTTTTTGAAATGGGATTTTAAAACAGATTTATGAAAAATGTCCTGAAAGCGGGAGGTTGAAAGTGGAAGAACGGGAGAAGGACTCTCAAACCGGGAGACCCCTGCCCAAATCAGGAGAGTTGTGAATAAACATTTTGCCTCTTTGCTTGAGACCCCAAGTTGATTTTCTTTATATTAGGGGGCCTATTAGAACCAACCATGGAACAACAAGCAATTGGCATTTTATTATATATTTTTCATTCCTTTTCCCAAATATTACTTTAGGCAAATATAATAAAATTCACAAGAAAAATCCTTTTTCCTAGTCTCCTACATCGTTTTAAGGAAACCATAATTGTTTCCAAAGGAGGGGTGGAAGGCTGAATTTGCACTTGCAAATTTCTACTGTATTGTATCTTTTGGCAGGGCTTGTACTCCTGTGACCATAATAAACACAGCACCTTGTCTACTTTCCACAGCTTATTAAGATCCCTTGATTTCTGTTCCAGAATTTGTTATCATGACAAGTATACAATAAAGACATTGTGAATGAATAGCTTAAAATCAACAAAAAAATGGCTAAAAATATTGATTGAATTCATAAAAGTCTTTCATCTGTTCCAAATGAGTATGTTGCAGACCTCAACATACTAATTTTGACTCCTTTGTAAAGTAAAACCTAGCTTTCAAGATCTCTTTTTTAAAAACCACAATTTGGAGGCACAACAATAGATTGAATGAATCCAAATACGTAAATTCATGTAATTAGTGTCAGCATCAGTTTAAATACAGTTTCAAATAATCAGAATGATCCATATATTGGCATTAATCTATTGCAAAATAAATAGTAAATCTTTCCTTTATACATTTGATTGTGCAAAAGACTAACCAAGAATAGAAAAAAGGTGCATATATTTATAAAAGATTGAATGTTAAATAAGACTAAGCAACATTCATGGAAAAGGTACTTTGAAAGAATGGGAAACTATAACGCATAAAACAAAGAAGATAGCCCTTTGAAAAAAGTTGTTAAGAAAAATGAAATACAGGAGTCCCTATGTATATTGATAGAATATCATGCAGAAAACGGAGCTCATAAGAGTAAAATGGAACTTGACTTTTGATGTGAAAAGCTACTCACAATTTACACCCATTGGGGCAGAGAGATTCCTGGTAATTGGGAATGTTCTATTTCCTAGGTAACCAATGGGAAATGTTCTAAACCCTGAGCAAGAGGCATAGAAGTTCAGTATTAACCCAAAAGGGCTTTCGCTGCAAAAATTCAAGGTCCAGTTCATTATTGTAAAACATTTGACAACCACACCAAGAACAGAATATTAGCAAAGCAACACCCAGTGGTAGCAATTAGTAATTCTCTTCTAAACTTATCTCAAAGTAAGCTAATCTTGATATAGAATCAATATCTGGTATTTTGAATACAGCTATTTTGATGCTTCTGGATAACTTTTATGTGTACCTTTTAGCTATAGATCAAAGAAGCATGTTGCTAATACATGATCTATCTTTTGCAATTAAACAATGATTAAACATGTTTTTAACATACTTTTAAGCCACAAATGATTGCATTTCTTAATGAAATCACGAGATCAGCATTGTTAGTTATCTACATCAATATAAAACTAAGTTTCATAACATTTAAAAATATTGGTAAAATAATAATGCTAAGATTGTTTAACCAATCAGTTTCCTTTGACAGCATCCTCATAGCTTGGTGGAGGCATGGATTGGTTTGAAAAGTCTGGTTGTTGAATTGTGCCATCATACGATGGAGGGGCTTGTGGAACATATCCTGGTGCCAGTGGAGGGGCTGTAGCTATGCCTTGTCCTGAAACAATTGGTGCTTGTTGCGATGCCAGCTCAGCATGAGAGAGTTCACTTCGATTTTGATTAGCATGGCCATTTTCAAAGTACTTTGCAATGTATTTCTGGTATAATTTGTAACTGATATACAATATTAAAATGATCAAAACAGCGACAGTCACCCATATTACTGCTACTTTTGCTGCCATGATAAAGTCAGAAATTGCTCATAGATAGGTAAGTTTCTCTCCCAACAAGATATCAGTTATTTTTTTCAAAATGTAATGCTCTTATATGACGGATTAAAATAATCTATAGGCTAGCAATTATTTCCACCCATCCAGCCTAACTTCAACACCAACAGATCCAGACATTGAAGTTGCTTCCAGATTTAGCTTCTGATTTCAGAAGAAATCGCCTTTACACATTTGTTCGGCGTCTTTCTTCTCTAGGCTTCTTACTTCAAACGTTTAGTTAATAAACTTTAAAGAAAATCAACCAAACTTAATAAAATTACGTTTGCTGTGTCTGCAGTTTAGCGATTTGGAATCGAGGTTGGAAGGGCGTTTGTGTGGTTTAGCCCCAATGGATGGCGGGGCTTTAGCCCCCCCCACTTTTTGCAAAAATGACAAATATATAGTACTCAACTACCAGTAAAGCCTCTTTTTATAAGGTTTTAGCCCCCCCCACTTTTTTTAGACCCCCCATATTTCTCAACGCTCCACGGTGCCTGCTTCAACGATATGGATACGTGAGAGCTGCAATGCTGTGTGTATGATTGCTGAAAAAGAACAAGGCTTTTTTATAGAGGGTTGTTGTCGTCATTGTTTGACCATAGTTTAAAGAAATGAACTATGCTGGAACTATGCTGGAGCAACGCCTTGATTTAAGTTGTTTTACTTGGCTTCTAAAGAAAAAGTATCTGGCTTTGAAAATAGTACACGCAATATTTTTTTCAAAAAGGTCACTTCTAACACTTTTTCCAAACAGGGGGGCCTGTGCCCCCGTGCCCCTGGCTCCGGCGGCCCTGCACAGCAAAGGCGAATACAGTGACTAGAAAAAGCAGTACAAAGTGAAGTTCAATGTCAAGGGCACTTTAATTTGTACCCGTTGCCTCCCATCCTGTGACGAGACAGGTGGTTGTCCCACGTTCCTATTTGCTTGTGTCTTAGATTTTCAAAGTGTGAATTCATCAAAATTCCATATCTAGAATGTTTACTCTCTAGCCACATAACACTAAGAAATAACACCAAGAAATGCCACTAAAACCTTAAAAAATTAATTAAATTTGTTGCCAATAGATTGCCATGTATAACGAGAGTGAAAACTGAGTATTTTTGCTCATTGCCATTTTGACCTGGTTTATAGATTTTAGAAGGAACATCAGCACAGCTGATTTGTGAAAAAAGAGCACAGCTGATTTGTTTCTTACACATTCAACTGTTTTGTACTCTAAGGCCCTTAATAGAAGGGGATATTGATAATTGTGGGGGTCAGGAATTTTTCAAATAGATTAGCGGGAGGGGGTCTTATTAAATGGGGGGGGGGCTGGAAATGTGAAAAATCTGAAAAATTACGTGATGATTCTTTTTTGGGGTCTAAGTAAGTTTCCAACTTAATTTCTACATACACTGGCATTCATTTACATTAAAAAATCGTGATTACCACAGCAAAGGAAAATTTAGCCATTTATAAAAAGCGTGATAGTGGGTGTAGCCCCAGGAAATCTTAAAGTCTTGGCCAAGATAAACTACAATGTGCAATGTTTTCTTTTCTATGTTAAAACTTTTGTACTACGCAACCTCTTAATTTAAGAGAAACTTTACAGAAATTTCACAGCTGCAAGAAGAAAGGACAAATGAAATAAGGGATATGAATGACTGCATATAAGAATTAATAAACGGGGGATCTAAATAGGCCCCAGGGAGGGGGGGGCTCGGAAAAAACTGGAAAAATGTGAACACGCAGAAACGCTGCGGGAAACCTCGAGATAAACCTGAATGGAACGACAAAGAGGCAACAGCAAAATTGTAGCATCCCAAACGCATTTAGGCCAGTCATTTAAGAGAGGAATAAACCAAGAGTCAGTTGAAAGTTATTGGTCGGATAAAACATGGCTCCAGCTGTTGATAAGACTAAAAAAAGCGCTGAAACGAAGGGAAAAGGCAAGAATGAGAAAAAGGAAGAGCCCGAACTTGTAAGTTTTGTGGTTTCGCATGAGTTTTCATATCATAGCTACCATTATGTAGTGGGCCGACAAATGATGACCAGCCAACAAGTTGTATTTTTGCAATAATAGAAATAAGTACTTTTAATTTTTAACCATATATTATATCAGTCGCTGTTGCTTACTTTATAGGCAACTAAACATAAAAGTACCTGACATTTTTTGATAAATATCGCTTTTTGCCGAGATGCTAATAAATAATGTACTGTAAACTATAACGGTGACCAGGCTACATATATGCCAACATTCTCATATGGGATTTAGGGAGCTTTATTAAAATATGATTGAGAATACCATACAAGTTGGACATGGTTGAAGGCCAGGGGGGGGGGCATTGTGGCAGATGTATTCTAGAAGGGGGCCAGAATGAAACATTTTCCGACAAGATTTCTTTGATTTATTTTATCAAATAGAAGCATTTCATGTTGGTGCCCATAACATCCCGCAACCCTATTATAGGCTGGTAGATTATGATAAAAGCTAAATAAAGTTACTTCCTGAGGCGGCACCATGCTTGCTCCCAAAGGGTAAAATTTTTTTTAATCTTAATGCTTCAAGTTTGCCGGGAATTGCATTCTTTGGAGAAAATTTTGATAGTAAAACTTTGTTCTTAAAATGAATATCTAATGGCGGAAAACAATGATACTGATCCACTTCTCCCTTGTTTTACCTTATGCAACATTATGCCTTCCTTGGTACTGTAAGGCTAAGACTTGCAGAGTCACAGAAACTTGTTTTGGCAAATATTTTGAGTTATTACACGTTAAGGTGGAAATAGTGGGCACTTAGTTAAGGTTGAGCGCTTTTTGTCAATCAAAAAATGTTTAAACATTTGTGAACTGTTCGGATTTCACCAGCAAGATTGAAATACCCTTGAGATTGATTACAAGAATGCACATGTGTGAAAAATATCTCTCTTACAAGAAATTCAAAATCTCTAAAAACTCCCAAATCCTCGAATTGGCCCTCCCCCCCTCCACATCATATAGATCATTTCAAATTTTCACAATACATGTAAATTTTTAAGAAGCTACTATAACTACCAAAAGACTGAGATATTAAAAATGAACTGGAACTTGGAAATTTTCCATTAAGTCAATGAAAATTTCATCCATTTTATTTTTTTAAATGTTAGCAGGTCTTCGGTAAGAATGAAGCAAAATCAGAAAGTAATGTTTTTTGGCTTTTATTTAATTTCACAAAATTTGGTAACTCAAATGAGAAACAATGTTAGAAAGCCATTGAACAGAACAGACAGCCAAATATAATCTTTTAGAAACAAAAGTACTTTCAGTGCTTTATTCTAGCTGTGTATTAAAAAAATTAGAGTAACTGTATTACAGAACTTCTTAAATTGCATCTATCGACTCATAATGCAGCAGTAATCGGCTGACAGGCATGCTATGTTTTTAATTAAAAGATTCCAAGTGTGGAAACATGAAAAACATTTACACTTGCGCTCCCTATTGTTTCATTTTGTTAATAGCAATGAGAAAGCCCACTTCCAAGTATCCTTGAATTGCCATTGGGAAAAATGCATTCCCCTTATAAGATGATCTCTATTAAATCGGGAAGCAGAGTGGGGGGGGGGGTCGGAGTTGCTAATATGCAGATTCTAGTGATATTGGATAGTATCATATATGAATCTATTCAAGGATGTTTTCCTTTTTTGCAGAGTGAGGAAGACAAACAACTACAAGATGAACTCAATATGCTTGTTGAGAGATTATCAGTGAGTCATGATTTTAATGCCTCCATTTCACTCTATTTTGAATGCTTTAGTACTCTTGGTATACTCAAGACTCTTGTTTGATGCTTTTTATCAACTTCTGTGTGCTAGTATAAATATTCTGTTGCATTTATCTGTTTTCACCATGTCTGATTGTTTAAAAATTCAATCAGTATTTGAAAGTTTGAGCTCTCACAATAAATATAAGTGGATTTTGATAAAATGATGTGGGTAATACAAAAATACTTTTTAAGTATCTATGTTTCCTTGGGAATCAATTACACAAACATAATGATTGTTCCTGTCAAAAGGGAAGATAATCTTAGAACATTCGTTCTGTAAAATCCAGGCTCTAAAGTGACACAAGCCATCTCACAACACCCTTAGATTCCAGGTGTATTTTTTATTTATCAATGGCTATTTATCTTATCTTTTGAAAGTTGTTGTAACAAATCCCTCATTCCAGCTTTAGCTCGCTTGTTTGTCAGGTACCTGAAAAGAACACTTTCCATACTGGTGTTTAAAAATTTGCTCAATCTCTTTCATATTGCAGGAGCAAGATGTTTCTCTGCATAAACCAGCTCTCGAAGCTTTAAGAACACAAATCAAAGCCAGCACAAGCTCAATGACATCTGTTCCCAAGCCATTAAAATTCCTAAGGGTTCATCTCAGTACATTAAAAACGCTGCATGAAGGCTGGACAGATCATTCAAACAAAGTAAGTATTTTTTCACCTCCCTGTATTTTAAGAACATTAGCAACAAGTCAAAGAATCTACATAAACATGAAAAACTGCCATTGTGCGGGCAGAAGGAGTTTGTTTTCAACTATGTGATCCATTTTCAATAGGCAAGCTTTACTGATTGGGCAACCTCAGCAGTCATTTGCTTGCAGTTTTGATTGGTCTATTTTGATCAACAACTTGGTATAAATATTTCCTAGTTTAGAGTTTCTGATGTTCAGATGTTTGACTTTTTCTCTTAAGAGGGTCAGATAAAAGGTTTGGAATATTTCAAAATGTGTGCTTTTTTCAAAGCTAATTCTAGATAATTTTGATTATGATAATTTTCCAAAAGCTCTTTTTCACATTAAACTAATAGGTGATTGAAAATTGCTATAATCTTTTTAGATTGTTTTATGCATGATAATAATCCATTATGAAAGAATTGTTGACTTTAACTTATATATCTTTAACTGGTGATTAAGAAACATAGACTTTGAAACAGTAAAGTCGCATTATCTTTTGGCTGATTATCACTTTTATTGCAATTGCTATCCATGTGATTTTGCATTTTTATTAAAGCATCATGGCTTTTTTATTCATTTTCCTGGATTTTTTTGATTGATTATGCTCAAATAATTTCTCCACAGCAATTCCTCTCAGATATAGTATCAGTGCTTGCAATGACATATACGGAAACGAATGACTGTTTGAAGTATAGATTATTGGGGTCTTCTGATCTCTTTACATCTTGGGGACACGAATATGTCAGGTAATTTTATTTTTAAATCCACAAACCTTTTTTTGTACACAGATCTTATAATAAATTTATGCATTTTATCTTGAAGCATTTTTCGTACTTTACAATAAGAATTGCTCTCTCAAATGTCAATAAAATTTTCTTTTACTCTATGGGTATTAAGACTAGCTTGAATCTGCAGTTTGTGAGCTTAGAAGATTCAGGCTTCGTTGTATCACTTTCTGTCATATTTAAGGATTCTATAAGTACATTTGCAATCAGAATGTGGGTACTCTGATTCATTTACGGTAGAAACTGATCCAGGTTAAAAAAAAATTGCTCAATTTTCTGAATGCCAATAACTTGAGGACAATTTTCCTGGTAGTTGAAATTAACCTAGTTCATCACGTAGAAAGGCCGTTGAAAATAAATTAGTTGACTTTATGGAAGAAACATTTAATTTCTAGGCATTTAGCAGAGGCGATAAGACAAGAATATAATGAGCGCATTGGTTCAGAAAAGTCAATAGATGATTTGATTGGTCTAGCCAAAGTGATAATACCATACGACATGCAACACAATGCAGAGATTGATGCCTGTGATTTAGCAATGGAGATTGAAAGGCTTGATTTGCTGGAGGAGTATGTTGATAAGAATACATACAACAGAGTCTGTCTTTACTTGACAAGGTAAGTTAGTGTACAAGCTGGATGTGTTTTAGTTTGTATCATTCTTGTGACTTTTAGATTGTAGCTGAAGGCTTTTGCTCTCAACTATTAAGATTATCAGCAAGGTTGTATGATGCGATGATGGCTCAGTTGTAAGAGGCGCTAACTACAAGGGTCCGTGGTTCATGTCCCTGGCCCCCAGAGTGAGGAGAGTCGCCAGCTCTCTGTAATTCCAGGCATAGGAATCACGAGGTGTGGTCGCATCGAGAGGAAGGACCAGGACACTGCTCGATAAGCATAAGCTTCTCAGTGTTCTAAATACTACCTTCGGATACTAGGTAGAAACAAAAACAAATACAAATTGGTTGTATGGTGGATGTTATCTGTAAAGAGAGAAAAAACACAGCCTCATCAAACATCTCAATCACCGAACATTTTGGATAATTTTGTCATAGGAAACAACCAGTCAAAATCAGTTTTATAAGCTTCTTTGTAGCTATTTCATTTGTTATGCTTTTTGTATTCTTCTTTTGTAGTTGTGTTAACTACGTCCCTGAGCCAGAAGACTCTGCTCTTCTTAATTCGGCAATCAGAATTTTCTTGAGGTTCGATCGCTTTCCTGATGCTGCCATGCTAGCTGTTAGACTCAATGATATGGACAAAGTGAAGGAAATTTTTATGAATAGTGCTGAAAGGTTTGTTGCTTTGGATGCCTGTTCTTTTATCAAATTCTGGATGAAACTATCTGCTACGGAAGTCCAGATTCCCCTAGTCTTGCTTTTTTGCATTGAAGTTTTAGTTTGGTAACATTTTCATTCACCACAGAATATATTCTTTTTTCACAAGGACTGCAAAACGTACAGATATAAGGTGTTAGAGCAGAATCAATTTAAGGATGTCTCCCTACATTTGACATCTTTTATGTTGCATTTTTTGTTGTGTAAAACGTCAGATTCTCCAGTTAAAGTTTAATGCTTCTTCTACAATCCTGGACAGAGGGTGTTGAAATTTTGTAACCCCCATAAAGGTATAAAGCTTTGATTCTCTGTTAAATTTGATACTTGTTCTATCTTTCCTCTTCACATTTGGAACGGTATCTTTATTTTTATCATTTTGTTCGTAGTGACGGGAAGAAACTTGTTCAGAAGCAACTGGCATATATTCTTGGAAGACTAAAGATTTTCTTAGAACTTGATGATGAGGCTGATGATGCGGAAGATCTCACCGAAATTATCTCGAATTCCCACTTGAACAACAACTTTCTAGCCTTAGCTCGTGAGGTAAGATTTCCATAAATGAATGACTGTATAAGTTTCTTATCTGCATACAGCGAAAAGTCTCTAAAACGCATTTTGATTTGTAGAACAGGACGGGTCTAAATTGCTTCTCCGAGTTGCTACACCCCTGAATGCAATCACCAGACAATTGAATTCGTCTTTATTGATGTTGATATTTTACAGCATTGTTGGCTGAACAAAGCGCAAAGATTTTTAGATCGTTTGGAGAAATTTAAAGATTTTCAGCTTTATTTTAAAACCTTTTAAAAAAGCCCACAAAACGCCATGTATGTACCAATGATATGTGTAGGACTTAACTTATTGTTCATAGCCACTGCTAGCAAATCAATTTATTCCGCTCAAAAAAAATTAAATGGTCTAAGAACTGAGTTTTAAATCTATTATTTTTCAAGCTTGACATCATGGAACCAAAGGTGCCAGAAGATGTTTACAAAAGCCATTTAGATGCGCGTGAGTTTAAAGCTATTTTAAATCGTTCTGTTTGACTATAAACGCTTTTTCATTTCGTTTTAATTGCAAAGATTTTTAATTTTTATGCATGGGTAATTTAAATGGGTAATCCAAAATAGGTAATCTCAATGTACCCTGCTAAGAACCCAAAGCTGTATTAAAAAAAGAACAAATTCATTTTCATGATTTAGGAAAATTAAAAAAAAATTCACATCCAGTTAGAAGTTTCACGCCCTTTGTTATTTTAAAGAATTTTTTAGCAATTTCTTGAGAAAGACATTGATTTAAAGGGTAATCAAACGCATCTTTCCTCCTCTCTTGTAATTTTCTATCTTCATTCGGATATAGATGCTCGTGCACATTTTGGTCAGTATGTTTTTATTTTGTTGCTGTTGTTAGTCAGTTTTTTCTGCTTTTAGGCCCATTCAGTACGTCCAGTGTGAAAATGGACAGCGCTAAACAAAACTTAGCATCGTCGTTCGTCAACGGTTTTGTCAATGCAGCATTCGGCAAAGATAAACTGCTTACTGAAGATGGAAATAAATGGATTTACAAACATAATGATCATGGTAGGCCTTTTTTGTTTGCAGGCACAAGCCCCTTGCAAGCGCATGTCATTTGCAGGCCAATGTCCTTTGCAGTTCGAAAAATTTCTATAAAGCACTCAGAATTGATTTTTACTAGAATTCTGATCATAATTCTATGCATGTCAGGTGTTGTTTGTCGTAATGACAGATCTCAGCATAACACATATGTTTTGGCATGGCTCTGCGGTCCTTGACACAGCTTTCAAGACAACACTTCGTTCTTGATTTTTAAAGTGAGCATTTGGCTGCTTGACATTTTGACACTCTTTCTCTCTTTAAGTTCGTGAACCTATAAAACAGTTGACCTGCAGAATGAAAGTTTCAGGAGAATTATATCATCATGTTAATATCTCCTAATTTTTTGGCATCATTTACTTCCTGTTTAGGAATGATGAGTGCAGCAGCAGCTCTTGGTCTAATTCTTCTTTGGGATGTTGACGGGGGTCTAACGCAAATTGATAAATATCTCTATTCACCAGAAGATCACATCAAGGTGCGTATTTAGTATAAAGTACGACAATATAATACATTTATGCAGAAATTATTTGGTGTTTTCCCCTAATAGTGTATCTGTATCTGAAAGCAAGTTACCGTATAAATATACGATATATCTGAAACCTTGTTGACGTTCGACACGAAGAGTATCACGGAAACCTCTTGTTCTTTATTTTTCTCATATGACTTTTTTATTTTATTCTTTTATTTTCTCCTTAATCGCAGGTCTTATCTGTAATCGTAGTTGGTTTTATAAGTTGCACAATAAATTTTTAAAAACTTTATAACTTTTAAAAAGGAATGGGTGAATACAGGCTGATACATCAATTAATGCTTTATGTAGTTAATAGATGTTAGGCTAGGCGTGTCACTTGTCTTCGAAAAGGAGCGTTGATTTTCAGGTCTGGATTAGCCAATAAAAATGAGACAATTGGGTAGGAATATCGCCAGAAAATCTCCCACTGTGGGGTGAAGTATTTTGCATCCCTGATGCGATTTAGCGAGCCTTACTTTGCCCTAGTGAAACAGAATTTTTTTCTTTTTGTAGAGACTGGGGCCAAAATGCTTAGATACTTGGACTGGGGGCCTTAACCCATTTCCAGGCGCCACTTATACAACTGAGACTTTTTATAGTTTCAGTACATTCTATATTTATTAAAGTCCTAATGATTATTTATGTAGACCAAGCCACATTGTCTTTTTGCCACTTGCTTATTGGTTACCATCTTTTAGGCCGGTGCTCTTCTTGCATGTGGAATTGTAAATTCAGGCGTCAAGAACGAATGCGATCCTGCGCTGGCATTGCTGTCTGATTACGTCATGCATAGCAACAACAACATGAGGCTTGGTTCAATAACAGGGTATGTTTGTAGCCTTTGTACAAAGCCATAGCCTGTTAATCCAGCGAATTGAGGTTCCGTAGAATTACGCATGATGTGTCATATTTTAACATTGCCTTTATTTTGGTGTATCCGAATCATTTTGGATGCTAGCTGTGTATCCAGACATTGTTGTGATTTGTAGGACTAAACACAGATTAAACCTAGCATAGTACAAATATGACTATTTTCTGCGCCTTTTCTGTTCTCAGCTCAAACTGAGATAGGATGATTGTTATAGAATTTTTGCGGACCAAAGGTCAGTTGCCTATTTGCCCCCTTCACAGTGGGCAACGTTATACCCACCATGCCTCGTCAGAAAACAGACTAGACCTTGTATAAAAAGTACAAATATAAAATTTCTTCGCCCTGTAAAAAATATTGTTCTCTGCTCAAACTGAGCTAGGATAGTTTTGGTCCCTTTGCCCCTTCTCAGTGGCCCACGCTACCCATTATGTCTCGTCAAAAACATTATCGTTTTGTATTGTAGGACCATACCGTTGGTAAGGATTTTTTTATTAATTCCTTGATTTAAAGTTTGCGGTTAAAATATTTAGCTTAAAAGGCTAATTAAGACACACTATTGGTTGATGTTAGTGGAGAAGTAGACGAAAAGCTTGTATCCACGTATAGGGTGGATGGTGTTTATAATTGGTGGAGACTGTTTAAAGGGCCATTGTACACCCTCTGTTTGCCCATTTAGGTTTGAATTATAAAGCACTAGCCATTCTACCTTGGTTTGGTAATGAATCTTTGCAGATGTATACACGATACATCCTGTTGTGTGACTTTAGAAAGATCTGATTTGAATTTTTCTTTCCAGACTGGGCTTGGCTTACGCTGGATCCAACAGAGAAGATGTTCTTAGTTTTATTTTCCCCGTATTATCCGATTCTAAATCCAGCATGGAGGTATGTCGTGTTATTGCTGGTTCATTCCTTGGTACCTTTAAAGAATGATAAATGAACTTCCAGATACTGCGAGTTACAGCGGGTTACTTCCAGTTTCTTCCCTAATACAGTCGAACTGCTGTCAATCTAACTTTTTGATCTAACTCTGACGATCTAACTCTGACTTTTTTGATCTTATCTAACTTTGATCTAACTGTTAATCTAACTCTAACGTTTTGAAAAACTCTGAAGACTGAAGTAAAGTTATCGGATACCCAGTATTATTCCAGTTTCAATTTAAACATAGAATGACAGTAAAGGTTAAACAGAAAAAATAGAAAACTTTGGTGTTATTAAAATTCAGGTTCTGTTGTATTTGTAGTTTTGGGTGTTTTAATGCTTTTATAAAGCATTAGTGAATAAGTGTAATACTTCAAGCAAACTTTATAATGAAATATGGCACAATTTGCAAATTATTTTAGGCCTGCTAGAGAATGCTTCCTAAAACATCTTCGTTAATTCAAAATGTTCATTTATTGACTTAGAGGATTTAAACTGGTATTACTATTAGGCTGCTTTGGCCTGTGGTCTCATCACGTAATTTCTTTAGGAAACATCACGTAATTTCTTTATAGCCTTCCATTCTTCTGCTTTTCTTCCCAGGTGATTGGCGTGGCAGCTTTGGCCTGTGGTCTCATTGCAATTGGTTCCTGTAATGGTGACGTCACTTCCCTTCTTCTTCAAACAATGATGGAGAGGTCGGCGAGTGAGCTGAAAGAGAGCAGTGCTCGATTCCTGGCGCTTGGCCTTGGTTTAGCGTACTTAGGTGAAGCACCCATTAACATATTTTTCTTATTAGAATATTTTTTTAAAGAGGTTTCTTTACAGTTTTGAAATTCGATGGCCTATAATGTTATGTATGTATACTGTATGGTCTGTTTATTTGTGCAGTCTGTGTTTGGTAGTGAAAATGGTATGAACTCTTTTTGCGTTATTGCGAAAGAGCAAAAACTTAGTATATTATGATATATTTTCTCTCTTCCGATCTATTTTCAAATTTTGCAGTACCGAAGGCATACTAGAACTCTTTTTTGTAAACAGTTTTTTTTGCGAAAAAAAATTCAAATGATAAATTCTTATCCCTTGCTAAAAAGCAAGAATTGATTAATGTTTTCTTATCCATTGCTAAACAGCAAGAAAAAGATGTTTTTCTTTTAAGAGGTTTCACGTTGGGTGCCGGCCCGTTAATGATGAAACACCTCATTGTGATGATGAAACACCTCATTGTTCTACAATTATGTTCTTGGAAACGCTTAATTAATACGCAAAAAGAATTTCTCGCGATTTTAGAACGTACAAATCTGTTCCATTTTTCATTAGTCAATGCAAATTATTAAAACCAGATTGATAATTTCTTAAAAAGGTAAACAAGAAGCTGTAGATGCGACATTGGAAACTCTGAAAGTGGTTGATGAACCATTCGGAAAATGGGCTTCAGTCCTCGTTGATGTGTGCGCCTACGCAGGTTGGTTGGGTTTTTGTATTACAAACCTTCAGAAGTTAAATATCATTTTCTTTGTCACTTTAGCATATATTTATTCGACATTTGCTAGACCTACAGCAATCACCAAATTTCTACTGTTCTGTTTTTTCTTTTTATTTCATTTTTTTTTTTATTTTCTCTTTGAAAGAAAACATTGTTCATTATTTGCTCACATTTTTACAATCTGGATAGAACCGGTTTTATTCTCTTTCGTTGCAAGGAGATGTTCTTTATGGAGGTCACTATTTTGATACTGAAGTCAAATGACTTGAAGTGATAAAACTTAACCGGAACTTCTAATTCTCCGAATTGTTTCCGTATACGTTAAGGACCAGAACAGTGAACTCTTGATGTCCTATGCAAGTTCGTTCCCCTCTGTATTCGTTTTCAAATTTTCTTCTTTTCAAGGAACCGGAAACGTGCTTAAAATCCAAAACCTCCTGCACATATGTAGCGAGCATTTCGAGGGTGATAAATCAAAGGATGAAAAGGATAGCAAAGACAAAAAGGATGACAAAAAGGACAAAAAGAATGAAACAACGGAAGCTGATGGAAGTCATCAGGGAATCGCCACTCTGGGATTGGCTGCGATTTCCATGGGAGAAGACATCGGCATGGAAATGTCTCTTAGGAGTTTTAACCATTTAGTAGGTTTCTTATTTCTTTCATGCTTCTGTGGATACTACTTGTAGACAGAAGTGTAGACAGAAGGAGTTCGCTTTCTCTCATTGACTCCAGTGGTAATTTTTCTGTAAGCACGCAGCTCTGATTCGATAACTAGCCGGTCACGTGCTTGCGTTTCCTGATTGGCCTATTTTGATCCACAACTGGGCATATATTTTTCAGCGTGTTCTTTCGGACCCTTATTCTGACTTTTATACTCTGAGGAGTGTCAGACGAAGAAGCTTTTAGCAGTATGTTGTGAAATGTTTGCTTTTTTTCAAAGCCATTTTCACAGTCAGAATACTGAACTCTTGAAAGATGAAAGTTTTTTTCTTAAGATTATGATGAACTTCTAGCTTTCAAAAACTAGAAATTCAGAAATGTACATTTGTCAAAGTATAGTATGTTGGGTTGCGTTCAGGGCTAGAGCCTTCGCGGGCCTTCCTGGCTCTTAATTCAGACCATAATTTAGAAATAACGAGTTCACTTGAATGCTGCCAGAATTCCTGAAGTTTTAACTCTTGGGCCCTCAATTGACTCCTTTCTAAGACACCTGACTACTCCTTTAGATTTTTTCGCTCAGCTTGATGCATCTGTTTGACGGTCTAGTTATCTTTCTTTCTTAGCTACAATATGGAGAGCCCGTCATACGCAGATCGGTTCCACTGGCACTAGGGTTGCTGTCAGCCTCGAATCCACGTTTAAGCATTATTGACACACTGAGCAAGTTGTCTCATGATCATGATGTCGAGGTTGCCCATAATTCGATTTTCGCCATGGGTGTTGTTGGGGCTGGTGAGTAGCACCGTTATTTGGTTTTGGTCAGGAACACATGAAACTTTTCTGTTTCTGCTCAAAGATTTGTAGGTTGAATCTCAGTGGTTTCATGACCAAACGAAGATAACAGACGAATCTTTAAGCAAAGATAGTAATAATAATAATGATAATAATAATAATAATAATTATAATTATAATTATAATGATAATAATCATGTTGATAATAATAATCATGATCAAACTTTTTCACTGAAAACAATGAATATGCATGCAATATTTCGGATCTTCATTCCAACCTTAATAAATTTATTCCGTACCTAATAACCGTAAGGACGTTCAATCGGCCGAACCGTTCAATTTTGATTTTTTAATTACAATCCATCGATTTCTACAAAGGCATTTTCAAGGCGTTTCCGTTATCGAGCTTTAAATTTCAATGAAGCAGTAAGTGCTCTACTTTTGAAAAAGAGATTGATCAGAAATATCGTAAAATATTGATGATTTATCTAATGGAAGGTCCTCTACTGCGCTGAAAATACCCTGTAGAGGATGCGATGAGATAGTGGTAGCAATGAGGTTTTAAATTATAAAGGGTCATTGTTTGTGATTAAGACTTTGTGCACACGGACACGTTTTCAAATAATGCAAACATTTCTTCACGTCTATACGACAAGAGATAATTGTGAGACTGAAAGTAAAGTTTTGGAATGCCTTCCAGAGAGCTCTTTCGAAAAGATGCCGCGTCCATTATGGCACAAAACGTTGATTTGTTTTCATTTATAAAGAAATTTAGAAAAAATTTTGAAAATGTTTGTATACGGAGGTGCAGTTTTCTACATTAAGTATTACATTTTGCAATGGAGCACCTTAGTTGCAGTTCCTACGTTTCTTGAAACTCGTAATGAAAATTCTTGAAATAATTGTTGCGTCGTTTACCTGGTTTGAAGCACAAAAATCAGAGGGTTTCCTGGTTTTGTTTTGTCCTCATTCTGCTTTTATTATTGACAAAATGACATTAATATGTTTATGTGATACTTTCAACTGCAAAGTTAATGTTACGAAAGTTTATCAGATTATTAAGAAATATTTCTATATGAATTGAGTTTTTAAGTTTTCATATCTATTATTATCCCTCAGTATCTAAATGTGCATTAGTAGGCTTCAATACTTTCTGAATCGTCTAGCAAATTGCATTATAAGCTAAGCAAAGTAAATCGTTAAGGCTATTACACAATTTATTTTTAAGGCTCAAATAATGCAAGACTGGCTGGAATGCTCAGGCAGTTAGCTTCATATTACCATAAAGATGCTAGCAACTTGTTCATGGTTCGCCTGGCGCAAGTAAGTTTTTATGTATATCGTGTTGGTTTTCTTGTTAGTTACTTTGGTCAAAAACTTTAATTAGTTAGTTAGTTAGTTAGTTAGTTAGTTAGCTAGCTAGTTAGTTAGTTAGTTAATTAGTTAGTTAGTTAATTAGTTAGTTAGTTAGTTAGTTAGTTAGTTAGTTAGCTAGTTAGTTAGTTAGTTAATTAGTTAGTTAGTTAATTAATTAATTAGTTAGTTAGTTAGTTAGTTAGTTAGTTAGCTAGCTAGCTAGTTAGTTAGCTAGTTAGTTAGTTAGTTAATTAGTTAGTTAGTTAGTTAGTTAGTTAGTTAGTTATTTATTTGGTTTGTTAGTTGGCTAGATATTTCGCTAGTTACGTATTCAGTTAGTTAGTTAGCTAGTTAGTTAGTTATTTGGTTTGTTAGTTGGTTAGATATTTCGCTAGTTACGTATTCAGTTAGTTAGTTAGTTAGTTAGTTAGTTAGTTAGTTAGTTAGTTAGTTAGTTAGTTAGTTAGTTAGTTAGTTAGTTAGTTAGTTAGTTAGTTAGTTAGTTAGCTAGTTAGCTAGTTAGCTAGTTAGCTAGTTAGCTAGTTAGCTAGTTAGCTAGTTAGCTAGTTATTTGGTTTGTTAGTTGGTTAGATATTTCGCTAGTTACGTATTCAGTTAGTTATTTAGTTAGTTAGTTAGTTAGTTAGTTAGTTAGTTAGTTAGTTAGTTAGTTAGTTAGTTAGTTAGTTAGTTAGTTAGTTAGTTAGTTAGTTAGTTAGTTAGTTAGTTAGTTAGCTAGTTAGCTAGTTATTTGGTTTGTTAGTTGGTTAGATATTTCGCTAGTTACGTATTCAGTTAGTTATTTAGTTAAATTATTACTTAGTTAGTTGTTCGTTAGTTTACTTATTTAACAGGTTGAAAACAAAGTTAAAATTAACTTTAAACTTTTGCGAATTCAAACATGTGCTCTTTTTCCAGGGATTAGTTCATCTTGGTAAAGGAACGTTGACTGTCAGCCCATATCAGTATGATAGAGCATACATGTCCCCCGTCGCTGTTGGAGGCTTATTAGCCACTCTCGTAGCATTTTTAGACGTCAAACAAAGTAAGATTCTAAGCATTGCTTATTTTCTGTTTTGATCTCTAAGGGGGGGATGCTACGATTTCTTGAAGGAGTTTGTCTTGAAAAGTTTTGAACATTTGCCCTTAATTGGGTTCACACCTGTTTATAATGATGTTTGCAAGTTCCATTTTTCGAATCTACAAAACTGAAACATTGGACCGTCCAAAATTGATTTCAGAGGCCTTCATTAGCTGTTAATTTGAGCTCTCCTTAGCTTTGCGAGCTAATGATTTTACAAAAATGCAGTTTTCTGTTATGTTTAGTACAGAAATCCTCAAGGTAATTCTGCTTCACATGTCATGTAAGTGAAGTATTTTTCCAGTATTTTAGTGACATGTATTCGGCCTCGTTTTCAGCCATTCTTGGGAAGTCGCATTACCTCTTGTACTTTATGGTCGCTGCCATGCAACCACGAATGTTGGTGACGTTTAATGAAGAATTGAAACCTACGCCAGTTTCTGTTAGAGTTGGACAGGTATGACCTCCCATACATAACTTAGTTCTCTTAAAATCTACTTGAATAACGGTGAAAAAATCTACTTGATCAAATAGCACATTAAAAAACGTCTAGACTTCATTTAATAACTTCTTAGCACATTGAATTATCCTGTGCTTTTGATGTAGAGAAAACGCTTATTCCAGAATTTACTTAAAATTTGTCTCCTGTATTGAAATTTGATCTAGTTAACAGCCATGTTTTGGATCTCAAAGTACCGTTACCAATCAATGAATGTGCCTTTAGTCCTCCGCATTCCCCAGAAGTCCACTGTGATGGAGTAGGCCTATAATCCTTACCAAAAATCGTTGGAACTCCCCTATATTCACGTTCGAAAATTGATAACCTCCGGGTTTAACTACCTCTCCAAGTCATGGACGCTGTCGCTATATCCCCCCTTTTACCCGTGTAAAATGTTGGTTTCTTAACTAGATGTGCTTATGATTCAAATTATGGTTGGATTGTCATTAAAAATCTTGTAGTATTTATATTAATAATTAATCAGCCATAAACGTTTATTGAAAAGGTGTTCCAACAATTTTGGCACGGATTGCACGTAGCATCAGATATTCTAAATTTCCCCTCAAACTAACCTTCTTTGTTTATTTTATTACGTCATTTTTGTGTTTAACCAACAGGCAGTAGATGTTGTAGGACAGGCAGGAAAACCAAAAACAATAACTGGTTTCCAAACACACACAACGCCAGTTTTATTAGCCCACGGCGAACGAGCTGAGTTGGCAACAGAAGAATGTATCCTTTCATTGTTTTGATTGTAGGAATTATTCTTGCATCGTTAGGTCCGTTTTGTCCATTATAAACTGTTCTCTTATTTATGCTGGGTTTTTTAAGTTAGTTATTTTAGAGAGAGGCCCAGGAAGCCTTTAAAGGAAAAAGAGGGAAAGGCTAAAAGAGAGGGAGGCGAGATCAAGTTTGTTGATTTTAGTTTTAAAAGAAAACTGGGTGTAAGAATTCCAGGAGCAACAAGAGGTAAACTTTTCCAAAGTTTACAAACTTTGGGAATGAAAGATGAGTTGTGGAGCAGAGTTCGTGAATTGGGAAAGACACTTGGAATAGATAAGTACTGGGAGAGTTTCCAGTGTTTTTGGGACTTCTCGGGTGGGACCAATGTTTTGGCAGTATCTGGAAAAGATCGATACGTAATCAAAACAACGCCGTTGAGAAAGAGGCTGGGAGGACTTGTAAGACTAGAGTTGTTGATGAAGCGAATGGCTTTTGACTGTTTCAGTCTCTTTCTGACGATCAAATGGCTTTACTGTAAGATGCATTGACACTCATATCTTACTTCGTTAGCATTGTCAACTTATGTTGCATGATGACTTTTGTTATTCCGGTACTTTTGAGTGCTTGAAAGACTTAATGTAAACCGAAAATTGGCTCATTTGCTACAAGGAAAATAGCGGCCATACATCGGTTTTATTAAGCCATTGATTGAAATTCAATTGAAAATTATTTGTTTAATTGAAAATTCTTTAACTCTTGTGAAGATATTTCGTTGTCACCAGTTATGGAAGGGTTTGTTATTTTAAAGAAGAATCCAGAATATGACGAAGAGGATACGAAAAAATAGAACGTATTGAGAGTTGTAATTCACCAAAAAAAACCCAAGCTAGGGCTGTAAAGCTCTATCGAGGCCCAAACGTGGGCGTGTATTTAGTTTTCAAATTCAGACACTTTTCAAGATTATCTCTAGCGATTTCACTCTTGGTTCATTAATAAAAAATAGAATAGTTTTGGTGTCTTTATTTTCATTTCCTGCAGCTTTTATTGACAATCTTTTTAAGAAGCAGATCTACAACTTTTGAAAGAAATTTTTATGTAAAATTAAAGGAGAAAATATACTGTTATGAATTGAATGATAGTGGAATTTAATCATTAAACTCCAGCAAGAAAATGTTTATGCTATCCTGGATGATTGTTTATATAAAGCCGATGTTGACAAATGTCGTCGATATAAACAATATTGTGGGATTTACATTGGAATAGCTGAAAATTACCAAATTGAGAAACTAAAGGACCTTGCCGTGGAATGAAACTGTATCAGAAAAGTATCAAATTGATTTTTACTTAAATTAAATCGAGTAAAAGTTGAGATTTTCTGCAGCAGTGCACTTTCGAATAACGAGGGGGTGTGCATATATTTTTGGAGATTAATTGACGATTTCAACTTTCCACAGAAATGCGTGGTAAGGAAAAACAAGCATCTCAGGACCGCCCAGGATTCTCCTTTGCCCTTTTCTGAGCTGCAACATCCAAATGAATTTTCTAATTGTATGGGGGATTCTTCTGTGGTTCCTCTTTAAATCATTAAACATTTTAAATGTGTAAATAAAGGAAAGGCCACGATAGCAGGCTGCTCGACGGACTCCGATCGATGGAATTATTGCAGCGATAAAAATGTACCAAATAAGGAACACTGCAAAGCGCCGAGAACAGACAACCACACGTAGATTAGCTTTTAAACAATTTAAGGTTACACACTTTTTATCAGAATATAGTTTCTAAAAATGTTGAGGCTCAAAATCGCTGAAATTTAAGAATAATTCAAGAATAATGCAAAGCTCAAGCTTCATCATCAATAATAAGGTGTTTTGTTTATTTGAGCTTTCTGGAAAGCAAAACAGATGTGAGTTTCGCGCTGTATCCCTTGAAGTAGATATATCTAGACGTATGCGACCTTGGAGTAATAAACACAATACTGCTACTCAGTTACACCCTGTGTTGCTTCAGAATAATTTCAGAATAATCTTAGACTCAAAACAAAAAAATAAGAATATAGCTCAGCTAAAATTAGGTGTTCTTATGAAAAACGTGTATGTAATTGGAATTTATGTTTAGAATTACCCTTCAAAATAGTTCAGTGCTTGAAAACGAGTATTAAATTGCATCCAAATAATACGGATCTTTGTAGTGTTTCAAAACAAGTTGTTAAATGCTTACTCGCCCCTTCCTGGTCATTGAACCCTTTCTTATTTCTAGTGCGACCCGTTATGGTTGAGTGACTAAGTCACTGATCAAATCAGAGCTGTCTAGTTTCCATACTGCTCGACCTGATGACGTAATTAGTTTATCCTAACCCTAACCCTAACCCTTTACTTGAAATAATTAATCATACTAATTTATGACTATGAATCATGACTATCAGGTCGAACAATACTAGACAATTCCGATCAAATCAAGGAAATCGAAATAGCCTCTTCACAGTAATGAGGCTTGGTAGAACATCCCGGATGAATATCACACGCCTTTGAAAGACTGGCCTCTTCGAACTATCACTTTTAGGGCTGGTGGTAGTGGAAGGCTGCGACAAACTAATTCAGACAACGTTGCTTTGGTATTGTCACAACATCTTTTACAAAAATGGATGAAGAGTATGATGTTATTGTTCTCGGTACTGGTCTGACAGAATGCATTTTGAGCGGCATTCTATCAGTGGAAGGCAAGAAAGTCTTGCATATGGACAAGAACTCGTACTATGGAGGAGAAAGTGCATCTTTGTGCCCACTTGAAGATCTTTATAAGCACTTTAAAAAGCCGCCACAAGAAGGAAAGTTTGGGAGGGGACGCGATTGGAATGTAGATCTTGTTCCAAAGTTTATTATGGCTGGAGGAGAGCTCACAAAGTTTTTAATCTTCACCGATGTGACGAAGTACCTCGAGTTTAAACAGGTTGAAGGAAGCTACGTTTACAAGGGTGGGCAGGTTTACAAAGTTCCTGCCAACGAAAAGGAAGCACTTGCATCTAGTCTGATGGGTATTTTTGAGAAAAGAAGGTTTCAGAAGTTCTTATATTGGGTAACTAATTTCGACGAAAGTGTAGAGAAGACTTGGCAAGGCTTGGATCCACACAAAGTTTCAATGGACGAAGTTTACAAGAAATTCGGTCTGGATTCCAACACAGCTGACTTTACTGGCCATGCCATCGCTCTTTTTTTAGATGATTCCTACAAGTCGCAGTCGTACCTGGAAGCCGTTAAACGCATCAAGCTTTATTATACATCATTGAGTATGTACGGAAGCTCGCCATACATTTATCCCCTTTACGGCCTAGGCGAGCTACCTCAAGGGTTTGCTCGACTGAGTGCTGTTTATGGCGGTACCTACATGTTGAATAAGCCATCGAAAGAAATCGTTACAGACGAAAATGGTGTCTTTATTGGTGTAAAATCAGTATCCGAAGTGGAGAAGAAGAGGTGGCCAGAGGGAAAATGGTTATTGGTGACCCCTCCTACTTCAGTGATCGCGTTAAGAAAGTTGGTCAAGTTGTTCGGGCAATTTGCATTTTAAAACACCCAATTCCAAACACCAAAGATGCCACTGCATGCCAGTTGATCATTCCCCAAAATCAAGTCAACAGAAAATCTGGTAGTTATATATTTTTAAATAGGATTTTGTATGCATAAAATTGTTTGAAAACTTACCCTATAAATATTTTGCTTTGTTGCCAATGAAAAATCAAATAACACCTGTCATGAATATTTCTCTGCTTATACAAAAGAAGGCATCAGTATCTGGAAGCAGATGTTTTGTTGAAAAACAAAAGGCAGCAAATTGTAATCTGCTAATTATGAGCTTGGCAATCTTTGAATTTGCCCTGTTCTTTGCTGAATTTTATTGTTTGTTTTGTAATCAAGCTTTAAAATTCTGATTATTAATTGCTCAATTTATTATTTAATGCTATCTATGTTATAAAAAAGGTCATATACACCTTCACCAGTCTGTAAAGTTTAGTCTTAACTGGAAATGCGTTCCCTGCTCAATAATTTTTATTCTTCATTTGCCCGCGCATTATTAAGAATCTGCTGTGATTCCACGCACAATTTTTGTTTATCTGGTCATTCCTCACAAATTTTCCACCATTTAAACTTCTGACTTTTGATAACAAGAAAAAACAAAGAATACAAGGTCTCTTCAAAAGCCTTTGCTACAGATTTCATTCACGATTTTGTGGTAAATTTCAATATTAATGTTCTGGCGTTCCTGCACAGAAAAATTCTTTGAAGTCTGGTATCTGTACATTTATATGTATAAATATAATGTTAAATGTTTTTGTTAAATGCTTGAAGGCAAATTGCAAAATGTTTAACAGTTATATACATATATACTATTTAGTTATCAATCTTTCAGCACCAACATTCACAGAGAGCTATTTTCTTATAGATATTTATGTCTGCTTGGTTTCATACACTCACAATGTTGCCAGCCCAGGTCACTACATTGCAATGGTCAGTACAACAGTGGAGACATCTAATCCTGAAGAAGAACTCAATCCAGGATTAAAGCTTCTGGGAGTAATAGAAGAAAAGTTTGTCTCAGTTAGTGATATTTATCACCCCACTGATGATGGTACAAATCAAAGGTCAGTGTTCTAGCCAAATCATCATTTTGCATTAATGCACAACACCAGTTAATGTAAACTTTCAAGTAGGCTAAGGATTAGACACATGACAGAAATGTACTTTAATAAGTGGGAAGGTGGTGACCCTTTGACCCCATGCTCCTTTTTGGCTTCTGTGTCACTCTTTGGTATTGCCCCTGATGTCATACTGGTTTCTTAAGCTTATATTTGTAAATTTCCTATTTCTCATATAGTCTCTTATTATAAACTAATAACTACAGCAAATTTCTTTACAAGTGTTAAGTTCGGAAAATTTCCAGTTCCATTCTGCAACCTTGAAAACCAAATGATCTTAAAAGAATAAAGTTTTTGTAAAGCTGCTATAAAACTTTCAGCCAGGATTCATCTTTTATAAAGCCAAAATTCGAATTTTTGTTCTTAAAGATTTAAGGGATTAAAACAGGTAGAGCCAATAGATAAATACTCTCTTGTAATGTGATTAAATTTCACTATTTAAAAACTTGACAATATATATATTAAATTGAGAAGAAAAATAATTATTTCTTAAGAGGCAGTTTACATGAGAAATTGAAGTCTTTCTTGGCTTAAACAAAGGCTGAGTTTTAACTTGGTTGAAGGTGTAAGCCTTTAAAACATTTATATTCATGATAAAATCTCAGCACAGTCTGAACTCAGCATAGCATCTTACCCAGCCTTAATTTCAATATGGAATGAAATTGTTATGTATTAATTTCAGTTTAGAGTGCGGTGAAATGCAAGAAGTAAATAGTCAGAAATTTTTTTTATTATATTTTGCATTATTTTTTATGTTTATATATATATATAATAATAAAGTGTGACCTAATCTCAACTCAGGTTCAAGTTACTCATGTAAACAACCTCTAATGGAAAGCTGATAGTTTTAAGCTTTCCATCAAGCTGATGCTTTTTCAAACTTCCCTGCTGTGTTTTATCTCCACCAAGAGAAGTCATCCATTTTTATTTTTTGGAAAAAATGTGGGCCTAAAGTTAAACCCCAAATTCACAATAAAAACCACAATTCAATTGCCTAAACAGAAACTGAATAATGTGGAGTTAATGCTTTTAAAACAAATTCAATCCATCAACAGAATTGTTTATCCCCTGATTGCCATTGGGCACAAAGCATGAATAAAATGTTTTGTGAGTTTTCCATAACTTTAGATGATGACCTAGAACAGGCCTTTTGTAAAGAAATTCTTGATAGGGCACCCAACTGCCTGCGTAAATCAGCTTACAAGGGCAATTGCCTATCCAACAATATTTGTTAAACAAAGTCTTTCAGGACCTGAGGGGGAAGTAGGGTATTATCTGCTTACAACTGCCTAACCTTTGATTATTTGATTTAATGATCTATAATGTCAACAATGGAGAAATTGTGATTTGTTTTCATTGGCAACTTAGCCTTTCATCCAGGAATACTGCAACTTTTACCAGGAACAGACAAAGAGAAAACATGTTAATATTAACCAGCTAAGTAAAAACATGAAGATAAAATTTGAAATCAATCAAAAACACCATCTGCAAGTTTGCTTTTTCAAAGTTCTTGTTCTAAGTATGAATCATAATCATATTCCAACTCTGTTGAAGAATTGTCTCCCTCATCACCTCTGACAATGTCATCTGGCTTGCCCGAGCCAGGGTTGGGGGCGGGGCAGGGCTGGGCTGTAGTCCCCAGACTCTTTTGTTTAAGTCTTATATCAAGGTTGTGGCATTAAAGATAATGATAAATTGACATCAAATATCAAATAAATTGACAAGAAACATAGTAAAATGTGTCATATACTTTTCCCTAAATATACCTTTCCTTTTTCTTGCGGCCAAGATGTATTTTGGGAAGGCTAGCAAAAGCCGCAATCCATGAGGGCGATTGCCAGCATGAAGTAAAAAGGCCTGCCGGGAAGATAGAAGGGGTTTGTGTATAATTTGCCCAAATTTGACACCTGTTCCATTTCAAGGATTTATTCAAGGTAGTGTTCATATATTTGAAATGACTGCTAAATGTCTTAGCTATACCTGTAAAATCATAGCTTTCATATCATTTTTTGACTTTTAGATCCTAATTTCAAAGTCTTATGACCCAACTACTCACTTTGAAACAACTGTTGAAGACATCAAAGACATTTACAAGAGGGCAACTGACTGCGAGTTTGACATGTCAAAAGTACAAGGGAAAATTGAGAGCACAAAATCTGATGGACAGTAATTATACACATGAATTTGAATAAAGGACACTAAAAAACATAGTTTTTAGGTTAAATTGTGAAATTTCTATTTAGCATTCCATTGATTATGAATTGAACTTCTGTTAAGTTATACTTCTTCCCCAAGATATCTTGGCAATTTTACAGATTAATGATAAACTCAGAAAAGTATATACAATATTATACTGTTTTTTCCACCCCCTAGTCCAGCCTGAGTTCATTGTTATTCCTACTCCATACATCCTAAGATTCTTTGTAATTTTGATGTCCTTCTGTCGCTTCCAGTCAAGAAAGTAATGGTAATAATATTTGGGTTTAGGAAAATCATAGTCATTTAGATAATGACATCACATCTTGAAAGATTAAAGGTTGTGAAGATAGATTCAGTTTTCTTCAAGTTTCCTCCTCTTTGCATGTACTAGTTTAATTCTGTGGTCACTTACTGTCAATTGCAGTCAATTGTAGTTTTGGAGTAATTATCAATCTCAAATTGTTGATTTCAGTTTTGCCTATCAATTGAATTGCTAAATTGCCATTTCTTTGCAAAGGTTGGCAAAACTTATCTCAACCATGAAAATTGTCTTGTATATTTTAAAACCTTTAATGAAATAAGACTATTATCATATTCTTTTCTTGGGAAGAGATGGAGAAACGTTTTGTTTATGATTAATGCTTAATAGTCTAAAATGGTTAATCGGTGATTTTTCAATGTGTGGTTTCTTTAGTTTGTCAGAATTCAAGTGGCACCTAATACTAGAAATTGATTTCAATCAATTATTTTAGCTTTACATCAGTTTATCTACCAGATTGTTTGAAGATTATAGAACATCTGGTTTTTTGTCTCAAAAGAAGGCCTTTTAAGTCAATGAGGTTGAACATTGGAAAGTACTAATTTGAGTTTACAAAATCTCACACGTAAATACAATTTCTTCCATAGAGGTAAACATTGCAAAGGAATTATAAGGGTCAAAGGGTAACTGCCAATCAAAGTAACATTGAAATCAGTAATTCCAATGTGCTGTTTTTATACAAAAGCGTTTGTAGCTTATAAAAGGCCCTAACCCTTCTTCAAGTTGACTTGCATGGCTGTCAAACTTTAATTTGTTTTGGAACCTACTACAGTATTCCTTTCTTGTTATAAGCAACCATACCTGACAGACAGGGGCAAAACTGAAGTTAATTTTTGGAGGGGGTGCAGAGCCCCAGATTTGCTGACAAAAATTGGGTCATTGAGATATGACTGCTGGCAATAATACAACATGGCCAATTTGCTTCCAATGGAATCATCATTGAGCCATTTGAGAACTCACAAGCAATTTTTTAGGCGGTAACAGTGCACATCATCTGAATAAATCAAGTTTATTGCTATTAAGATATCTTTGAAGTTTATACCTTTTGAATAATACATGATAAACTTAGAATCTAGAAATTTGGTGCATCTGCTGACAAACCCAAAATTGGGGTGACACACCCTTTGGCTATGCTCCTGCAGACAGAGTTGCTAGCTGATCAACAAAGTCATCTTTTTAGACTAAACAGGTGCGTGACTGCTTCACGAAACGTTGTATTTCAGAACCTATAATATAAACTTATAGTTTGGTACAAGTGATAAATTTTAGTTTAGGCCCACCATAACTATTATGCGGGTGGTTCAAGTGTAACAATTATGCTTGTATTCTTGTATTTTGTAGGCTATTTTTTCCAGGATTTGTCGAAAATCTCTTGACGGAATTTTCAACAATGTGCAAATTCATATCGATGCCATTAATGTTGAAGAGAAAAAAGCAAAGAGAGAGAAAAAGCATAATTGAACAAAACCAACCAAACTCAATTTCATTGATAACTATCAAATCGATAATTAAAACAGAAGTACGATATCGTTTGCTAAAAGGATATTTACAACTCAAACAAACAAGCCAACGACGGCATCAAAAGTTGCAAGCTAGGAGATAAAAAGTAAGGAGATTCTAAAATAGCCAAGCATAGAATCTACGGCGAATCATGACCTTCACAACTGGGGGGGGGGAGAAGACCATTTGCTATCACTATGAACCGATAGGTCAATGAACGATTTCACATAACAATCTCTATTCCTCAACAGGCAGCCTTGTCAGATACACTTCTACATAATAATACCCGTTTCCCTCGCAACAATTATAAGGTATTATGTAAATTAGAGTTGAAAGTTCGTATCCGGGTTGTAAGATTATGTATTCAAAGAAGTTTTAAATTTTCTGCAAACAATGACTAGTTGTTTCAAGTCATAATGACTATTCAGAGAAGGCTATTCAATGACCTCGTTCGGGAACTAAACAACTTTAAACTGTAAACTTTTTCAGCTATATTCTGCCTCCATTTCGGCGCTCTCTTTGGCCTCTGATCCATGTATTTCCACTGAGGGAATTGGCGACACAATGCTGTATGTCACACTTGATCTATCCTTCACAGCGGCCAAAGTTTGAAGTTCAGAGCTGTCACGAGCAGTGTCTGCCAATGGAAAGTCTACTACTGCTTCTACGGATGTATTAGCCTCAATTTTTTGCACAGGCAAAGACGAGTTTGAACTGGCGCATGAAGACTGGGCTGCCTGGTTAAACACGCAAGTGTCACTACGCGCAGTTGAATCGCTCTGCGTTCTGATATTAGCAACTTCGCTTGCGATCGAGGCGACATAAGATTTGTTTTCAAGCAAACTAATTGCGACTGTTCCTCTAGTTGGCGAAATTGCTATGGTAGTTTGTTTTGAAACTTGATCTAACGATTTCAATGCCTTAACGGCAGTAGTAGAGTCGCTAGCGGGGCAGATCTCCTTTACCGCCCGTGACTGAGGTACAATGACAAGTTGCGCTGCAGTTGCAACCCCTCGGTTCGACTCTGCCGGGCCTTTAACTATTTGTTTGGCTGGTATTTGTGCTGGCAGCTGCACAATCTGGGCATGTAATGAGCGAGCAGGCAAAGTTGCTTGATATTGCGGTCCAAGAGTAAAGCCCGCAGGGGCTACAAGAATGGGAGACGATGCTTGAGAAATGAGGTCCACTGGCGATACGAGATTGCTGTTGTGAGATGATTTGATAGCAGGTTTAATTAGCTGCTCTGTTTTTCTTGGGGAAAGAGGAATTACTTGTTGCTTAGTAATAACGTTTTCCCCAGTCCTTACACCGTTGTTGCTGGTGTTGACAACAAATGACAGATTGGTGGGGGACCGCAAACTGGTACCCTGATGTGACGTCACTTGGCCACTTCTGCCGGCAAATATCCTATTGGCTAACCCCGTAGCTCCCGTACATACGTTTACAACTGTTGCCGCATTTCCAACTGCACTGGCAAGCACTGACACTTCAGATTCTCGATTTGAGGCATTGGTCATTGTACCAGGGATCTTGCTACCAGCCACGCAGGCAACTTGACTGTTTGGTTGCTTCACAGCACTAAAAGGTTCAGGAAGAGCATTATTTAGTTTGGCTCCTCCAGCAAACACGGTTGTGCTGGTTGTTAATAAGCTCTGGATCAATTGTGAGCTTCCAGGAAATGTCAAACCAGCAGTCGGCATTGCTTTGGGCGCATTGTTAGTGACAATGTCACTATTCACCGCATTGTGAAGTTTTGGGGTTCGAGCAATAGCAACCTTTTTTCGTGGGCTTTCGCCGCTTGGAAGCTGGTACACAATGCTTCCCTGCAGCGTAGTTAGGCCTTCTTTGATTGATCCATTTTCGATCAACAATGGTAAGGGTGAGTTCACTTTTGATGATACTGACTGGTAATTCTGGACACCTTCAAAGCGGGACTTACCATGAAGTTTTCTCTTCAATGCTGCAGCATGAAGTTTGCTTTTTAAGGTTGTAACCGGACATTTACTTGTTTCAATAATGACATTCCCTTTATTTGCAGCTCCTACTGTAACTTTGCCTCCTGAACTCAAAGGTTGCTGTTGTTGAATCGTAAAGATACAGGAATCCCCACTAGGTTGGAGAACAACTCTTTGTTGTATGCCACCTTGCTGGAGATTTTGCTGGAGATTTTGCTGGAGATTCCCTGGGCTTAAACCAGACTGCGGGGCTGTTAGAATCAAAACTGGCTGACTCTCCCCAGCTGATGTGTTTCCTAGTACTAATGGTATCCCATTCTGTTTCAGCATCGGCGTCCCTTGAGAAACGACAACCACCGGGCTGGTACCCCCGGTCATTCCAGTTTTACTTGTATTCATTTGGATAGAGCCGCTTGCAAGATTGGGTATTTTTATAGCTTGTTGAGGAGCTAAGATCGTACTCATTTGCTGTTTTATCGGCTGATTGAGCCTCGAAGCAGGTATAACGTTGATATTAACAATCTTTTTATCGCTGATCTTATTGCCAAATACAGGTGCGGCTTGACTAGTCACTGCGAACACACTTGGCTTCACGGGTGACAAAACACTGCTGCAGGGTGCCGTTAGGTTGGAGGCAGATGCTATATTTATATTAGGCACAGGTCTTGCACCAACTAGTTCAGCTCGATCTTGCTGGCTTTTCACTACAATAACGTTAGTTTGCTTTTGACCTAGGCCCTCCTTCCCAGTGGCAGTTGCTGTATTAGAAGCGATAATAACAGTTGGCTTTCTTAAAATATTCGGCCTTCGTCTTTGCAAAACAAGGGACTTGTCCTTTCCTGGTGAACATTCTGGTGATTCTGGAAACAGTACAGGTTTCTTTTGCACCACTGTTGGTATAGCTGTATCAGCTTTCTGGCAATCGATTTGAATGTCTTTGTTATTGGGAACTTGATTCGCCTTCAGTGGCTCGTTAGTCTTTTTGCCCTTCTCTGTGCCTATTACTGTTTTTGCATGTGAATGTTTGTCCTTTGTCACTACAATGATCTCGCTTGGTCCCAGTTTCATCTGCATTACATCAACTTTACCATGTTCATTTTTAAGAACAATGACATCTTTCTGGTTGACATCACCACCCCCTCCTTCAAGGACAGTCAGAGATTCCTTCGTTGATTTCTGAGATATATTTTTTACTTTGCTTAACACAGCAGCAGTTTTGACTACCTTAGCCTGACTTCCTGCGCCTTGTTTTACAAAACTTACTTCCTTTTTTCTTCCACTCTCAGTTGATGAAGTCTCCTTCTGTGCTAAACTGGCAATATCGGCTAGGGCCTTAAGCCCATCATAAGAACGGAAACTCTCCCCAGACTCACTATTTGCACGCTTCTTTTGTCCGCTTTTTTCACAACCGTTTTCAAGAACCGAATGGTCAGTTTTCAATGCTTTTAAGTCGTTAACAGATAGGCCTAAATTTGCAAGATTTCTCTCTTCTTCAGGTTTCAATAGCTTTCCTTCCTTCAAGTCATTTTTTATCTTCTCAAGTCTTCTATTTCTCAACATTTGAATATCACTTTCACTGATATCGTCATCAGACATAAGCCTTGACTGTCTCCTGGTACCATAAACTGAGCCAACGTGTTTTCTGCTCAGCTGGCTTTCATTTCCTGCCTTCCCAAAGCCAATGCTGTTTGCCTCTCCGGCCTTTTGACCAAGACTGAGCCTGGTCCAGCGTCCACTGTCTACCGTCTCTGTTGACGCAGTCTGCCTCTCAGGTTGAACCTTAGGCCTTTTCCGAGGAGGCTGATCAGTATCGGCAAACAACTGTTTTACATCAAAACGTTTGTTCCTTAGCCGACGATCTTGCTTACTTAACAAAAAAGACGCAACTGTCGCGTCATTTGGCGATAAAACAACGGATTCCACGCTGGGTGCCACCAACTGAGGCATTTCGTCATAATTTTCCTTCGTTAATGGCAGTACATCTTCGGCCTTGACACTCTCTTCTTCAAACTCATCATCATTTCCACTCTCCCAACCACTTTCTTTATCTTGCTTGTCTAGCAAAATATAATCACAAATTATTCCAGGAAAATCTAACTTACCAGATCAAATATTGGAAAGATTCCGTAAAGATTTACTATACGCTAGAAAGTCTGAAATTCGCCTTATGTAAATTATGGTTTTTTTGAAAGTCGGTGAAAGTTAACCGATTTTGTTTCCGGTTGTTGTTGTTGTTGTTGTTGACGAGAATTATATTGCTGGCCATGTTCAGACTCAGTAAAAAGAACATTGAAAAAAGTAAGCTTTTGGATGGACCAGAAAGTAGATTGTAGACTAACTTAATTTATAGATACAAAAACCATATCCACAGCACTTCATATAGTTACATCTTTAGATATATCATGCTAAAAAATTTGCAGTGGTGATTTTAGGAAAAAGAAACTTTTTTGAAGATAACTCGAAATAGTAGAAACAAAGCTAATCGCTCGACACTCTTCAGGGTAAAAACGTTGGAGATTTACCGAAAGTAAGCAGTAAATTGTCTGATCCCATGAACCAAACTAGTTACGTTGTTGAGGTCGTCTTCATCGCAGCTCATGAATTAGAAAATTGTCCTTTCGATAAAGCAATTAATCACAGATCGAATAGAAAAGGTATTCACAAACACCTATGCTAAACATTACCTACCAGTTTGATAAACCAAATTACATGAACAAAGATCCCGCAAGCCAAGGAACTACAATTTCTTTGAACTAGGATTTCTTAGAAAAACCTTACCTTCCGGTTGGTTTACTTCCTCATCAGGCGCCTTGCATTCCAACATCACTTTCGTTCGCGCTTTCAGGTTGCTTTTAATAAAATTCGCTTCTCTCTTTTTCAATTCAACATAAAGTGCTTCCAGCATTTGATGCAGATCTTTTTCAGGCAAACGCCGACTGGATTTTGCATTCACTTGCTGCTCGAGCATATCAAAAAGATTCTTCAAAGACGTAATGTCGTTGACAATCATTTGAAAGTCCCTGGATGTATCCTTTTTAGGCCTCTTCTTTCCTTTCTTGGGAGGTTCTACTTTTGGAGCTGGCGGGGAAAGGCTCCTTTTCTTTTTTATCTGAATAGACAACGCAGAGACTATAATATCATAAATGGAGCAGACAGACTGATAATCAGAGGACTGGATACAACATCCAATAAGAAGAGCAAATAAAGCAGTTCCTGTCGATTCCCTTTCCATTTTAGGCAAAATCAGTGTATGATCGGGAGAACCTCTGCAAGTAGTCAAAACGTTTCGTGAACTCCTGCGATTCATATTGCTTCAGTGACGTATTATATATATTTTGACATAGAATGCATACTCTATATGATTTCAAATGTCTTCTGTTCCCCGTTGAAAGAAACAATGATTGACACGTCGACAAGCAGAGAGAGAGAAATATACAATACAAGGATTCCTAGAAAATGATTGAAGTAGAGTCCTGGGCACTAACCTAACATAACGTAAATGTCATGGTTTTTAAGTTCATAAACAAAACAGTGATAATACCGAAACTTTTGAAGTTGTCGGGAAGTAGTGCTGTTCTAAACGAATGCCAGCCGTCACTGTGCTGAGAGCAAAACAAAATGTCCCTGAGACTCTCTTATCTAATAAATGCTTGATTATCTTCATGGTAATCCATCTTTCTATTTCTTTTCACTGTTTGGTCTCAGTTCACAAATCGATCAATCCCAAAACAATAAAAAATTGTCTTGTGTTTTGTACTGTCCAAACTAAAAAGACGCCAAAAATTCACCGTCTTCTCTCTTGTATTCCCACAACAGGGTTATTGATTAAATCTCCTATTTTAATGCAGGACTACAAGAAAGATTATCGTATATATAGATAAGATATATAAGAAAAATGATCGTAAAATTTCTCAGCTCACCCTTTTCGATGTTCTAACCACGGGTTTTGTACTGTCCAAATTTTCGTTTATTTCACTGTTCTGTTCCTTCTTAATCCCCCCTTTAATATCCTCCTTAACCTCCTCCTTAACTTCCTCCTCAATCTCCTCCTTAATTTCTTTCTTCATTTCCCCCTTAGATTCCACTTTTTGCTCTTTTTCTTCTTGAATTGGCACTTCCTTTTCCATGATAATGGGCTGTGGATAGAATAAGTTTATACATTTGCCTTCGTACAATTAGAGCACCTCAGATGTATACTGATTAAAGGCAAAAAGGGAAATGTAGCTGGAAACAAAGCGGTCGAATTTGTTCAGGCCCCCCCCCCCTCGCAACTCCAAAAGCTATCAAAAACTCAACCTGTTGTTGCTTTATGATTAAAGGCACTATGTCCCGACTAATTTCGCTGACCATTTAAATTTCCCATTGGCTGGACTACACAATAGACCTATTGTTACGTAACCAATCGGCTAATTCTCAATGTTTTCTCGATCATAAACGCATCGCACAGCCTATTGTTAATTCTGAACAGTTGGCTGACGGGACATAGTTACTTTAAGTTCAAAACAACCACTTGATTCTGAAGACTAAAAGTTAATGCACGGGATTCATCGCTTTGTTACAACTGAAGTATGGCGAATCAAACAGACTGGATCAAATGAGAAAAACCTTGTCCTAAATCCCCAATGTACTGTGAAAACTTTATTTTTGATGCAAATCAAAAAACCTCAAATACCTACAAAGGTTGCGTAGTGTTAGCTATAGAAAAACAGCTTATAATGAGGTTTTGGCTCTTAAAATGTCGGCCTAAATTTTCATTATCTATTGGAACTTTCGGGGAAGGGTACTGTTAAGAGATGATACAGCCTCGCTTGGGTAAGTAATATTTTTAAGGGAAAACTAAAGATTCGTTACCTCGTATCTGATTCTAGGAACGTCTGGCTCGACCAGTGTTTTCTGTTTGTAAATACGGACATCAGTGGTCCGAAATTGGAGATGTAGTGGTAAGAGAACCCCTGGGAGTCGCAGCCTAAGCACAGATCTTGACGATCAATGATCTCCAACTCACCGAAGTAGTCACGCATTGATGAATCCTGTTCCTGTATGAAAAATACGTATCTTATACTCTGTCTCTAGTTTGCCTTTAAATATAAAGTTTATTTTGTTACAAACTTCGAATAAATAGAAGGATAAATAAGAAATATATAGGGATGATTTCAGAAACAGAATAATTTCGTATTTATTTCAGACAAGTACTTACACATATCTAAGTATCAATAACAAATGATAAGACTCTTTTTAAGATGAAAACTTTGTGCATGCTCAATATTCACGTTGGAACTAACGTCCCACTTGACCCACTTAACTTCGACCCACTTGATAAAAATTGGTTTTATGATTTGAAAGCTCGGTGTTGTAATTGCGAGAAAGTGGATTCCCCAAGTCAACTTCGTTTGGTCTTTATCAAATGCCGAAAAAAAGCTGACTTGGGGATCTAGTCAAATATTCAATCCAAAATGTCAATGATCCCCTAAACCCTGGTCCCCACTTCAATGTATGTATGCAATAGAAAGGATAAGAACCAATGTCACAAAACATAGAAAAAAAACAACAAAACATAGAAGAAAAGAATGGTTTACCAAGGCAGCTTCACACAGAGCTTTCAGAATCCACATCCTCGACTTTAAAGGCAGATCGTGAAACTTAGAATCAATAAACGGATTGACAAAGCCTGCAAAACATAAATAGACAGTACTTCAAAACGATTAAAAGATCTGATTTCTTAAAGAAAATGTTCCACAACGACTTACATCCTAATAAAGATTTTATTTTCAAAGTCATCGACATGCTAAGGGTTTAAGTTCAACGCAAATCATACAATATTTAGCTGCATAGGGATGCGGTAAACATCTATTGAGCCCCTTGGTAAAAATTTGGCGAAATTCAACTTCAAATGGAAAACGCATGTTGTAAGTTTGGTGTAAACTTATACCATGCCTGGCTGTTTGAGGAGAGCCATAGATCTTGCTCCCCTCCAGGCTCTCCGCGAATGCTGGAGGGGAGCTACAGATTGCTCTCCTAAATTGCTCTAGAAAGCAAATTGCTCTCCTTGAAATCAATTTTCCCTTGTTTATCTTCTTATTCATCTAGAAATTGCTCACCTTCAGATTACTAGGGGAGCTTTTTACTGCTCCCCTACTAATGGCCAGGCCTGATATACTCTGTAGTTGTTGGCCTATAGAGCTTGACAAATGCCATCATTATGTTTTTTAAAAAGATACTCACCCAGGACATCGAAGAGCTCAGTATCAAAACCAAACAGAGATGCAGTCTAAAACAATTTTAAACAAAACTATAACGAGTTTCTGTACAATGGCAAAGTGGGAGTTAAATTTTTGGGGGCTAAAGACGGAATTCCTTGTCGATTCTGAGAAAGAATTAAAAATTTTGAACTTTAACTTTATCCTCCTGCTGGTAAGCCGCTGGTCAAAAATCTTCATGCTAAGAGTTGATGTGTCTCATTTAACTGTTCAACTTATTCATAGATCTTTCAAATATTCTCTCAAAATAATAAAATTGATGTTTAAGCTCCAGCAGTGAGAATAATTCACTTTTCATGATAGATATGACCTTCTTGGAACATAAACTGACAAGACACTTTCCTTTAAGAAATTATCTTTATTTGTAATTACAAAGACATGAAAACCAAGCTGAGACCCTGAAAAAAGGATCTTGAGAATCTAACCATATTAAATACTGAGATTGTAGAAATGAAGAACCTTTAAGAAAAATGACAGTGTCACTCCACCATCTATGTAGGTGGAATCACTGTTTAAATAATTTTCAATGGTGGTACTCACATATTCAGGACCATTTGTGCTTGCCATTTTGTACCAAGAGAGGATTTTTGCTTGCACCTTTTCTGACCAAACAACATACTTCATTGGTTCTTTTGTGTTTAGCCTTTATGTAATGTAAATTAATAATTAAAAACTTTATTAATATGTTATAGCTGCTATTAATGTCTAGATAAATGGAATATATCAGACATAAACATTGAAATTCACATCTTAGTTCAAATTTTTTACAAATAAAAGCCTTCAAATCCTTCAAGGGAATAGTATGTAAATTGAAAATAAATACACCTAGGGTAAAAATGTTGTTGAAATGCTGATCAGAACTGTAGGCCTCTAGAATTTAAGCACATATCATTGGCTTACAATTCTCATGATGTAACCAATCACATGAAATATTTGCTGGAGTTGAAAGGTAGCAAAAAAGCCCAACCGATCACATGACGAACCACACTAGTTGGCCTGGAACTCAAGGAACATTAATGCAGCTCATCTAACTAACTTGAAGGCAATTTCTAGCTATATTGTAGGTATTGATACAAATTGCACATCATACCTTTCTTAATAAATTTATTCCCAACCTTTTATCAGATGGTCTGAGTATCTCTGATGGATTGTTTGAATTATTAATTAGGCACCAATATGCTCTGGCTAATGTTAAATGATGCTGACAACTAAAATTTATGATACTGGAGATTTTTAATCATTGTCTTAGTCAATTGGCAGAGGCGGCGCAAAGCATCGCAAAGTAGGTAATCAAAAATTTGCAAGCAAAGCAAGCGGATCCACCAGGGAAAAATTTTCAGGACCACGCCCTTTCAAAAACCCTAAGAATAGTGAAGAATCGTATGTTTGATGGTTCAACTGTTTTAGCAATTTCGTAATTTCAAAAACAATTTCCCTCTTGCTTTTCCTTGTGCAAATAAATATAACATTATCAATGTGATTATGAACCATTTATGCGTATCTTGATGCATTTTTGTTGTGTCTAACAACCTCTCTTTGTCTTGCCTCATCCAATGCACAAGCAACATCGATATAACCTAGCTGTGCGGTTGGGGAGAATTTCGTTTTGGGATGCTTGATGACTGCCATTTCGTACCCTGTTGAAGTAAACCATGAAAGCGTCTTAGTACGAAAGGCGCTTGACAGACTCACTGGTTCATTCTTTTCATTTATTCTGGGGCATGGCTAACCATCCTTTTTTAATTACAAACGCTGTTCATGACTCAGCTGATTTTCTTGCTCAGAATGATGTCAAAATTCCCCCCCGCGATAATCGTTTGTAATCACTCTACTAATCATGAAGGATGGGGAACTGCTCTTGAGGTAATGAAACTGCGGGACGATTACGTAGCTGCGTGACGCTCTTTGTTCAAATGCCGTCAGCACAATAAGACTCTACATCACAGAAACGACGAAAAGGTAACCAAACCGGGATCTGATTACCTTGCAGCCTCGCGGCCCTCGCGGTTCTCGAAGTTCTCGCGGTTGTTTGAGCAATATAACAAAAAGAACATGCGTCAGAGGATTAAGAATTTATTATCGTCTGCCATGAAACAAAAGCCAAAACAAATGAAGATCAAAATGTCAACACGCCGTAAAACAACCCCTGGACGAGCTTGCCCATGTGGATTTTGCTTCACAACAGGTTCAGTCAAGACTTGATAACCCTCATTGTGGTCGTAATAAAAATATACTTCAGTTTAGGTTTAAACATAATTTTTTCAAGTTCTGAAAAAAAATAGGTAATCAGCGATTACCTTGATTACCCCTAAGCACCGCTCCTGTCAATTGGTTACTAAAATGTCTTTAGAAAGAAGCCACTTAATAGTGTAAATACTTGCCTTTTCCTTTGAAACGGAGTAACAAGTAATGATGTGAAAATCTTGGCCACAAGGGAGCTCTTTTTTGGAAGAAGCATCCCCAGCTCAAACTCAGAATAATTCAGATCTTGGAGGTTCAGAAAATCTTTCAAGATGCAGATAAATATCCCAACTGCTGGAAGCTGCAAAAAGGTTTCAATGCAAAGTGAACAAAGCTGGAAGATTTTTATCTTTTGCTGGTCTTGATAACTGGATTCATATCAGTGAAACAATAATTTAGGATATCCAGTATTTGAAACAGTATTCAATTAATCTTACAAAAATTGAACTTTTCTCTTATCATGCTATTTTCAAATGTTCAGGAAATAGCCTATTGTTAGCAAGCATTCATTTAATGTACAAATACATTTTCTACAATTCATGTACAAAAACATTTTCTACAATTCATGTACAAAAATCATTCTCAAAGACAGATGTGATTGTGTGGCACAGGCTGTTACAGGATGTAATGTGTTTCGATAAATATCTGTAAAAGAATCATAACCATACCTCCCAAGTACTGGATATCTGATTCATAACTTCATCATTGAGAAATTCTTTTGTCCATTTCTCACACTCATCCTCAAGAGCATCATTTAACTCCTTCTTTTCTTTCTCTTTCATTCGTTTCCTCTCCTTCTCTTCAAGTTCTTCTTGAAGATGCATTTGCATGGCAATGAGCGAACTTTCCCCATTCGTTGGCTTCATACTTACTCTCCTACTACCTGTAAAAATGTTTCCAAAGTCAATTAAACTTTCCAAGTACTCAAAATGACTGGCAAAGAAAAACAATGTATTTCCATTCAATAAAAGAAACCTAGCTTGTAAAACAGTAATGTCTTTGCGTGCTAGTCAATTAATTGTGAATAAACAAAATTTGATACAATAAAATAACGACTTTGTACAAGAAATTTTTTTGGTATTATAAATATTCATTATAACTGACTAAACTGACTAAATATTCATTTCTTGTACAAAGTTTTTATTTTATTGTCTCAAATTTTGTTCGTTTTTGACGTACAGCACACACAACTTCATTGAATACCAATTTATTGTGAATAAGCCTGGTAGTATCAAGTTAAAAAAACAAAATAGCTCCTGCACAGCATACTAAAGTACTTTTCATCTAAAACTCCTAAAATTGTAAATGCCAGACTATGATTGATGGTAAACAGGAATTTCATTCTAAGTATGAGGAAAATGGGGAAATATGATTGAATTGATTGGTTGTTAGACTTTGATCAATCAACCACCCCTAACCTTATATATAGTTGAAGAGTCTAAAGGAGAACACAAACTCCTTCTGTCCACACAACTCATTAACTTTCATTCTGATGTAGACATATTCCAAAATACCTAAACAAAAAGATGACTTAGATTGCCAAAATCTATGTTGCTTTATATCTGCTCACACTCTGAATTCTTGAGCAAAAGTTGAAATATGGCCATATCATATTTTATTAGGGCATTCTGATTTCAGGAGCCAATTGACGTCCAATACTAATACTATTTAATACTTGATGACCTAACTTGCAGGCATATGCTGATTAGAATGTCTTGCAAACCAACATTTACATGTTTCAATGCTTTCTTCAAATTCATCATGTGCTTAAAATATGCTCAAAAAGTAGTAAAAATATTTTTCTAATTTTAAGTCAAAATTTTAACCACACAGTGATCTGGTATCTAGTTTCTTCAAATATCGCCTTATGGCTCTGTAGGGGACCAGCCATCTAGCAATTGGTTTCTTGTTTTGTTTTGCTTGAGTCTAAGATTGTCAAAAGAGGTCAAAGCCCAGGAATTACAGAAAAGGTACTTGCCTGATGTAAAAAGAAGGCTATTGAGATATTCCTTATTTCTGACTTCATTTGTGGCAGCTATTGTTGTTTTGTTACGCAGTTCTCTAGAAAAAGATATGAATATTTCCAGAAAATATTACATGGTAGAAAACACTCATTATGCATCATTCATGTAAAAACAACAATCAAACTTCAATATTTAGACAACAGTTTAATAATAAATGCACATTTACACATATGACCAAATGAAACATAACTACCTCCAATTATTTTTCCAATAGTTTCTAATCTTAGTCTAAGTGAGTCTTGTAAAATGGTATCTCAAAGGCTGTCCAGGACAAATAAACCATATATTCTTTGCATGCAGAACAAATAGCTGTGTCTTGGCATAGGTTACAATGTTTACAACTGCTTTAGCACAACCAAATAGAGTTACATCAGGGGGCTGTGGAGGGTAAGTGCTTGGGGGACACAGCCTCCCTTGCTAAAATCTAGTGGGATTTCACTAGGTACCCTATACCTCCCTGAACAATGTTACTTTTTTCTGCAACCCTTTTTCCTTTAGATTTTTTGTGAATGAACAATTTTTAATCAGCCATCTTGAATGACTTAATCAGCCTTGATCAGCCTAGTTTGAATAACTACATTACCACAACAGCTAATCCTTTAGACAAATGCAAGCGGTCACAGCTATAGGTGTGGTTATGGAAGTGGTTTAAAGAAGTTGCCTGATAGAAAATTCCCCTACTAGCTATATAAAGTACTTGGTAGAGCTTTAAATATTGTGCTATACTAAAAAAGCTCTGAATCTATTTCTCCAGAGGTATTTATCATTTCAGGTATTGAAAATTTTTTTTTACCTTGACAACAAGTTTAGTTTTTGCTCAAGAATCACTTCAAGCTTGTGTGCTTGTTTTGAAATGAAAGCATCGACACCATTATACTTGTAGCAATTTTCAATTATTTGCCTTATATCAGCAACCATTTCAGTTATTGAAGAATACTGCATGGCATGAAACTTTTCTGAAACTGAAAATGTAAACAAGAAAAAATATGAAAGCAGTTTGCAAAAATGATACAGTTACAACTCAAAAATCAATTGTATATTTATTTACTATCACATTGAATTAGACCAAAAGACAACTGGCAACCTTTTGGTTAATTTATACGACAAGCTAACAAGCTGCAGGTGTCAAGAGACTGGGGGGGGGGCGAAAAGTTCCCAAATCATCAACAATTTAACAACAACTTACAGCCAAAAAAATTTGCCCAATCTCCCCATTCTCTTATGATCCTGGTTCATTAATGAATGGAAACTGTAATATCATGAAATTTTTTCATGTAAATTTTATTATCTCAATTCAAACGATGGTTGATACGTAAGTTATTTCAGTATCACCAATAGGTAGGGTCCATCCCCTCCTCACTGATTGCACCAAAACAAACCAACCAATACCCCTATACACAAGTACACAAAATGTCAGTGTAAAACTGAATAAAAACTCTCATGGCAGCTTTCGATTGAATGCAAGTGCATTGTGTGTAGCAAGATAAATAGGGAACTGCTATCTAGAAGGCAGATAGAAGTAAAGAGTTTCAGCGGAACCAAGAAAACTAAAAGAGATTATCCAAAACAGACGGCCTGACCTCCAATAAAAGGAAAGAAATATATTATATTTGGCAAGTTTTCGATAAGATAATGAACTTGTTGTCAACATTTTGAAACCGAATAAAAGTATTTATCTTGAAAAAAGCTCCAAAAATTTCGTTTCATAATTACGAAACTTTTACCTTGGTTCTCTAAAATGGGGCTAGGCCACATGGAATGATATTCACTCCGAGAAAACGAAAAATAGCAGGCAACAGGGCAATGCTAGTAAATAAGAATAAATAAAACTTTTGCTTAATGGCTGGAGCAAATGAAAAATTTAAGCTAACAAAGAACTTTAAAAAAAGAGAAGAGTTAAAATGTCTGTGTTACGATGCAAAATACAACATTGCAACATCACGCCGTCTATTAAATTCCTCTTTTACCTGATTGGTTGATTATAATTGTGAAATGAAATTGACCAATCAGTACGTAGCTACAGTAGCTACATCTGAGCTGTAAATATATTTCGAACTTACTTTTAAACAGGTCCATTGGCTCTTTGATCACCTCGTAATAATCAGGATACTCATCAGGGTTCACAGCACTCAAAAATGGCTCAATAACCGACTTTGTCTTGTCACTTAGTATTTCTCTAAGAATCTTATAGGCGTGACGAATTTCTGGACTCATTTTCACCCATACACCGACCAAAACAGGCAGAAAATCTTCAGCAGTGATAATTTTGTTTCTCTCTCCCCTAACACTGCCTTCAGCCCTCGAGCCAGCATCATTACATTTTCCTGCTCCATCAGCTACAATTCCTTGTAATTTCTCAGAATTTCCCACATTATTCAAGTGTTTATGTCCAGATCCATTCCAAAAGTTCTTGTTTTGAAGAGTCACATTCATTTCTTGGTCCTCCATCTTGACCCTCCAGTTACCAATGTACAGTCCTCTTCCAATGTTGTTGCAACTCTAAGTCTGTACTTAAAGATTCGAAAGGGAGAATTTGTTAACAAACTGTCGAAAGAGCATTTATATACGACAGCTCAGGAATTAACAATACCTTCAAGACAATAATCAGGAATTGATAATACCTTCAAGACAATATAAGTAGCTACATAAAATGTTAATTTTAGAGGACTGTCATAGAGATTTTATTAAAAATGTCTTTCTGTGTTAAAAAATATTTAGATCAAAACTCATTTTCTCTTTTCTTCTTGCTGGACCAACTTAGAAAATCCTTTGCACACCTGAACATTGAATTTCCCGCCATTTTCAAGTGGAGAGGCAGGGTAAAACAGATGAGGCCCCTCTTACCGCCTCCTACAATACAGGCACGCTAGAGCTATAGGGGGGGGGGCTGGATCGCCTAAACTTTTGGTAATGAAACCTTCAAGAGTATAGCATCAAAGATAATGGCGGCCACTTGCTTAAAGCCCTCCTTCCCCAAAATGTTCTCTGGCCTTCCTGTCATAACAAAGCAAAGCATTAGCGCAAACAACGTTGGGGCTCGAGCCCCCCTAGGGTACTTTTAGCTAGGACTCAGTCATCCCCGACAGCTTATTAAACAGAAAATAATTTTGCAGTTAAGATGACTTGCTATCAAAATTGCTGTCGGGATTCGCTATCAAAAGGACCTCTTTGATACGGTCATTGAAATGCCTAATTAACATTTAACGAGAAAATGTGAACCCTCTTTTATAGCAATATCTTTAGGGAAATAAAATGTAGGCACAAATGAAGCAAAAACAACCAAATAATTCAGGACCAAGAGCAAACATGTGGGCAGCCACTGGCAGATTACATGAAATTTGTATCAAAAAAGCACACAAGAGTTGAAAGTTTTCTTCCCTAGCCTAATTCACCAGAATATCGTAATTTTAGCATATCTTGTATCGGAATCTTGTTTCAGAAGATTATATAGACAATAAACTTCATTATTTCATCAAAAACATCAATTGCATCTTCCATTTTATTCACATTAGCTTTAAATCAAATCATATTAAAAAACCAGAAAGAAAATTTCATATCTAAAATTCTTTGGTTCCTCCAGAAATATTTTTAACATTCAGAAAAGATTCATTTTGGAGTAAACGCTCTAGCTTTTTTGATAGCACAACATTTTATTACAATTTTTATTACAGCACAAATTCATTCTTTAAATCAGCTGGCTCGACCACCAAACTCCAGTGAAGCGCAAGACCGCCGCGGCGTTTATTAGAAACTCCAAATTTGGATGCGGCGTTCAATAGAGGGCGGCGTTTATCAGAGGGCCGCGTTCAATACAAAATGAAAAGCTTTTCAAATGAAAAATGCGATGAAAAAATATGAAAACAGAATTTGAACAATGTTTTAATCCCAAAACACGTAATAAAGAATGTGTGAACAATTTTTTGAGTTCACAAAAATGTCTTCACGTTATGAAATGTCAAGGAATGCCAATACCCCTGCCTCCGTCAGAGTCCTCATCTCAATTGTTCAATAGAGGGCGGCGTTTATCAGTGGGCGGCGTTTATCAGAGGGCGGCGTTTATCAGAGGACGGCGTTCATTAGAGGAAATACGGTAATACTCGAACGGAAAAACCTTTTTCCTTATTCTTAGGTGCCAAGTAAAGGTCCTAGGTTGTAAATATTGTCAACACTTGTCAACCCAACCCCCACACTGGTCAAGTAGCCCCGTTTGGTAAGGGTGCCTGGAAAAATCCTTACGTTACGTATCCCTTATTCTTTAATTATTTATAAACCCACTGCCTGACAACAGGCGGTTAAACATTTTTTTGAGAATCACATTTTGTTCTTTTTACAACTAATTGGTAATATTTCCCAGCTCCCATTTATTCCATCTGTTGCTTCGTAAATATTTCTTGAGAAGTCAAAACCAATTTTGGACCTCTTCGATAGGCACATAAGTGAAATTAAGTTGATAATCAAAACATATAAAGTTTATGACTGTAACTGACGAAAAAAATAAAAGGTAGAACCAAAAATTGACTTTTCTGCCCTATCCTATGGTAGTGTATATTGGACGTGTAATGGACTTTTCTACAATCGGAGTTACAGTGTCGGAATCTCCATTATGGCCATGCGATTGCTCTTCCTTTAACTATTTAACCATTTCATGAGTACACTTTGACCATGTCAGACAGAAGAAGACAGAATGATTCAAATAAAATCAATCGAGCAAGAGCTTCTCTACTGGCCTGGTAGTTTACGGCGGTGTTTTGACAGACTTTCAAGCTTTTGTCTACCAGCCATAGTTTCTCAAAGAAAAATGCGAGAACACGAAAATCATAATAGCTACTTCCCGTTTCAAAACATCTGCTTCTATGTTATAAGTTCTATGAAAACAAAACTGGATAATTAGCACACACAAATTATATTATTGTTGTTTTAAAGGGGAAAAATAAGTAACAAACCCATGCAATACTGTATGTCTTATTAACCATTTGGAAAACTCAAGTTCTATTCAAATCAGATCAGTGTAATGAATTCATGGTTGTTGGTGGACTGAGCTTCAAATATATATAAATATATGAAGCAAAATTGTTGTTTTATCTTTTGCTATGATTTATAACTCCGTACTTGGACAGAGACAGAGAGAAATATCACACGACAATGTCTAAAAACCGGGTAGATGCCAACATTGAGATCTTGAAATTATCGTACTAAATATGAAAGTGCTTCAGACTTGTTACGAAGCATTGTTACGAAACACGCAATGAAATGTCGGGGAGAGTTTTATGGCCTAAATATTTCGTACAAGAGAAAGTTCAACTCTTGATACCTCAACGAAAAACTTGGTTCTTAAGGTAATTGCTAAACGTGTCTGCATCAAATCATTTTTTAATTTGCGATAAAAAATAAGTTTTTAAAAGCGTGAAATACTTTTATTACAATGTAGCTTGTTTCAATGCATAAAATGTCATTCAGTGCTTTACGCTGCCATTTTTGCTGGCCCGCTTTTTAGCACTACCATCTTTAACGTTGCTCTTATCATTAGGAATTTTCGCTGCTCCATTCGCCACCTTATTCTCGTTCCCTTTAGATGATTGCAGTTTGTCGGTTGAGTAATATGCGTCGAGATAGCCAAACGCTAATTCATTGATAATGGATCTATCTGGAACGCTCTGTGCCATACCATACAATGCACCCTAAAAACGAAATGTTACATCAAACATCATATTGTATTTGTTAGTTTAAGAGCATATGGGTTTATTGTTAAAAACCTAGAACAAAGATTTCATGATTAAATGCTCTCTAACGTTTTTTTATACTTCAAATTTTTTCGATGTTACTGATTCAGACTGGTTGGCAGGTGCTCAAGAGAGGTGACATTATATACGAATACAAATCTTTTTGCAAAAAATAAAATTATTGTCAGTATCACAAGCGAAAATTTGCATTTATAATCGGCACAAAAAAAGCTTTCTATGGGTGTGAATGAACACTTCTTTGAACTTTCAGGGAAGACATTTATAACTTTGCAATACATTATATATTGTTAAAAATGTCATAAACAGCAATTTTGTTAAGTTTCTTACCACTCCCGTGGTCGGTCCAGTGGGGTTCTTCATCAGCTCAGCGACTTCGCCTTTCACATCCGCTACGAATTTTTCCGCGACTCCAGGTTGTGTATGCTGCATCGTGCAGCAAATGTGCATACTGCAGAATCAAAGAAAGAAAACATCAAATAAAACCAAGTGAACAAGGCATTTAATGCACTGCTCATTTATAGTACATAAGTGGATCGAAGTAGGACAATGAGTAAAACGCGAGCACATGACCGTTTTAGTTGTCCAACTGAGCGCCTACAGAAAAATCACTGCTGGAGTCCAAAGGAAAAAGCGAATACATTTTGAGAGTTATAAGACATTTTTTAAACAGGTACATAGGCTTTTCAAAGTGTTGAGAAAATTGTTAATTCTCCATCAGTACAAAACCTTAGATTTATCAAATCTTATCAAATAAAAAAAAACGATTTATGACGTGTTACTTTCTTTATATTTTTCAACAATCACCTTCATTCTCTACGACCATGTGATCGTCATATTTTTGACTTGCAATTAAAGGCATTTGACATGAATAAGTACAGCGAATCCAAAAATAACTTAGGCCAAATTGATCAGAGGACGCGCACAAGAAAGGAATTGGAAACCGCTCACATGAAACCACTGCGCGCTGCTCTAGGATTTCACCGATTTGCAGAAAAGCGGAAACTGTTCACGTGTTTTTCTCTGTGCACAATTTGATTCGTCAACCGCTCGTGGTCAAATGGCTGTAAGCCACTTTTACCTGTGTCAAATGCCTTTAAAATTTTCTCCCATTTGTAACATGTTACCACTGTCTTTGACATGCTGCCTTTTCTAGATTTTTATTCATAATCAAACCTCATGTTTTATATTATATTATATAGTGAGTTTCTTCGCCTGCGCAACAGATAACGACATCTTTATCTGCTGTTATTGTGGTGAAATTAAATGAAAATTATTCACACTGCTCCCCACCCAACTTTCTGAACAAGAAACAAGAATTTTTACTCTATTTCATTTATCCTTGACATCATGCTGCATTTAATGGACCGAATCATCAGAAAAATTATTCTTGCAATTCTCCTTACGAAGACAACTTCCGTTATAGATTCTTGCGTTGTGGATTGTAATATAACATTTTCGGGCTGGGGTACATTAAATGTTCGAGATTCTAATGGGAGGTAACAAAGAGGGGACTCTCAGAGAGAAGTAACAAAGAGTGTTTCAAATAAAGTTCAAAATATTTCACCACTCATTGCTTCAATTACAGATACGACTTGCAAAATTCTTCATTTTTCTATGTACTCAACTGGTAATAAAGACACTTATGCGGTGGTACAAAATTTGAAAATGGCTTTGAAAAAAGCAAACACATTTCAGTATGTTGTAAAATAATTGCCTTTTTAAAGCCATTTTCAAAAGACATTTTCTTACCCGGCAGGGAATTGAAGTGGGTTCAAATTCCATCCTTTTTCCACAAGGGCAGTTGATAATCGGAAAATATCAAACTTGTCTGATGAGAATGCAACCACCGACACTTCTGGTTCGCCGTAAACTACCAGACCGTTAATCTTACGAAACCTAGTGGAGAATGAATCAGATTTAAGTAAAAATTTGAATTCACTGCTGGGTAATTGCAGCGGAAGTGCACGCGGAAAAGCGTTTAGTAGAAAACACGAGAAGCGTTTAGAAGATAACACCATGCCAACATAGCTATTATTAAACATACAGAAGCTGCAACATAGATAAACTTGCACTTCGTAAAAGTTGAATGAGGCTGACATAATATCAAACCATCTCTACATCAGCCCTAAAACCGAACCAAAAATATCAATCTAAAAAAATAATAATCTTTCCTCCAATTAACAGGAAATTGCCTCCCTTCTATCTTAAATTTTATGTATCTTAAATTGTGTCTTAAACTCACATTTTCAATTAACGTCTTCAAAAAAAAACCAAAATTAGAGCGGAATACCATTAATAGCTTCATCCCTTTATAACGAACTACACCCCATTTCGAACTAAAATTCTGGTCTCTTAAAATAGTCCCTGTGTACAGAACCCTTGGTTTAACGAGTTCCCTCAACTTTTTCAAGGTCCCGACAGAATTGTCAGTCTCTTGGGTGTTTTGTTGATAGGACCCAAAAAAGGAACTTCAGCTAAAAGTTTGTGCAGGAATAAAAGCATGTGTTGGCATCGAACAAAGAAAAATCAAAATATATAGATAAAACTTGTTATCCGCTGTCAGCACAGTTTAGTGGTCATGAGAAAAATTTAATGCGGTCACTTAACGAAAAGGTCGAGACAACTATGGCTGGCAATCAGGGTGTGAAACTTTCAGGTGATCACTTTCAAATAAAGTAAAATACACATGCTTCAACGGCTCGTTATTTTAGGATGGCCTATCTTGCTATTGCACAGCCACTTTTAATTTCAAAGATTTGTTGATTATACAAACATTTACAGCTAACGAACTGGATTCAACTGGTAAAGGACTGAACAATGGCAACTTACTCTCTTTCAATAAACTGTCGAGTCTTGATGATTTGTCTTGTGCAGTCAACGTAACCTTGTGAAATAAAAATAAATGATGATAGAACAATTTTTAAAAATCTTGCAATAATACTTTGCTGAAGAACTTTACATAGAAAACTTTTGGAAGAGGTGTTTCATGCGATTTGAAACCTTGACATTCAAATTGCATGAGCTGATCTGGACATTCCTGTTTCGTTGCCATTAAGTTCCAGAAGTTTGAGTGAGTTCAAAGACTCATACAGGCTCAAAGCAAAACACAAACCTTCTTCTCCTTGCAGCATCATTGCAGCCCAGGTTGCAGCAATAATACCTCCTGGCCGACTTCCAGGAATCGTTGCAGAAGCATAGATACCACCAGTCCAGTTTGGTGCACAGTGAAACTAGAAAAGCGCATATTCTGATATCACACATTAGATAATGGAACATATTTAACAATTTAACAAATGGACCATAGATAAGAAAATTAAATGGCGCAATACAAAATTGAAATATGACTTGCTAAACACGATATAGTCCTGATTTTGCGGATTTTGCAAAGTTCTTTATCAGAAATAAGAGAAACAAAACTGCTGTTTTTGTTGAGCTTGTAAGTTGCAGATGATACAAAAAATGCTTGGTTGCATAATGCCATGATGCTAAGAAGCATCTATTTGCAATATGGGCATTGGTATGCTTGCATCAAAAAAACTTCAAATTGACCTAAGCCTTCATGAAAATAGGATAAAATGACATTGAGTACTTCTTCATACCTGGTAACGTCTTAATTCCTTGCTGTTGTACATGATAACAGAAGAACCTTTTGGTGCATATCCATACTGTCAGGAAGTTAAAGACTAGGGTTAGTATGTTTAAGATTCGCAATAAGGAGGGAAACCTTTAGGGAAAGAGGCTCAAGGCTTAATGAGAGAGCGGAGGTCACTCCAGGTTCGATTGATCTCCCTGGTCATGCCTATTAGTTTTCCTTCGTTGCAAAGAACAAACTTATGTAGCGTTTAATTGGCCATTTCACGCGACGTTCAAGATGTTCTAGCAAGCAAAGTGACGGAGATTCCTTAAATCCCCTTAAAAGTGATGGAGAGATTACAGGGGTTACGGGGAGTGTTTCAGAAAAGCGTGATGTGGTTTTTTCAAATTTCCAAATAGAAAAAAATACGCAAAGAATATCTTGTAAATTGTATGTGGTACACCCTTTATGATCAATATTGAGTCTCTGGTGGGGTGTAGATATTTAGCATGCTCGAATAGGGGAGGGGGTAGTCAGCCTCAAAGCACAGGTGGAGATGAAGGAAAAAAACCAAGGTTTTTTAGGTACACTCAATTAATGTCTGTTTTCTCGAGACGGTACTTTTCATTGAGAATAGAATTAGTCAAATATCCTCTTACCTTATGGGTGTCAGCGGATATACTGGAGACGCCAGGCAATCGGAAATCGAATGGTGTGAGGTCATATCTGCAAAGGTGATCGTGGCATTAAAGAAAGAAAATGGAAAAAAAGTGGAAAGCTTCATATCAAAAGTTAGGATGTTGAAAGGTTTTCGGGAACATAAAACCTGAATACAAAACATTATTTGTCGTAGAAAGGAATCTGTTGTAGAAACAAACAATAATGTGAAGTTTGGTTAGTCAAAATCTGAAGAATTAAATTACCCGGCCTTCTTCATGAAGGGAAACCAAAATCCCCCAAGACAGCTGTCACATGTAGGCCGATCTTGGTACCTTTAACTTGCGATCTGTTGGGAAAGGATTTCAGTAAGTCTTACGAGCAGGCATTCACGCTGGCAATAAAGAAAATGCCTGCTTTAGAAAACTTACCTATTGGTCCTTTGAAATGATTGTTTCCACCTGGTTCCTTACTTGCATACATACAAGTCCTTACATTCAAAGCTATATTGCAATTGAGATGTTACATGAATCCTTACACAGATCAATAACAACTTAACGGCATGGTATTAACAATAAACTATATAACCGGCGATTCTCACCACAGAAATATCACAGCTTAACAACAATAAAAGGAGATCAGAAGTGAGCCCTAGCAGGAAATATACACACTACATTTGTATTGACACAACACAAACGTGTAAAAAAATTAGCATTATTTACAAATGTTTAAAGCTTTGAAATGCTTTGCTTTGAAACAAAATGTTTCGAAACGAAAATCTTTAAAATCTATGACCGGCACGAGATGTACAAGTTCTATCTAACTTTCTTCGACTTAGTCATAACTACGAGACAACGCTCGAGGATAATAAAACTATAAAGTGCTTAAACCAAAGTTAAAATCATTCTTACTTTCGACATTTCTTCGATTGGATCGATGATTCCATGTGGGTATTGCGGACATGATCCGACAATCTGAATAAAAAAAGTTGAAAATTTCATAAACTAGTTTTGGGTCTTTTCAACCATGGAAAAATCAGGTTACCCCAAGACATTCTGTTTAAAGAAACAAAAGCAAAAATTGAATATTACACAGTAAATTTAAAAATATTCTCTTCAAAAGAAGTTCGTTTATCTTGGATTCTAAAATCTATTCTGAAATGGCCTTTAGTTGATCAACATGAGTAAACAAGTTACCTCGTTGAAAATGCTAATGTAAAGTAATACTAGCAATACATATGGCATTGTGTATCATCAATCGTCCACAGTTCACTTGAAATTATGGAGTTTCCGCAAATACGAAAGGTAAAGCCATTATTTAAACCACTTTTTGGTACGCTTATTAAAGTGACAATCAAATAATATTCAAGCTCACAATATCGAATACAAAACAAGATTCTAAAAATGTGTCTTTTTTACAGTAGAGGCGGACAATTGGTCAAATATTGGGGGCAAGCCTATTGTTTTGATAAGATGACGTCACATTTCCCCATTGTAAGGCAAGCAAGCCTATTGTTTTGATAAGATGACATAACATTTTCCCATTGTAAGGCAAGCAGGCCTATTGTTTTGATAAGATGACATCACATTTTCCCATTGTTTTGAAACAAAAGACCATCGTCCTCCAAAATATTGGGGGAGAACGCGGCCCCCCGCCCCCAGGTGTCCGCCACTGCTTTACAGAAAAATGAAGATAACTGAAAACATTGAATATGATAAGGCTAGTAACATAACAGCTCCAAAGAAAAGACAAGTAAATATATATGTACGTGTAAACTTATATACTTGTTCCAGGCCACTTTATACAATCGCTGTAAAGTTCCATTGCAAATAAGCGAAAGTTGGATGTTGTAACCGAGACATGTTTAGCTTTGAATTTTGGGCTAAGAAAGTCAATAAAATAAAAAGAAGCAGAAGTTTGTTTGAACTTACCAGAACTGTGTTCCTGTTTATTGCCCTTTTCATTGCCTGAAACACAAGAAGAGCATTATTTTCAAACTGCTCCGAGATATATGAAGACCTAAGCAGCATTATATCACTTAATTGTTTCGCTTTCCAAGTTCATTTTGAGGAACAAAACATCTGTCAATCGATGTTGACAGCAAGAATACGTCAAAATGCTTTACAATGTTTTGTTTAGTTTTCTATTTTCTACTAAATAGGCAAATTTCACGAATTAAATCACATTTTATGAAAATGGATTAATCACATGTCTTGTTAGAGTTGTGGCTTACTAATTATATTCACTCAGACTATTTTACAGGCCTTGCTCAAAGGGGTAGAGGCCCCTTACACTGACAACCATTCGTGCATTAACAATAATAACAAGAAATATTGGCAATTTCAACAAGAATGCAAAATTAGTGTTATTATTCTGCTAAGAGATGGTAAAATTGGACTATCGAGGAATTTTCTCCGATCTCCTGCCCTGAAGTCTTTATCAGGCCAGTTAAGATCACATACTATTTCTCAATTTGAAGAGCACATATGTAACGTTTTAGGATTTGTAAACTTAAGTTACTGTTATTATTATGTTAAGCTAGATTCCTTGATTCTGTTGCGTGTTAATGTCACATGTTTGTTTGTCGCGCTGTTGTGTTAGTAACTCCATTTCCGGGAAATGTGCGTCTATTTGGTAGAATAATGTGCGTAGAATAAAGTAGTCTTACTGTTTTGACCATGGATATAACATCAAAGAAGTCGTATCTCTTGTGTGCTATCTATTTGGGGCTTAGGCCCGTTGGCCTAGCCCATCGCTCAACCAACGACCTGATAATTCACCGTCATAAGAAGAACCCTTATCGTTACACATACATCGAGTAAATGAAAAATTCATTGGTGCAAAATTACCCTCAGGTCCAGCTTAAATGATTTCTTGTCGACGGGTATTTGGACAAGCTTGATGCTGAAGTAATGCGCGGCCTAGAAAAGTTATAAGTGAAACATTGGTTAGTATACCACATCTTTAACACTTTGAAAATCAGGTATTATAAAAATGATAATGCATAATGTTGATTTCATAAAACATGATATAAACAAAATAGTGATATTTCAAATCTATAGAATTCTCAAGTGATGATGGAATAAAAATAAATTTTTAGAATTTTGAATTAGAACCAAGTAACCTGAAAGAGCGTCACAGACATACCTCTAAATTGCAAAACCAGTAAAATATGTTATTAATTTGCTTAGATATGACTACAAAAGCACTGCAATCCTGGCCAAAAATGCTGAGACACTTGCAAAAAAGGAAGCTACTTACAAATCACCCACCCCCTTCCCCTCCAATCAATTTTGTGATTGGATTGGTAACCGATGTAGTTCTCCCCACTTATTCCGTAGCCATCTTAACCAACATTGACCCTGGGAGGAAGGGGGTTTAGGTCACCAGCGCATAAAATATGAAGAAATAGCACGCGAATTCCTATTTTTTTCAAATGTCTCAGCTATTTTTGGCCAGGATTGTGGCTATTTCCCCAATCAACAATTCAAAAATTTGGTCTTGGTTCAATAATCTATGAACAGGGCAAAAGGAAAGTATTTCATTAGCAATTCATTTGGTGTACTTCTGTAAATTTGCAACAAATTAAACTAATTTTGAACCTTCAGCGGTGGTTTATGGTCTTTAGGCTATGTGCCCAGAAGTATGAAAACTCGAAGAGGTATTTTGACATCACACTCAAGGTTACGGTCAACGTTTTCTGGATAAAAACATTCTTTTTTCGATTTTTTCACATTCAATTAGCCGAATTTTCAAGGCACACAATGATACCAATTTTGAAATTAACAGAAATTTTGAAAATGGAAAAAATTCCCATGTAAACGAAGGTTTCCATAATTTCTTTATCAACTTTTAGTTGAGGCCTGAAAATATCTTGACCTGTTAAGCCGATTATCGCTTTGCAGTTGTGGTCGCATGTCTCATTTACAATATCGCATGGCACATCCATGTATCCTATGTACGGCTGTGTTTATCCGATTCCGTTAATAGTTTTGCTTTTAGGGAGAGAAAACCAAATATCGTGTCAAAAACGTTTACCGTAATCTTAAGAACTCCATTACTATATATAATGTAGATAGCTTATATCTGGAAAGAAGCGTGCTCATAGTTCAACAAAATGGACAAGAATTTCTTGGAAAATTTCATTGATGGCTTTGAAAAAAGCAAACATTTTTAATTCATACTTAAGCATTTATGTTTTACTTAAGCTTAAGTATGACTCAAAATGTTTGCTTTTTTCAAAGCCATTTTTACGTTTTGAACGTTATATTGGTTATATTGTGATACACCTCAACAAAAAGCGTTCTATCGATTCCGTCTTGAAGCAATGCCAACTTTTCCAAGGCCATTAATAAGCAATAAAGGCGATAAAGTCACAGGATTTTGAATTCAAAATTACCTTGTCAAATGCAGCATGAGCAGTGTTCGCACAAATCCTGAAAAGGAAAATCCCGGATTAACAGCAGAATTAATAAGAGCTGGCGGGAACCAAAAAAGGAGAAGTTTAAATTGCAATATGATTTAGTAATTGAGCTGGCGGGAACCAAGAAAGGCGAAGTTTAGATTGCAATACGATTTAGTAAAGGTCAGCGAGAAATACTCCTGTTGCCTTGAGAAATACTCCTGTTGACTGAAACAATGGCTTAAAACTGGATCAATGACAACAATGCTATTCAGCAATACATATGTTCCTTATTTTTTTATGTAAGGCTATGGTAGACATGTGAGGCATAGATGATGTTACAAGCGAACTGATAAAATATGGACCACTGAATGAAATCTCGAAAAGAATTGTATATTTACTTAATCACGTCGCAGAACACGGAGACACACCAGAGGAAATTCATAAAGGGATACTCGTTCCCTTTCAAAAACCCGGAAAGCCAAAAGGATCCTGCGCAAATTTAAGACCTATCATCCTGCTATCAGTGATTAAGAAAATCCTCAGCATATGCATGATCAGGAGAACAACTGAAAAACTCCAGACCATCATCCCACTATCCCAAGCTGCCTACCAAGGCGGCCGAAGCACAACTGAACACGTCTTTGCATTAAAAATGTTAATCGAAAAGCAATCAACAGTCAAGATTACAACATATTTGTGACCCTGTTTGATATGTCCAAAGCTTTCGACACCATCAGAAGACCTCAACTTATTAAAGATCTAGGCAAAATATTAGACGACGATGAGCTACATATGTTTTACATATTACTGTATAAAATGCAATACACGGTACAAGTTGGGAATGCAAGAGGGGAACCATTCGAAACCAACATAGGAGCACCACAAGGAGACTGCGCAAGCGCCTCAGAATTTACTTTCACATTAGCAGTTGCACTCATGCTGCAAAATCCAGATGCAATCACATTACCAGACCGGCCCAGAGTAAATCACAACCAAGATAATATGCAACTTCAGCATTGATCTTCAGTATGCTGACGATATTGGCAATATAACCACCGACAAGAAACACAAGGACACTATAAAACAAGAACTCCCTTTGAAAGTCAAACAAAGAAACATAAATATCAATACTGAAAAAACTGAAGAATTTTGTGTTGGCACAGATGGCAACGATGAATGGAAGGCCATAAAATATCTGGGAAGTATTTTAGACACCGAAAAAGACATAAAACGAAGGAAAGGACTATCCATTGATGCCTTCAACAAATATAAAAAAATTCTCTGTAACAGACAGGCATCCATAAAACTAAAAATAAGAACGCTTAATACATTTATATATCCAATGCTGCTTTACAATTGCGAGATCTGGACCTTAACCAAGAAATTGGAAGAAAGTCTCGATATCTTTCAAGAAAACTGCTACGTAGGATGCTAAACATCAATTTAATGGATAAAATATGAAATGAAGAAATATATAAAAGATCACATCAGACAACCATCACAACCGAAATAAAGAAACGGCGATTAAACTGGCTTGGGCACATGTTAAGGTTGCCAGAAAGAACACCAGCAAAATTAGCTTTCAGAGAACATTTGAAAAAAGTGAAGGGTAATCGGGGAAGACCAAAACAGACATGGATCAGACAAATGAATAAAGACCTGAAACCAATGAATAAAACAGTGGATGAACTAACTGAGAACGATTATGAGCGAAAGGAATGGAAGAAAACAGTGGCAAGGCTAATGTCTTGAATTAAGACGGAAGAGCCAGTAAGAAGAAGATGGTAGACATCATTGACAAAAGATACAAATATTCTTGGATAGTCCTCTAACAAAGTTTATCCAATATCCGTCCACAGTCGCTTATTCTACGCTTTCTGTAACCTTTATCTGGCACTCTTTGACTTTAGATTTCCTCATCGTCGAAATCTTTTGGCGAGCACAAGCATGTAGGGTTCCTTTGCTATTTCTCTGCTATACTGAATGATCTTCACTAATCACGGGCAACATTTAGCGCCGTAACGCAACTTACATTTCCGGTCTTGTAATTCCTTTTGCGTATCCCCAATCCCGGTATGCCTTACAGGCAAGAAGTATACTCTCTGTGCCACCGATTGTCATCTAAAAAGAAATACATAACAGGAGTATTAGCAAGTGCAACGACTTTGCAGCAAGATAGGCAGATGTTAGCACATACACACTTCACCTCATGAAAGGAATCAAATTCTCATAATCAGAACAATTTTTAAGGTCTTTTAGACTATATCTTTAACCTCTATAGACAATAACTTTGACAACTTCCTTCGTAACTAGCAGGAATGCAATGTTTGTGACCTGTTTTCTCTGCAAACTAAATTGAGTTGAATTGAAATTAATTGAATTACATAACAACGCATGTTCGGAAAACGTAGATTAAACGACATGAATTAAGGCACTTCGTAAATACATCTCAAAACAAAAGTAAACTAGATCTCACTGTTCCACAGCAGTCTTCATTTCCGTTGAACATATTGATGCACATGCTAACAACCTCTGCTTCCATTTTGCGCACTAAAAACAAAATCTTAGAATAAGAAAACTAACTTATTGCCAAAACCCCAAATTTAAGAAAATATCTCTGTGATAGTTCGATTCTTAGCTGTTTAATTCAAAATATTTGCTTGCGTGAAGCTGTGAACTTTATTAAACAGTTGACAGTTATTGAAACCTGCAGAACACACCCAAGAGAAAACACAAAGAAAAATTTCTTATCAACCATAATTGTAGCTTGAAGAGATGACAAGGAACACTGTAATTACTACAAAGGAACACCGTATTTCTATCGAGCAAATTTAACAAACAATGTAGTAATACCATCTGGAAAAATATCAGCATGTAAAGGGTTTGACCAAGCAAATTTCCCATAAACCTAAAAATAAAGGAAACGGAAGGAGTAAAAGCACAAGAAGAGATTTCCAAAATGAAAATTTTGTCACTCTGAAGTAAATTGTAAAATTCTCTATATTTTGCAGGGAAACTTCCTAAGAGTCATTTGAACTTTAAATACGGTTCGGAAATACTGTCTCAATCTTAAAGGCATTGAGTCATGATAAAATGGATTGGGTATACCCAAACTTCCAGAATCGGCGGAGTCGCAATTTTAATGACTGCGATGCTATTGGTTGCCCTTAAACTGGTCACATGAACTCACCTCGTACTGATTAACAAAACGTTTCCATCAATAGCAAGTTGTTAACAACGGATGCCAATATCACATGAAACAGCAAGCATTCGCTCTACATACCCCGCAAATCAAAACATTGTCGCCCGATCATTTCCAAGTAACTAAACAATTACAGTAATCAAATTTCACCAACACAGCTAAAGAGTAATCTTAAAAAGCTTTTTCACACTTCTTCTTAAAGCATATTTTTCAGAAGCATATTACCATGAAATGCTTTTTCATGATCAAAAACCTTTTCATACGGACAGTTTTACCTTTGTCAAAACTTTTGTCAAATCCTTTCCACCGTGGTAAACAGTTCCGGATACATGGCCATCATCCCATTTGTATTTACCTACAAAAGCAAAACATAAATTTCACCTGTAAATCCAAACTGATTCTAAAGTTAACATCTGTTAATGATATTAGGTCTAAAAAGTCAAGGAACTTTGTTACCACCACACAGCAGGGCTGTCACACTCAAACACAAAATCTCAAACATTATCGGAGGCATCGACCATCAAAATGAGCCATTATCGAACACCAAAAATAAACTGTGATGTGAACAGAAAAAACTAGATAGCTAGACTGTAAATACAATAAATCACCAACATAAAAGAATATTAATGAACTGAAATCTTTTGTGAGCGTAAGGGCTACAAATAATAGTAATTGATAAATAGACAGGGGCCAGATTTGAACAACCCTGCCATGCCGAGTTTAAAAACATTTTAAGCTAGCAAATAGCAAACAATGGTAAAATCCAGAAAGAAAGATAGAACTTTTTTCTGACTAGGTTTTTAAGCCAAATGGTAATAAAGTAAGTAGCATAAAATTTTGGTCCTCTTACCTAAACATCTGATAACTAAATGCTTGGAGAACTACATATCAACATAAAAACAACTTTAAAAAGTAAATAATGACAGTGTCGAAAAGTATAGTAGCTATGTAAATCAAACTGATACAAATAAAACTTACTCAGTGACTGCATTAGGTCTATTTCTGCATCTATTTCCTCCTGGAAATAAAAATAAGTTATGATCACATTGTTCTACATAATGGGCCTTGAGAAAAGTTTAAAATGTGGGTAACAAGATGACTAGCCTTGTAAACAATTTACAGATTGATAGTCAGCCCTCAAACCATTTTAATAGACCAGTAAGATAATTAGCAGTTGGGATTTATGTAAAAAACAACCATAACATCACAATCAGGAACTTGTCACTAAACAGATTTTCATACTGGGTATTTCGCAATTTTTCTCATTATTTATTGATTCCCAAAATAAGGAAAAACCAAAACTTAATAGGAAAAATGAACAAATAACAATTGATGCAAAGTAGTTACTCAGAGGTTTGGAATAAACTGGAAGCTGAAATAAATGGTGGTGGGAGGTGGGGGGTCATGACAAAGTCCACAATCTAATTAGCAGGGGGCATTAAAAAAAGACTGAGTTGAACTTTTTTGAAAGAAAATACTGTTGAAAGTGTTGCAAGCATTATTATTCAAGTTTATAATATTACTTGAATGCTTTGGTTGATACAACAGGGGGTTTGAATAAGATGCAAAGGGGTCTCCCAAATTTGAAAAAACAAACAGGGGGCTCTGCTTATTTCTGATCCCAGGGTAAGTTATCCAGCATAGTCTTTATAAACATATTCTATTCTCCATACCTCAGAAAATGCCTTTGCTGGAAGCTAAGAAAAAAATTAACAGAATTAGAGTCCGTTAAAGTATGAATTAGCAAAGGAGGACAGGTTTCATATGAAACAATCTCATATCATTGATTGGTTTTCAAACAAGAGGTGTGCTTATAGCTTTTCACTGTACAAAACTGCATTAATAAATGATTGTCAGAAAATCTATATAAATATAATAAAATATAGAAACATACACACACATAATTAAAAAAATATAAAACAAATCAACATCTGAAATGTAAACCAACCTACACCAAGATAATCAACAATAAATGAAACAACTAGGCACAATCTTGTTGCTTTTTTGATAGATGAAAGCTAACACCATAACTACTGACTTCAATGTTTCCCAGAATATGTTACAAAAAAATGCTTAGAATGTTGTCTTAGAATTAACTGCAAAAACACTGTGTCTCTACCCTCTCTCTTTCTATCCCGTTCTTAATAGAATTCTTTCTGGGATATCAATTCTCTTTGCAATAATAAAACAAAACAAAGGCACTAGGCTCCTGTCTTTACCAAAACTTTGACAAACTAGATATCCCTAGCATTCAAAAGCCCGTAGTAACTTTATTCAGATAAAATTATGTTGTTCTTACCTTCTTTCTGTAATTCACATTTTCTGGTAAAGGAAAGGCCATTTGGGTCATTTCATCAAGTGACTTATTAACTTCATCTTTAATCTACAACAAAACAAAAAAATTGTTTCATTCATTCTCCTTCATACTTCTTTGTTTGTTGATTTGCTTATCACAACTTTAAAAAGCCACTGTGTTCTCCATCTTTCCTTAGTTCAAGAATAAAAGTGTAGAGAACAGTAGGTACATTTATAGGAACCATATTATTTAGCAAGCATTCAGGCACCCTGGAGCAGGGGGGCTGGGGGGTGGCTAAGTAATAAACTACCAGTAAAGCCTCTTTTTATACGGTTTTAGCCCCCCCCCACTTTTTTAGACCCCCACTTTTCTCATTGCTCTGCAGTGCTTGGAATTGCCGTGGTTCCTATCTTTTAACATTGACTTTCCATCATTGATGTTTGTTCCAGTCTTATTTAATGTGCAGAGAACACAGAGCCAGTGAGAGCAATAGTATGTTGCCTGCATAACTCTGATGTGAACTGAACTGACTGACTGACTTACAAATTAAGATACTTATATACAGAAATTGAATTGCTGACTAAGATGAGTTAGGATGATGTAATGATGATGTAATGGAGAAGGAAAGATCTAGACTTGGGAAGAAGTCAGCATGACATAGATGTGTGAATGTGTAAACAGTGGTGAAGGGAATGTCCAATGGTAGATGATGCTGTGAATGAATGACAGAAGTGAATGACATGGTGATGGCAGGGGTGGCTGGGAGTAAATTTTTTTGGTATTACTTTTTCAAACGTATAGAAGATGCATGAAAAAGGAAAATCAACAATTTCTTTATGAAGGAATTTTGAACCTCCTCAGCTGGAGGAGTATAGGGGTTTTGCAACACCCCCCCCCCCCAAATTTGGCCCAGCCATATGTTGGGGAAATATGCATGTCTTCAATTGACTCTAAACAACAAACAAAAGTCACTAAAAAGACATAAATTGGTCGGATCAAAAGCAAATTATTAGTCAGTACAACATTTTTGTTAGCAACTAAGAATCTGAGCGAATGCTGAAAGTTTTAAGTTAATTGGCAATTTTAGTGCTATATCTCCTAGAAGATAAATGCAGATACTTCCTTGCTAGCATATCAAAAAGAAATCTATGAAGAGCCTGATTTTCTTTTTGTCTTTTTAAACAAACTAGAGGGCTGTAACTTTTGTCTAAAGGGCTTGCGAGGGGTGATTAGTCGTGAAAAATATGTCTGAGCCACCATGTGGGCCTGTTATTAGAAACACGATTGTAATAATGGAAACCGCTGCGTGGAAGCCCTCTGAACACATTCAAGGTTCAGTTCAGTTCATCATTCATTTTAAATGCCTTTACATAAGCAACTTGCAACATTTTGAATAGCTGCAGTTTACAAATGTACAAATAAAATTTGAAAGGATGCAGGTTAAAAATTTATTATAGAAAAATACATGACGAGATATATCTGGCACGGCCTTTCAGTTCGAGACGTTGCAAGTGAGTTAATTCCACCCGTTTCAAAATAATTAGAGATACACTTTGAACACCCAGACGATGGTCATTCACTTGATCTTCCACAACACGATTCATTTTTAAACAGCTAACTTACAAGCAAAATCATAAAACAGCACTGGCAAAAGGTAAATGGCCGCGTTATTAGAATCCCAGAAGTAATAAAGGGGCTGCTAGGCTCCTTTATTTCAAGGACAAAGAACAATTTAAATTTACGTCATTGGTGAGTCCCGTGACAAAGACTTTGCTGTTTCCGTTATTAGAAACAAGAAAGTAATAATGAGACCGGGAGCCTCAAACTAGCTTTGAACCATTTGAAATACCATTGAAAAACATAATAGGCTTCCTGTGGTTAAGGATTAGCAGGTAATTATCATCCCCTCCAGATGAATAGAGGACAGATACCATACGTCATTGGTTGTGTCTAGCAGATGAATGCACCAAGCTGATAAAGACTTTGGAAAAAGTGTTATTACAGTAATTACGGTAATAACACTGCCCGCCGCCCCTGGGTGATGGCATGATTGATGAAGGAGTACAGATATAACCTATTTTACAATATTAAATTAATTACACATTCCCCAGATATTTTAAAGCAAAGATATATTCATTTTGGCACAACACTGTCTCATCTCAACTGTTAGTTTGTTCCAAATTGAAATAGTGAAATGTGATCAGTTTTTATTCAAATTTTAATGATTTCTGTGGCCAATCAACATTCTAACTGACAAAATAGTCATAACTGGTTGAATTTGTGGGTTAAAATGGAATCAAACAAATTTGCTGTAACCTGTCCGATGAACATGAAATACAACAGATAAATAAACTTTTAAGAATTATTTACCTTGTCTTTAATAATTGGAATTTTCTTCACCACTCTGAAGAAAGCTTCTACAATCCTAGTTTTCAAGCCTTAAAAAGAAAAAGGTTATATCACTAACATCATCAAGAGTTTCAAAACAAAGAAAATGATTATAAGAAAATGAAAATATTTAACATTAAAAGCTAGCTCAAGAAATAAATTATTACAATGGCTTTAAAAAAAGCAAATATTTTGCAGCATACTGGTAGCTTTTTCATCTGACCCTCCTCAGAGTATATGATGGTCAGGATAAGGGTCCGAAAGAATATGATGAAACATAAATACCAAGTTGTGGATCAAAATAGGCCAATCAGAAAAACTTGAGCACATGACCCGTATAGTTGTCAAATCAGTACTGTGTGTCTAAAGAAAAATTCCCACTGGAATCCAAGAGAGAAAACAAACTCCTTCTGTCTACACAATAGCAGCCTTTTTGTTTGTAATTGGATCGATTCTCATTCTGATGTTTTACACTCTGAGGAGTATCAGACGAAAAAGCTTTAAGTATGCTACAAAATGTTTGCATTTTTAAAGCCATTTTAAATTTTTTTACTGCCAAAAACTTGTTCATATTATAGATAAATTCTTGTCAGCAGTTTATAGTAATCTATTTATAAAAAATTCAAGAATCAGATGCAAAAATTGGGCCTTAAAAAAGGGCCTTAGTCTTTTGCATTAAGCTGATGTCTTGACACAAAGAAAGAAAAAATCAAGTTTGACAATATAAATGTACAGACCTGACAAGTATACCAGTGCTCAGCTGGCAATAAAAAAGCTATAAAGCTTTAAAAGGTAGTTTGTTTGTTTTATTAAACTGACTTACTTTTATCATGAAAGAACAGCCATCCTAGAAACGATTTCAACACAAGCAACCCAACAAACACAGCAAAACTATATATGATGGTGTTGGTAACAATCTGAAAAAAAATAAACAGAGATATAAAATGTTTTCTTCTTTATTCTCTGAGCACATACTTAGAACAATGTAATCAAAACTACATGAAATTTTGTAAACACAATAGTTTAGTGTAATGAGAATAGTGCATTGTTATGGATTCTAAGATGCTGTTTGTTCACTTATAAACCAACCACTGACTAATAAAACGTATCATTTCCAACTTGCATTCTGTCTTATTTTACGTACAAAGAACACAGAGCCAGAGAAGGGAGGAGGTGTCTATTGCATGTCTTGATTCCAACTGAACTAAAATTGCAACTTAACATTTAAATACAGCAATGAATATCTAAAATTAATGTGAATGATGTGAGAAAAGCAAATGATTGGAAGGGCTAGTAAAGGTGATGAGTAAATTGAATAATGAGGTAAGGATAGAGTAAACAATACAGATTAGTGAATGTGTGGTGTGAGAGTGACATAGGGGATGCCTGTGCTGTGATGTGAGAATGTGGTAGAATGAATGAGAAGGAAAAATTAATGTAAACAGGCCTAAGCAGAGTCCCTACAATAGAACCTGACCCTGCAAGCATGGCTTTCCAAATGCTTTTATAACTAGTATGGCAAGAGAGGAAGGCCTGAGTGCCTTAAATCTAAAAAACTTGATTCTTATAACAGGTCATGCACCAAAATACAAACCTGACCTGAGAAATCATTTCTAAAATAGTTACGGGGAGATAGCATGCCCAAACGCCTAAATATTGTGGTACCAGAATTTAATTGCATATAGAGCAAATTGGAAAAGTTATATATAATTGATAGCAAATTTCCTATGCAAATCAATCTGGAATGGGACTGGCTAGAACAGTGATTTTCAACCACAGGAGCTTAGATTAGTATCTGCAAACTTTCAATAGATTTTTTCCATTAAGGCAGTGCTGGATATTCAAGGTTTGATGTTGTAAAACTTGCCTTTCTAAATTTCTATGATTAAGCTTTTAAACCCGTTCTGAAAAACTGTGCCTGTTACTTTTACTTGAAGCCATTAACTTTGAAAGAGTTCCTAGCTAAAGCATATTCTCAAGGGCCCAGTGGCTGGATTGGGGGTGACAAACCCTGTTAACAACAAATTTGGTAAGATTTCAGAGATGTTAGTACTTGTTCAGAATTTGTCAGACAACTTTATGTTAGGCCTTGGAAAAATTCAGCACCCACTGTACCCAGGCCTGGCCGTAAGACTTTTAACAGGGGAGCAGTAAACAGCTCTCCTAGTAGTATTCAGGTGAGCTGTTATAATAGAAACAAATGACTAATTGATTTAAAGGAGTACAAATTTGCTTTTTAGAATAATTTAGGAGAGCAATCTCCCCTCCAGTATTTGAGGAGAGCTTGGAGGGGAGCAAGAGCTATGGCTCTCCACAAATGGCCAGGCCTGTGTACCCCCTGGATGTTCTGAGCAATTTGGGTATTGATTATACAAACCTCCCAGTGTTCCATTCCTCTTGTATTTCGATGAATGAAGAGTCTTACTTCTGCCAAATACAGAACAAATGTCCACTAAAAAGAAATCACATAGAAGATGACAATATAAAGGTAAAGAAAAGACCTAACACACGCACAACACAAAACTGAGAAGGACAAATCTGATACCTAAAGTTCAAAACAAATGTATTTGATAAGCAAATGCTAAGGCAGCAATTCAATTTTTTGGCATACAAAGAAGGCTTTTTGGCATACAAAAAAATCATGGAAATAGCTGGCGTATGTGTGTAATGACAAAAGATTTTTAAAAAAGTCTTCAATAATTTATTGCGAATTTTTTCAAATTATGAAGTTGTCTTAGTAAGTAAATGGAAATATATAGCATATTATTAGCTTTCAAAAAACTATCTTAAACATAAAAGCAGCTGAAAACTGATTTAAGATCTGAAAAAGCCCTCCCAACCAAATTCCTTAGGAGTGTGAATGCCATTTTCTGTACAATTTGCTTTATGATGCATTTGGTTGTATGTACATGTACTACATTTGTTTAGTCAGATTATCTTCTATTGTATATAAATATAGAAAAATGAGAATTTGCAATAAAATAAACTGTACTAAGTACAAAAGAACTGTAAACATATCTTTTTAGGCCAGTTAAACACTTCTGGGCAGGATCAAAGTCAACATATGGGCTCTGGGCAAAGCTTTTTGCAGTAACAGCAGCAAATTACAAACAGACTCTTACTCCATGGGGTGTGATTCCCCTTTACCTTGGCAAAATGTTCCCATGTAAGCTTTTGTAAAGATTTCAGCCTAGCTACGAAGCAGTTAATTCAAACCCCCCTTTCCCCAAATCGATGTTAGATCTGTAGTTAAACCATTTGCACTTTAAAAAATGCCTTCAACATTGAATGAGGAGAGGGTAGAAGGTAATTACTTTTAAAGAAAGAGAAAATATCAGACTTTTCTTAAAACGTCTCAACTATTTTTACTCGGATTGTAGATTATATAATTACATGTTACATCATTTAAGTAAGTTGTTCAAAATTCAATTATTAAATCCAAAATTACAATAAAAACAACCCTGTATACAATCAAATCAGCTGACGTACACATGAAAAAAACTCAAGATAGAGCATCAACTGTGTGTAACCAGAATTGTATTTTATATGTAGATACTGCCCTTTTCAAGCTACAGCGATAATTTCATGAGATGAAATTTAAATTTGTACGGTCTGCAGCAGTTTTGTAATTTCAAATTGCATAACTCTGGTCAGACCATTTCGCAGCTGGAAGTCGCGTGTACAACAGAAGACCAAATAAGACAATAGGGGTACATAGTATACACAACAGGATGTACATAGATATTCGTGCATATACCAGTCCGGTTTCATATCATTTAATTACAACCGACTTAGAAATTATATTTAACACAAAAACTCTTGTTGATTGATTAAGGCCACGTCCGCAAAACTGTAATTAATGCATTGTAAGAGAATGATGATACAGGATTCCAAAGTCCACTTTCTTTCTTGCTAAGGATAAGTAAATTTTATTTGCGACTGTCTTTCGAAAACTCCAAGAAGAATTGCGAGAGAAAAGCTATTCATAATTTCCTGGCAAGTTAAACTACATCTTTAGCCCAACTAAAAAACTATCGTTATTATCTGGGTTCATCATGAAACGATTGTATTGATCCCCAACAGATATAAACAAAACAATTTTATTCTTAGGCCGGTCTGTTATGTCGCATAAGATACTACTAAAGCGAAATGAAGCTTACGCATATTTCATTCCAGTGAAGATACTCTGGGAGGTGTGGTTCTACAATATCAAGAAAGCCTTCCCAAGCATTCCCAAATGCCTCAGTTGCCATTTCTACCGCCATCGCTTACAGCAATTTTGCACCCTCACCTCGTCCACAATTTCTTCGGACTGATCTGGAGTCACATGAGATCACATGACCGAGAATGCTGCATGCACAGTCAGCTCTTTGCCCGGAAAGCTCGCCACCAGACGCAGGTTTGAACAGGGGGGGGGGGCAAAATGAATGAAAAGGGCACAAACATTTTCTCCGAATCAGTGTTATGTGCCAAAAATGTCACAGCTTTCATGGTTATTAAATTACGGTAATTTATATAGTAAGAACTATCTTCCCTGGGCGCAGACATGGCTAGGCAGGGACGCCTGCACAAGATTAGGACAGGAGGGGCAGTGTTGGTGTTAAGGGCAAATAGTAGAATTTTCTACTGACATGATCGTGTATTCCTGGTTGGGGGGGGGCTAGAGTGGGGTAACATAATAAAATATTAACATGGATATGTGCCGCCTATACAGCTGAGTTGTTTTACCATCAATGACCCTAAACACAAAGAAAATATTGACGAAAATATCCATACATAAAATGGGTATTAAATGGCCTTGTCACTATACACAATACACTCAATTTTTTATAAGAAACAGGTTATATGAAACGGTAGGCTCTAAGAAACAACCCTACCATAATTAAAAAAAGATAAGAAACTTTTATAATTTGCAGTTGAATTTTCCGAGTTGACACTCGAAGCAGCCTTGACATTGAACATCACTGTATATTGCATCAATAGAAGTTTCCATTTAAAATTTTGTTTTGACTTCAATTTGACCATAGTTTATAAACTATGATTTGACATTTATGAAGTTCAATGAGCTTAACTGTTTACAGATCTCGATAGAGTTAGCAATTCTAGGGAAAACACAATTCCTTGATCACTTGTCAGTTTATCTCTGAATGTGAGTGAACTATTCACTTTATCTTGGAAGCACGTTTAAAAAATTCATTACCTAAGAAATTTAAGAAAAATGTAGAAAACTTTTGATAGTGAAATGGCCAGAAAATGTAAGCAACTGCCTACCAGCACTCGGGGGGTCCGGTCAGGGTCAAAGAGGGCCAACGCTAAAATTTTTAGAAAATTTCCCTCAAATGGTAGTACTTTTGACAAAACTCCTCAAACGGTCGCATAAAAACCGAAATTATTTTCTTGGTAGCATCTATTTCCTTGTGCTCTCCTGGTCCTATTTTGACAAATTTCTTCATAATTGATTGTTGTTGTTTCGGGAAAGATAAATCTTGTCCATTATCTATAATAAATCGCAAGCTAAACTGCGCAGTTCAGTTATTATCGAAAATGGGCCATTTGGTAGCCATTTGGTAAGACCCTCAAACGGACTGGACCCCCCTGTCAGGCCTTAGTGGGAGTACCCCCTCCCCCGGGACCAGCACGGACCTTAGTTTCTTATAAAAAGTGTATTTGGATTTATAAAAATCATGGCTGCTATAAATGGGCTGGTTGTAAAATTTTGATTGCCCGCTAAGTTTTAATACCGATTTATCCTTTTTTGGTTTCTGGAGTACTTCTGTGGGAACAAGTCTTGTTAATCAATTATCTTTGCCGGTCTCCCTCTTGTGACCCACCTTGTCATAGACGAACTTTTCAACCTTTGTGTTTTGTACTTGTGCTTTTATTTTTCTAATATTTTCTAATAGAAATTAACATAACGAGAGTGGTCAAAGTGGCCAACAATTATCGATGAGATCTTATAATATTTTCTTATATTTCAAGGCACTTCTTGCCCCCTCTGCCTCTCTTCGAAGAGCAGCTGTCCCTCCAGCCCCCCGGTGTAGGCGTCCCTGTGGCTATGTACACGATTTAGGAACCACGGACTCTTGATCATACTTGACTGTATAACTCCTCATCTCATTTATATTTCTATTACAATACGTTATACTTAATTTTCTTATAATTTAGTTAAGCGGCAGACATACTTCCTTCCCCTATTCTTGTAGCAAGGGCAATATACTCACAAAAATGTTCAGATTTATTGCAACATACCAATGAATCCACATTGATGCAATCATACATACACAATTAATAAAGACTCTAAGAATTTAAACCAAAATTATGATGTAAGGAGCTGAAAGGAATTTTCGAATTTTCAGTCTCTATCTACGTCAAAGCGAATTCCAGTTCCTATCCCATTAAAAGTTTCAGTCTCTATGATTATCCAAAGCCTATTCGAATAATGATTTTAATTTCTTATTTTTACATTTAAGCAATTTAGTCCCCTTTCCATCCCTACGCCACTTGAAGCACATAATTCTTTTCCCCTCCATGAAATATTTTTTTAAACAAAATTTCAAGTTCAAGTCATCTTCACACAATTGGCCAAAGGTGCTGGCACATTCTTCACTGCCAAAGTAAAATTAATTTGCAACGTTGATTAGGTTTATCCCAACATAACAGTCTTTTCTTTGTGTATCGAAAAAATCGGTTAAGTCTTCCTCGGGACATTTTTTAACTCTCCTTAGACTTTGTTGCTAAAGACATACTAAGGACATTTTTCTCGCCCAAGTCTCCTTGGCAGTCTTCTTGCCAGTTGATATTGTTCATCACCGGAGCTTGCACCTTTTGCATCATGACCATCTGCATCATGAAATATACTTGCATCAAGAACAATTTCAGTGAATAGTTCTCCAACAATGCCTAGATTTAGATTGTTTTACTTAACTTTTAAAGGCATAAAATCTGGCAGTGAAAAGATATACACAATATGTTTTTCAAGAAGGGGGAATTTTTTTAATTTTTGCAATTAGGGGGGCTGTACCCCCGTGGCCCTCCGACTGCGGTGGCCCTGATAAGTGGTGGAAAAGATTCATTCCAAAAAGACAATTATGGACAGATCATAAGTATTTTGCCAGTTTTTTTCGAAAAGCAAATAATTAAACTGTCTATCTACAAGGCTCTTTAATGCATGACCGTTATTTCCAGTTAACGTTTGGGTAGGGCTAAGTTTCACAAGATGCAAAATGCAAGATTTATAACAAAATCTGAACTTTGAGCTTGGTGAGAATTGCTAGACCCTGTGAAACCTGCTTAGGAATGTTAAAATTCAGGTCAAACTTTGTGCAGTAAAAATCGAGGGTATCTCGTTTTTCAAACTTGATACCTAGAGTAAAATAAAAAAGTTACCCAAATTCCTATGCAAAACTCGACACTGTTATTGATTGATGTGAACACAACAAAAACATAAGAAACAGAAAGATGAAAACTATGTCTTAAAACAAAACATCAGATATTTTTGTTTTGTAATATTCATTTAAAAATAAGGTTCATCCATTTTGAATACTAATGATCATTAACCAACCACCTTTGCATTACCATACCGTAAAAGCAATAGGCATTTAATTAAGGAACTAGATGAAGAAAAAACCAACTTTTAAGCCACTTTAAGAGTATTTATTGATGAAGTATAAAGAAGTATTCACCACACAGTAAAAGTCGTTTCTCTTCTCTGCATTCCAAACACATCTCTTTTAAAGTTCACCAAAAAATATCGGGAATTGTAGCTTGGTTTTGAGAACCAGAACACTAACCCTTTTTATCTGTTGACCATGAGAATATAAAAACAAGGTTTATGTCATCAAAACCCGAGTTAGAAATTAAGGGAGTCTGGGAGAAAAATTGTGGCTTTCATCGGAAATTTAGAACTGTATTAGAATAACCCTTTATTACGTGGTTGAATCACAAACCTTACTAGCTCACAGAGATGCTTTTTATCTCTATATGTGCATGTGCCTTTCACATTTCGGGGGTTTAGAGGAGGCACATCAGAGCTCACGGAGGTGCCCATTTTCCCTTACATGTAGCCATCCTACATTTAAATGCTTGTAACGTTTCTGATATCGGATTATTTGTAAGCCAAATTGTGGAGTGTGAGCGGTGTCTAAAATATTTCAACGTTTTAAGGAGAAATAGAAATAGCTTCTTTTGTTAGCACCAGAATGTCAAATTTATCTTTATGCTTTAAGAAGATAACTATTGTAAGGAACACATGTTTAATTGGAATTGAAGGGTGTTGCGTGCATGGTAGGATGGCTCTCTAAAAAAATTTGATTTCATGCAAAACAATTTGCTAGTCGCTTTATTGCACGTATATGGTTTTGGGCTGCTGAAGTAAGATTAATTGCGAATTTCCTCTCAAATAGAAAAAAAATAAAGAAGTTGTTGTCGGCATTTATTTATTGATTGAAAATCGAATCAGGTGTACCCCAAGGCTCTGTGCTGGGACAGTTATTACTCTATATTTCCATAATAATTTCACCAGAATAATTTAAGAGTTTGAATTAAAAATAATATTGTTATTGCTTTATCTAGGGTCTCAAGCTGTTTAGAAAAAGCAATTCCCGTGCTGTACACCTTGTCTAGAAACTACGCTTTGCTGCAAATGATAGGGAAGATTGGTGGGAGAAAACTGACACTGAATTTTCTAAAAGTTGCAAATGAGACAGTCTAACATCTCAATTTTAGGTCTAATCCAGCAGAGATCTGACAATAGCTCTAATAAATCTAATGAAAGTTAAGTGGTTGAGAAGGCATTTATATTTTGAACTAAAGGGCAAATTTTCATGCTTTTTGGCTAGACCTGATATCTTTGAGCTGTAATGGGTTGGGAATTATGCTCAAAAAATTGAATATTTTTCACAAAGCAAAGCGATAAATGTGTTTAGACCTGGTCAATTTAGAATTTATTTTAGTTTAGTGCTTACTTAATTCGACGCATTGTTCCTTAAGAATATATTTCAAAGCTTGCATAATTTGAGATATCTTGTTTTGGTATTATTCCTTATATCAGGCGATATCAGGCGAAAATTAATTACTACCTTCCTCGCAAAAATTTCGGTAAAAAACATTTTAAACGAAAGGCCTCGTCTTTCTGTTCTGTCGCAGGGCCCTCCAGAAGGGCTCCAGAGCCTCCCGTTGTCCCTGGTTTAGGGAAGCAAAAAAGATGAAGAACTACAGTTCCGCAATCGTTGATATAAGGCGTTGCTTATCACATTCCTGGACATTGCAATGATAGGGTATAAATTTTGCACGAATTTTTGGATTATGGACAAGTAAAATAATTCTCGATCTTTTTGTCTTTATAGAGTTATGACTGTGCATGTCAACAACTTGAGATTGCCTATGTTATCAACTATTCACTTGAGTTGTTTTCTGAAATCAAGCCTTATCCATTCTCTGGCAAAACATTAAACGCAACTTAAATTTTCCTGAAATGAGGAAATAAGTTTAAGGGCAACACCCAAGTTGGCTTCATTGTGATGAAATGAAAAGTCATACACAGGTAAGAATATATATTTGCTTGATTTATATGTAGATGATTTCCTTCTTCGAGAGCTCTGTGGCCTATTGTGGTATGACATAAAAACTGTTGCTAAATGATATCTTATGTCGAAGAGCATCAGAGTTTCTTACAGCTTCCAAACTGCCTAAAATATGCCTAGATATTGCTTTGGAGTTGTTTAAAAATCGCTAAGAATTGACTAATTTCATCTACGGATGTAGTGTTAGGGGGCTCGGGGGGGGGGCTGAGATTCCCTTTTTTATGCCAAAAATTTGCCAATTCCCCCCCCCCCCCCCCCCATTTGCTATTTTGACAGCACTACACCACTGGTTCATCTTCCTTATCGAAAAACAAACATTTCTCATTTGACTAGAATAATAACCTGCTATCCTTGTGTTATATTGCGTAGACATTAAACTTTCTTCCAAGACTTCAACACAAAGGAAGAAACTTATTAAGGAAGAGCAGCATAAACATTCTAATAGTTGCTTAATAATATAGTATTCGGACGCTTGGAAGTTTAGAAACCCGGTCCCAGTGTGCAAGTTCGGTTAAAATCCATCGACTAGATATTTTTGCTCGGAAGCTAATAAATTCGCATCAAATTTTGCCAAGAAAGGTCTTCATAAAAAATTGGTAGATGGATAAAGGAAAATACAATAAATATTCTGAATAATCTTTTTCTGGTGGAGAGGCTTTCGAGCTCATTTCTCCGGACTGCCATGTTGTTTACTAATAAGGTGATCTGGCAGGCCCTTGAAATCATCTGCCTGTCGAGCAACCGGGCTATTCTCTGCAAAACTGTTTGGCTTTGATGGCGTTTATTTAAAATATCTGGCTGCAAACCTTTGCCATTTTTGACAGCTACAGCTTGTTTGAATGAAAGCTAACTTCACAGGTGCGTCCTAACTCAATCTTTCACGCATGGCTGAACACAGATCAGCGTCTAGGCCTGAATTCTGGTGTCGGTCTGAAATCTTTCGAACCTGCCTGTCTATCTATTTTGCCTGAATAAATTTACATGCGATAAATTGACAAAGATTGCTGCAATGAAATAAGTAAGTTATTTCTAATTATTTGCAAAATGAAAGAATTGCCTTTTATTGCCTAATGGTTGTTTAAAATTCCGATTCCCTATTGCACTTCATAAATTAATTTTGGTTTTTAGGTACCCTTATAGGTTTAGAGAGATCTTTAGGCTCATTAACCAGTGGTGTAGTCATTAAATTTAAGGATGTATAACGCAAATGTTAAACAAGCTACCTTTTTTCTTTAGAAATATGAAAATTATGCCATATAGATGTCGAGAAATGTTCACTTTGAATCTGATTTTGATTACGTGAAATAATCAACGATAGGATTTCTGAAATACGTATGCCAAACGTAAAAAGATTTTTACCGCTTGCATTCTCAATAGTGTCTTGGGTAAGATCTCCGCTAAACAACTGTCATTAACGCGATTTGCTCCCATGGAAAGCTTAAGTCAAGGAAGGGATCAAAGTACGAAAATCGCAATCATTCATATCCACGTTTGCAATTAAGTAAACATTTACGACATATTGACAGTGTAACAACAACAACGCTAAAATATGTCAGTTTGTGAATAGAGTTTGTGAATAGGTAATGTGTTTGAGGAAGAAGTTTTGGTACATATAAAAACGGATCTGCTGGATTATATTAAATGAGCAGTTGCTTCTGATACAGCTATCGACTTAAAAAGGTATATAGAAGTGATGAAAATGCCTGATTTTCCCTCTACTGTTGTCTGGCAGGGAATTAATGGCAGGGTACAGCAGAAGAAGTAATATCAAGTGTTCTGAGGTGGCAAATAGGCAGCATGATTGCACAGAAACAGAAAGCAGCTTTTTTAGAGCGTTGGAAAAAGAAGACTTGAAAAGATTCGGTGGATCTGACGACACGGATCGGTTAAGAGTTACCAATAAGCCTATCAACGGCAATAGAGAAGACATTGTTAAACATGGAACAGAAGAGTATTGTAATGGGAAAAACGAGTTGCGGTTTGAAGAGAAAAGGGGAAAAGTAGCAAGGAGAAATTCAAAGGCAATGCAGTCGAAAGTTAAACAAAGTAGATTTGTCCAGAGGCGACTTCCAAGTTTTGCGGATACCAAGAAAGCAAGAGGTTGGCATTCAGATTCTGAACTTGATTCAATGGCTAAAGGGAAGAATTTGAAAATAAAACATAAGCGGAAAAGTAGGGAAAAGAATAGCATAGAACTAAGTTCGCAGAAGTTCGCAGAGAGAGAAAGAAGGGATGATGAGCTGGAACTTCGATTGGGTCAAGAAAGAGGAAACGACAATGATAAACGAGTTGAAACAATATTGCCTGATAGTACAAGAGATAAAGACGCTGAACTGGCAGAAATCAGATCTCCTGGAGATAAAAAGAAACTCGAAGAGTCGCAAAAAAGAAGAAGAGTTGCCAATAAAAAAGCATTGTATAAAAGAAACTTGCTAAATTGCAGCTTTCCATCATCTGAGCAGGATGATGCGTATGAAAAAAAGCTGACACATGAGATCTCCGGGGAAAATAGATTGATGAATCTGCTGATTGACTACTTCAAAGACTTGAACAAAGAAATAATGGAATTTCGCCAGGAAAAGAAAAAAACACGAGAAAAGGTTCAGGAAATCGAAATAAAGCTGGAGAAACTTATTGCAAAGATCGAAGCTCAAGAAATATTTATGGAGAAGCAAAAGACAAAAACATTGAACTGTGAAGGGACTGGGATCAATGTTATGGACAGGGCTAGTATAAAACAAGAAATTCGTAGTATCGTCGGGGAAGTTCACAATAAGTACAATAGACAGTTGGTGGAGCACGAAGTAAGGATGAAGTATGTTCAAGAAAAGGCAGAATCAGACATGAAACATCTCATGAAATGCATTACCAGTAATTTTGCGCAGCTTTCTGCCTCTCAATCTATGGAATCAGAAAAGAAAGTTGATATGTCCATAAATATTCCAGCTAAACACATGCCAGCAGCTACAGACCAGTCTGATCGTGTTACGAAGTTCATTGTCAGTAAAGACGTTGAAGAAAGCATGTTTCCCGATTGTGTGTTAAAAGAAGCATGCTGCCCAAGAACTAAAGGGGGGCTAAATGAGGCAAAAGTAGAATTACCAGAAAAAGATGTTAAATTAAAATCTCCAAGATCAGAAGAACAACGTAGAAAATATGAATTCTATTTCCCCAAAGAGAGTAGGGATAAAAAAGAAAAGAAGAGTGACGATGCAAAAATCGAAGCAGAACCGACAAAAGAAATAATGCTTGTCAGCAATGAAGCTACCAAACAAACAACCAAAAATTCTGGGTGTCTTGTGAAAGACCATGAAAATGAATCTGGTAGAGTGCTTAAGGTCTCAAGCCACCCATCAGGGCTTGGAACATCATATATAGAGTGGAAACAATTTTGGAGCGAGAAGCTACAACGGAGAGTTACAATTAATGGAAACAAAAGTAACACAACGGAGAAGAAAGATACAAATTCAAGTAGAAATACAAACTAGAAATTATAACTTACACTTACATCTATTATATCAGAACCAGATAGTTCTTGTTGGTTAACATTAAATGCCATTCTATTGTCGTTCTTAATTCAATATTGATTGATCTATATTTACATACTATAAACAGTTTTTAAGGCCACTAAATATGTTTTGTTAGAATTATAAAAAAACTGTTGATTAGCTGATGAAGTCTCCTCTTTTTTGTTAGCATGAGAAAAAGCTTTAATAAAAACATTGTTTATTCTTATGACTTTCCATTCTTACGTAGATTCTTACTTTTCATTCTTATTTTTTGAGAAGTCGAGCCTCGCTGTTCTTATGAAAGGATTGCAAGCAGTTTTAACATTCATCGTTGTATGTCTTGGCAAAAGAAAGTTGATCAGAATTGAAATAATGCTGTACAAAATCCTAATTATTTTAAAAGAAGTTTTACGAATTGGAATATTTGTGCTGTCACTTTTTATTAGAGGTAACAGTCAACTGCGACCCTTTCTTGAAAGCCTTTTAGAGACAAAGTAGAAATTTTAGTCATTTTATAGAGATTTTTAAGGCTCTTGGGCAACTAGCATACATGGCAACTACTTTTTCAAAACAGGCCTTATATCTTTCTGCATGAAAACAGCAAATATTGTCACTTCTCCTTGCGTAAAAACAGACTGCCAGTCGTGCAAGAAACTCAACAAACATTCCAAAATTTAAACTTATCATTTTGACTATTATCTAAAATATTGGATTGCAAAGTTTCCACATTTTGGGTTAAAAAACATTAATTTTCTGCTTTTTTGCAAGCAAAGCAAACACAAGCAAATACTGTTTACTTGCAGTCTCTTAGTTAATCCAATCTCTATAGAACTGAACAGATACAAATTGAAATTGTACCAAAATCATTATCAGGTAACCTCAAAACACTGTATCAATAATTTTACAAGAACACATTAAAAATGTTGTGAACAATAGAAAATGCCCCAAATCTAAATCTGTTACAAAATCTTCTTTTACAAAATTGTATGACCATCCTTTTACTATATACCACAAATTCTGTTTTAAGACTCATTCTCTAACAAGCCTCCCATTTTTGGAAGCAGGAAAAATAAGACCATTAATAAACAAAAATACCAAACTTTAAAAGTATAATATTTCATTTATGATCTTTACTGCATTGTCATTGAGGTTCATTTTAGTTTGCCTGCTGTTCGTAAAAACCACAGGTCTTTGACATTGCATTTGATAATGGGACCACAAGCCTGTCTTCCATTACCTTGGACCAGTGGATATAAACTCAAAGCAACAAATATTTAGGATCCCTACCCCCCACCTCTAGACATATGAGTGCACAATACAGAAATTGTGGTATGGTGCCCTGACCCTTCAATTCTTGTTTCTGTTTTCAAAGGTCGGTAATCCTTGCTAACAAACTTTAAAAGATACCAAACAGTCAAACTATTCAGAAGTCAAAAAGAAAAACAACCAAATAATGTCCCACCATTTCATTTTATAACATTGCATACAATTGTCTTTACTCGTCCTGAAAAAAAAACAGGAGGTCAATTAAACAAGACAGTAATAAAGATTCCAAAAAATTGAAGCATGAAACAAATGGCTGCCAAAACAAAGAAAGCTTGTTTTTTGAGAATAAGCTGGCTATGTTATTTCACATACAGAGCTGGAGGGACAACCTTGTGGATGGCAGTGTAGGACATTGGCAACAATTAGTTAAATAATATTTATATTGAAACTACTTAGATTTTCTATATATACCATTGTGTATACCAGCCACTGAAGCAGTGACTTAAGTTCAAGGTGTGGTTACCATGTGCCTATATATGTGCTTGTAAATTTGTTACTTAGCAACAAAAATCAAACATGGCCACTTTTCAACTGTTTAGGTCTGAGTGCATGAAGGAATTCCTATAAGAGCATAACAGTTGGCAAGCATAACAGTCAACATATGACAAAGAAGGTTATGCAAAATTTTTCCTTTCCAATTACTTACTGGAACTTCTAATTTGCCATTGTTGATCATGTCAATCAAATCATGTGGAGCTTTTCCATCCACAGTGCAACCAACAGACTGTGCGGTGCCAAGAACTTCCTTCACAGTTCCTGAGAATTTACGTGCAATAGATCTTTGCCTCATTTCTCTTGCAATGCTGTATAAATCATCCATTGAAATATTGCCATCGTGTTTAACTGCAAAAAGCCACAAATGATTATCCAGGCCTTGCCCGGAAAGGCGCTCGATCGAGCGCGCGCGCCTAGAGCGCACCCAAAAAAAGCCTTGGAGAGCGATTTATAGAGCCCCTCAAAACGTAAAAACAATATTAACACGGAGCAAAATAAATTTTTGGAATTTTTTGAATCAACTTGATCAAGCATAAACAATCTTCCCAACAGACCGCAATATTATGATTTGCGTAAGATTACCCCTTGTGAAAAAATTCAGCAAATTCAACGTTGGGTTTTCGATATCATTTTTAATCTAATAACCCTCTAATAACCATCAAGGACACAGGCCATCAAGCGTATTCTCCCGCAGATTTATTTGATTTTCGAGCAAGCGTTAATCTTCTTTTGAAGTATATATATATTATTTTCTGTTTTTCTTAATGACTTAAAATCGCCTGTGCAAATCAGCGATCACGTTTCCGTCCAAATTATCGCATTGTTTTCATTTGCTTTTGCGAGTAGTAGATGTTCTAGCGTTTCTTATAGAATGGATAACATGAAAAAAGGAAACAAAGTTATATGTTCGATTTAAAGCCATGCGTTTTGATGAAGCAATAATGAAGCTGAACATAACAGTAGTGATACTGACACTGATAAAAGCTCATCGCATGATGGCAACTTACATATCTAGAAAAATCTGAACAATTTTGCCACTTTGTTCTATTATATTTCTATATTTATATTAACATAGTGTTTGTTGCATGTTTTGTTATTTCATATTATGGTGCTTTCTGGTATCACCGTTGAATTTCATATTTAACATTCTTCCGAAGCTTTTGATATGAAGCTCTCGATCTCCTAAAGCTCTCGAAGGATGCGCTCAAGGAAATTTACTTAGAGGTGCGAAATAGAGCACCTAGAGTTTCTAAGGGGCTCTTTTTATGGAGCACCTTCATTTTACTTAGAGCAAGGCCTGATTATCATAAAAAGTTCCAATCTCATTGAATAACTGGTATGTTATCAAAAAATTATTGCTTTTAGGAAGCATTGAGGGTAAAAAATAAATTAATTAATTTGGTTACACTTGATACTTTTTAACAAAAGTGCTTTCACTGAAATTTAATTGGAATTGCTATGTCACCATTCATTTAGCTTAGTTGGTAATATCTCTTTGTCAAGTGGGTGTTATACATAATTCTCTCTAGTAATACATAATACTCTCAGTAAATAAGTTACATGGTCATCACATTTCACTCTAACCTACACCAACACTGAACTTTTTGAGACCAAACTCATAATGATAATCATACTTTTGGTCCCAATACAATTCTTCCTATTGTTTGCTAGCACAAAGAAGATTTGAAATTATAGTTTGAGGACTAAAAAGGAAGAAACTGACTGCAAAATTCAGGTTGAAATTTTTCACCCTCAAATGCATACTATGGTTAAATTCCTTACAAAATTTTTCAAGGCATTTAATCATGGTAAATAGGCCTTCTTTATAAGGGTTTATAAGCTTTCTCACAACTCTTTTTCTTTACTTTATATTGAGATAAGACCAATGTCATGGGCACTGGGATCATAAAAACCTACACACTTTTTAAAAGGAACCTACATTAAGGCCTAGTTCCAAAAGTTCCTTATTCATAGACCTCGAGTCATCAAATTGTAGTACCAAAAGTTCCTTAACAGTTCCTTAATTTTCACTGCATATCAAGTGCCATAAAAATGGTACAGAAACAGGAAAAACATCAAAATTTTGAATTTTGCCTTTACTTGTGGCTAGAACTCAGGAGCAAAAACACAAAGAAGGCTATGTAAAATGAAAATCTCATTTTCAGTGTTTTAACTACAATAAGCCTTAACACGTAATAGAGAGAGGGGCGAGACAGCATATGGGGAAACTACTCAATGAAGCACTTGACACACAAATAGCAAACAATCTAAGTATTGGCTGCAAAAATGGAACCAGCTTTTTAGTTCTTGATGCTTGCAGTCATAAAAATTTTTCAAATCGAAAAGTCCCTCAGGGATTTCGTTTTTAAGTAGCATAAATAAGTTCTTTAAATATTTTGGCCTTCTTCATGTAGGTTCCTTATAAAGTGGTTTCTTATTAAAAAAAGTGTGTACTTGAGATAACAATTGGGCCTTCCAATTTTTTTCAATTTTAACGAAAAGGTTTCTATTTAATAAAAATATAAAAAGGATTACCATGCTTGACCTTCTTCCTGTCTCTTGGTGGCTCTTTCAATGCCTTGATGATCAACGATGCAGCACTGGGTACCACGCTGATAGTTGCTTGTCTGTTTTGAATGGTAAGCTGCACAGTGATTTTCAGTCCCTTCCATGCAGTTGTTGCTTTTGCAATATCATCACCAACTTTCTTTGGTGACAAACCAAGTGGACCAATCTTGGGGGCGAGAGATGATGTGGCACCCACTTCCCCACCAACTACCCTGAGGTAGACTGTGAAGATTAAATATTCAAATACATTGAGTTCAAAGGGCTCGAATTGTATCATAATTCATACGATACATTAAACAATCTATGCCTGCAGAAGAACAGGCTTTAACATCCGTATATTCGTCGTGCATCAAAATTATTTGTAACCCTTAACAAACCTGTGCGTAATAACTGTGTATTTGGTTAATGTATAGATCGAAGATAATATTTGAGAGAAATAACTGCACTGGCTAGACCTTCGAATCGGAACAAAAAGCAGTTGCAAATAATAGATGAGCGTAGAAATAAGCTCGCTACTGATGTGAATTAACTTAGAAGTGACAATTCAGGCTATTAACGGCTATAGCTGCTATCGCTTGTAAAAAATATTACCATAAAATGTGAAGTTTCAGCAACAGAACATGGTAACTTATCTGGCTAAAATTAGGAAATATGATTTAGAAATCATCATACCGACAACGACTGCACTTGGATCGAATTTTGGAGGCATTTTACTTGGTAGATTTTAGCAGATTGTTGCTTGATGACTGTGTGGATGAGTCGTTTTTGGACTCGACCAATTTAAGATGCACAGCCTTCGTACAAAACTGGAAAAGAAAGTTAGGCCCACAGGAGGCAGTCAAAAGCTCCTCCGTCCGGTCTGGTTGTCTGCGCAACGAGGCTACCGAAAACCAAATAGGCTACTCTAATGAAGTGTGAGAGTGTGAGAAGGAAGAACCGAGAATAGGCTGTCCGCCGGATTCTGTGAATCTTGCAATGAGTGTTGTTATGAAAGGTATACAGGAACAAAGCAATACGACGACGAGAATCCAATGTCACGAAATAAATTTTCAAAATAAATTAAATTTAAGAGTATAATTTAATTTATTTTGAAAATTTATTTCGTGACATTGGATTCTCGTCGTCGTATTGCTTTGTTCCTGTATACCTTTTACTCTAATGAACACCGCCCTCTGATAAACGCCGCACCTTCAGCCAACCATTTGAAAAAGCAAAGCGCTTCTGATTCGTATGGTAATAATGCAGCAATGCTTGTCCAGAAGATGTTTCAAGAAGGTTTGCATCAAGTACTGCCATTCCCGTATGAAACAACATCATTGCTAGCAACGATTCCAGCAACATCTTGCACAGCTGAAAGATCATTCAGTGGCCTTCGACGGCTGAAAACATATTTCAGGTCAACCATGGGCCAAGAACGGCTATGAGATTCACATAGGCACTACTTAGCATCGAGAGGAAATTTTCAAACGAAGTTTTGAAAAGTGACATGAATGCGATGATTGATACATTTGGACATAGAAAGGGTCGGGACTCACATTTTTTTGACTTTAGTCGAATTCAAGAGTTGATAGTAGTATTTTAAATGATATTACATAAAATATTGGAAAATATTATACATTGCTGCCCTTATCTACGAGAAAATTACATCAAACTTTTAGATCTGAACAGTAGACAACCAAACATGTCTCGGATTGGTTTGCTCAACTCTCAACTGACTATTTTTACTTTAGATATTTCGGTGAAAAAGAACTCGTAATGTAAATATTCCTATGTCAAGTTCCTTATCACCAACAGGCTCATAAATATATGCATGCCTCTGTACTCGGGCAAAAATCCTACCGCCCCCCCTGTAAAAATTCCGCCGTACGCTTATGATTGAACGCCGCATCTTGAAAGGCGGCGTTCATTAGAAAACACACCAAACGAGAAGTAAGGAATCGTTTATACGCTTTATATTCGAAAGCCATGAAAGTTTTTATCTCATAAAAGACGAGGACTCTGACGGAGACAGGGTTATTGACATTCCTTGACTTGACTTGACGTTCTTTCATCTTTTTCATTGCATTTTTCTTGTCATTTTTCATTGGACAAATTTTTCATTTTGTATTGAAGGCCGCCCTCTGATGAACGCCGCCCTTTATTGAACGCTGAATCCAAAACTTGGAGTTTGTAGTGATAAAGGCCACGGCGTTCTTTAGAGGAAGTATGGTAGGAGTGAAATGTCAGGGTTAAAGAGTCAAATAATCAATCAATCATTACAATCAGTCAGTAAATCAATCAATCAATCAATCAATCAACCAATCAATCAATCAATCAATCAATCAATCAATCAATCAATCAATCAATCAATATCTATTTACACGAGATACCTTTCAGCAAAAAAGAACTATTTACTAAAAAAGAACTATTAAAAAAAAGCTATTCGAAAGATACTCTCTAAAACCTGTTTTAAAACGAGCGATGGATTCTTTTTCTCGAATGTTGTTAGGAATATCATTCCAGTTTTTGACACCAGAGAAATAGAAACCTCGCTTTGCATACTCTAACCTAACTTTGGGAATTTGCAGGTCTCCACGGTTTCTGGTCCTATACTCTGAAATAATGGATCTTTCAATGAATTTATAGCGAAGATTTTCGGGACAGAGGTCATGCAAGATTCTATATGTCATGACTCCTTGGTCAAAGGAGATTAAAGACTTTACAGTGAGCCATTTGCAAGTAATACTTGGCATTCGCTATTAGCCCTTGTCTGTAAACGTTGCAGTTGGGATAGTTTGGTGTTCGAGAGAGCATTCCAAACAAAGTTTGCTTTCAGATAGCGAAGATTGCTTTCAGAAAAAGCTTTGTAAACTTGATCAAGTTTCCTATGCAGAAGGATGTTGTTCAACTTTCTAAAGGAGCTCAAGCCCCCTTTCAGTTTGTTTTTGATTGTTGAAATGGGTGACCTTGACATTTAGAAAATATTTGTCTAGCATCGCTAATTAAAAACATTATGTTTTAATACTTTCTTTATTCTTTCCATTTTGTAAACCGGCAGCCTATCGGTATATAAACAGTGCTGAAATTTATTCAATTTAAAATTTATCAGTCTTATTGGGTCAATGGTGATACTAGCACGAAACTATGCAACAAGAGGAGTTTGATACGCTGAAAAGATAGGATATGGACCCCAACTGAAAATTGCCCCCTTGTTCTATTTTTAGAGTGGGGTACTTTGTCACAGACCATTACAGACGGTAATATCGTATCTCAGTCTCACTTTGGAAGATTTTCATACAAAATGTACCCTTGTGCTATTTTTAGACAGGAAGAAGGATTTTCATACTTCCTTTGGAATGGGGTCCCCCATTCATATGCCATTGGTAATAAAAAGAAAACTGCTTGTTGGTCATGCCAAAATGATAGGTAACCAAGGACATGCCTTGGTTTTGAACACACAGGCATATGTATGCAATTGATTTCTAAATGCATTCTAAATTACTTGTTCCCAAATCGTCCGTACCTAATTTTAGAATTCTGTAGTCCGCCTCCGATTCACTTTCTGTCACAGAAATTTGGTTGGCACCAGGGTCCACGCCACGAATTTGATAGTGGGGGGAAGGGGGGCAGGCTAGCAAACGTAGCGGGCCTAGACTTCTTTCCCTTTTTACTGCAGCTTTGAAACTACTTGCTTCGAAAAATGGCCACCCCGCCCCCCCGATGGACCATGGCTACCCCGACCCCTCGGTGGCGTGGGCCCTGTCATTGTTTCTTCGTTATCAATTGAAGACTCGTCAGCGCAATATATTGTAGTGACCATTCTTGGGCCATCTACACTCAATTCCTACTAATTCATCGAGCATGCCATCGTCATAACATCTTCCTACGCAGGGGCGAAAATACCGGGGGGTGTGGGGGGGTGTGACACCCCCCCAATCTAAAAAATAGTCGATTTCGCAGGGCAATCGAAGATTTCGCAGGGCGCCAAGAAGAGCTTTGTTGCCACGCAGAAATGTCACCTCTGAAGTTCGTAAAGGGCCGTTTAGGAATTTTGAAATGGAAATATCATATTTGTTATGAACCTGCCTTCCTGATATTGCATTTTAGAGAACGGAACAGGTATGTAAGGAAAAGCTCCGTTATTTGCAAAGCGAAAGCATGTCTTACCGAAAGTCATAGCCAATGGATGCAATGATTGATGCATATGTTTATGAGGGCAAGGTTGAGTCCATATAAATTAATTTAAGTTGTAAATTATTTTCATGACAGGCACGGCGTCACTGGGGGGAATAGGGGGCTGAAGGCCTTCACTTTGGTCAAGATAAGAATTTTTTTATCATTTTTTCTATTACTTTTTAACAGTGCATGAACTAAAAAACATAATAAATCGTTAAGATACCGATTTTGTTTGATCTAATTACTAACTTTTTCACGTATATTTTTCTTTTTTTTCTTTTATTTGCATTAATTCAGTAAATCACTTTCTGTATCATTGCAATGTTTTAATTTTGGATGGCCTTCTCGATACAAGAAACTGCACATTTTTGTTCAGGAAATAAAATTCTCCCAATCAAAACAACATCTTCCTCTGTCATTCACAACTATGTGCAGTCTGAAACGAAAGGTTACCGTTTCTTTCTTTCCACAACGTCTATCACTAGAGTTTTAGCATGACATGCCCCTCCCTATTTTTCCCAATAAACAATAATCAGTTTCTTAGCACAACAGTATTTTGCTAAATTTCAGTCTGAAAGATGCTTTTTAGCCCTATTACAAGGTATAATTTCAAAAATTTTCTTCACGTCGGACCCAACCATGGTGGGTCCTCCTATATCACTAAACATGATTCTTAGTACCCCGGGCTCAATTTCGTTGCTCCGCCCATATTATGCACCAAAAAATCATATGCTACGAGATAGAACCTTTATTATCAAGGAAAACCAAATTTGACATATCATTTACGCTCACGTAGAGAAATAGATATTTCATAGGCAATGAAGTTTCAAGTTTGTTTTTATTGCTTAGAAGTTTGTCCTTGGTAAAGACCAGTGTACACTGGTGAAGCTTTCACTAGTAACCTATAGAGTATAGAAAAACCTTTGCTACGAGGTCTGCAGGGCATCACACAGCTTTGCAGGGCAGAAACCCTTTTCACCCCCCCAAACCTACTGGCCAAGTTACGCCCCTGTTCCTACGTTATTCACGGCATCACATACCATATGACATTCATCAAGCTGATTCAACGTCTCCCGTTCTTTGCCTAGATCTTCCTTTATCACGTTGTATCATCCTTTCGTCATCCTAACTCATCCTTATTTCGCATTTTGATTTTTATATAAAAGCATGTTAATTCAAGTAATTTTAGTTGAGTTCAGAACAGAATTTTAAAGATAACATAGTCTCTCTCTCTATCTGGCTCCGGGTTCTCCACACGTTAAATAAGACTCGCTGGGTTTGGAAAAGGACGGAAAAGACACACTTTTGTCGATGGATTGTTTATTTACTGTCAGTGCCTAGGTCTATCTTTGTTCCGATGTACACTAAAATATTTAAAAATTAACAGACAAAACCGACTTTTATACGAGCGCACTAAACGAATGCCTATTATGTACAACCACAGTTTCCTAACTGCTGTCGACCCGACTCATCACTGTGACGGCACAAACTGGCCTTGGTGTTCGCAAGAACTACCTAATTTCAAACTCTGATTAAACCCACTTTCGCTGGTCAAATTATGACAATTTTGGTGTCAAACGTATCGGAAAAGATAGGAAGTATAACTCTTGAAAAAAACAGGAAGTAAAATTTCGCTGCATAGACACTTTAAGAGTTTCTGAGTCCACCCTTTTAGCATTATGTATCCAGCTCCTTGGTTGGTTTCCACAAAACGTGCGAATTTTTTCGTGGAAATAGCTTGACATGTAGCGCGAAGCAGATCCTTCGTAAACGGTGACGCGACAATCACTTTTCAAACTGCTCACCATAACCAAAAGAAGAACATGGTTGGTTGCAAATTGTGTATCCGTTTGTTCCCGAAGGAAAATGGAATGGGGAAAGACGCTCGCAAGCTGGAGAAATATTAAACACGGATATAAACATTTGCATAATTCCCTGATACTGTTACAACTTTGAAGGGAAATGGTGAAATTAAGATGATTTGATTGTGTTCGCATTATAACAAAACTGTAATGAAAGTACGCGTACATACATTATTCATCAGGCAACGGTAACATAACCAAGTTTTATTACAATGTTTGCAGAAAATGTAAAATTCAAGTCCCAGTCTGGGTTTCCGGTTTTATCCAAACCTACGTTCAAATTTGGAACCAGTCTGTCAGTAATAACGTTCCAAGATCAGCAACAGACTAGAACAGAGCCGCCGAGAGCTAGGACAGACCCCTTGATAGCTAATAGAAACGGGCCTAAACTTTTTTAATTTTCAAACAAGATATTTTTGTTCATTTCAAGTAGATTATCAAAAATGGAAAAATTTGCTATTGACTAAGCTGAGAAGTTCTAAAATGTCTCACACACTAAAATACATAACTTTAAGTCTTCGCTTTTATATCATTACAAAATATAACAGAATAAAGCAGCTTCAATTTTTTACGGGCCCCCAAAAAGGCCCGGGCCCCGGGGCAGTTGCCCCGGCTACCCCCCTTCTCGGCGGTACTGGACTAGAATATTAAGAAGCATCAGATAAAAAACTGCCTGTCTACTTCTGCAGTTGTTGGTGAATTCAAGAAAACTATCCGCCTTGGATTGCATTGGTGAGTGACTTTGGTGTTACTATGAAATTCACAAGAGTCAGAGATGTGAATGCATGCAAATCTGTCAGAGCTGGCCTCGAACGATTTTTCTCGTCAGTGCTGATTTTAACGTCATAGCTACAAAAAGATGGAAGTGCACAGCTCTCATTAAGAAATTGCTTTTATGCATGGAATCAACAACAGAAAATGTAAAACAGCATGTCGAAACAAAGAAATTAAAAAGCAACTCAACACAAATAAAACACAATTGATACGAGCAAGAAATTATTTGTTACTACTATATTCAACTTTATACTCTACACAACAAAATATAGGTTAAGACGAAACTTTATAACAAGCTTCTCCCGGCTTTCGAATACGAGGTGCTATTAAAATACTATCTTTATTCTGAAATAAATCAAGGGAACACCACAAATGCACTATGCAGGCAAACATTTTTACCAAATTCGTCTCTGTGCTAAAAATAAAGGTACGATCTGTCACTACAGCGTGCTAGCTTTACCTCCCTAATATCAATATACCATAATACATTGACATTTCCTCCAAACTTTGAAGAAATATTTTGGCAACGAAAGAATAACAGATGTTAATGCACAATTTAAGATAGTCCATTCCCTTGATGCAAGATTTGTTAGATCACATTCTTTTTCCGGCATGCAAACCAGTATCTTATTCCAGTATCTTACTCCCCTTTGTTATCTTTGTGATTTCTTGATCAAATTTAACATATATGAACAAATTTCTTTTTTAAACATGCACATCCATATTAATTCTTTAGCAAGGACTTCATTTACAGTAAACTAGGTTGCATCCGGTTCACTATCTTCTAGAATGGTCGGGTTGAAAAAACTTTATTCCAGGTGAGTTGAAAGAAGAATTCGCTCGGGGGGAGAAATCGCCCTGTCCTGCTCCAGGGGCTTGCGAAACAGTGGAAGATGGTGGCAATGATGTCTTCGGTTGCTTTGCCGCTGACTGGAGCATCTCATCGATGTTTTCAGGCAAGCCTTTTCGTCTCTTCTCTCCAATTTTGTACTGATCTGGAAGGCAAACGAATGGCTTCTTAAAACTTTCCAATTCAAGAGCTAAGAATCTTGTTTCAAAGAATAGTACCTTGAAGCCTCTTTTATTAGATCTAGAATCCTGGACAGATGTTAAGTTAAAATACAACTTTTTGCAATTCTCTGCTCTGCATTGCCCACGCAAACTCGAATCCTCCCTCCATTACACCTCAAAACAATGTTGGATAAGTAGTTCTTTAATTTAGGTTTCAAAAACAAGCATTCAGCATCTAATCTGAGAAGGGGGAAAGTTATTTCTTTGAAGGTCTTAACAATTTCTGTCCCGGATTGTAGTTGCCTTTCGGCATATAGTGTACTTCACTAGCCACTAAGCAGAAACTGTTTCAACTCTAAAATTTGCAAAAAGTGTTCGGAAATAAATAGCGTATTGATATTATGGGCCTAGGCAGGATAGCATTCTCTAGCTTCACGTCTTACAGCCCAAAAGCACTCTATATCCTTATCGCCCCTTTTAAAAATAAAACTAAATCCATATTCTTTGACAGAGAGGTAAAAATATTCCTCCCTCACTCTTTTGGCAATCTCGTTTTGAACAATGCTAAAACAAGGAAAATAACATGTGTATCTGGGAAATTGCTCCTCCTAAACCACTGAATTATTGTTCTCCAATTTGTTGAGAGTAAAAGAAGAAAAGAGGCCACATGATCTTTTAGCTCTATCAATAACTTGCAGATGCATGTTTTGCCTTTCTTTGTATGTTGAACGGGATCTGCAACCAAAGTTAATTTTGAGCGTGTACGGGCGTTTTAATTCAAATTCCACGCGGGAACGATCGTATGCTTTTTGGACAATACTTACCCCACTCTCCCCTCTATAAATTTACTTTGTGAAAATCGGTTCTTACGGCTAAGATATACTTCGAAGGATTGATGGAGTTTTGCAAAAAAATCAAGTTATTTTTTATTACAGTCAATGAAAGACTTACCGTACTCTACAGGCTGGTAGATAAAGGGAACAGGTTCACTGCATGCGTTGTCCTTAGACCTCTTGAGCTGCAGCTTAACTTCAATAGGCTTCTGTATTGCTTTATCCACGTACGGTGGCGTTCGGAAGACGATTGCAGACTACAACATTAAATTATTATCTTCCATCAAAGTGTTGTCAATGCCTCCTCATAACAAAGAAATATGTTTTTGAGCCACTACAAGTTGTTATGTGTTAATGAGCGCAATAATTGTTATACTGCCACAAATATGTTATAGTCATCCACACAACTGATACTCTTAACAAATACCCAATGATAAATATTAGATTAAAAACATTTTCAACAGGTAAATCCATGGACTAATGATAACTATGTCTCTTAAAAGGATTCCTGCCTGCTGCTAAACCCGTTATTAGGTGTCTAAACACATAACAAAACAGAAGACATGAGATCGGTGTAACGACTGCCACAACATACTCAGCAGAAAGCAACTAGCACTACTGAATAACTGCCCAACACAGAAGACCTAAATGTAGTCATGGCTTCAGAGGCCCTAGGGCAAAACCGAATGACGAGGCCCCTTGCGAGCGGACCGAGCAGAAAATTCTTGCGACCACGTTCTTTAGATTAGCTTGAATTACACTTCAGAATATTTTGTGCAGTCATTTCTTGGAGTCGTTTAAAACGTTTTACATTTTTTGAGCATTCTTTTAATACGTTTAATACGATTGAATCAATTCTTAAAATCTTGATGAGGCTCCTACACCCAGAGGCTAATGTCCTCCTTGCCCCATTCAATTTTCAGTTGCTAGCTCTCTGGGAAAAACAGGAAAATAAGGTAGTGCAATAGATCTCCAGTATCTAAAAACCAAGGAGCAAGCAATCCGGAACCGGATTACAGATAATGACAATTGAAAATCACCCCAATGGATATTTTGAAATTAAAAGTCCGTCTTTGTAACGGATTAAATGTATGAAATTAAATGTAATTGTAACGCGATTACAATTTGTATTGACAAAAGTGAAAAAACGAACATCTACCTGTTTGTGTACATCTGCCTGTGAGAACTTGCCAAATCCTTCCCAAGTTAGCTTACCTAAAAAAGGCAAAGCCAGTCAAAGCAGTGGGTATCAAAAGGTAAGAAAAATATTTATTGTGCAATAACAAAATCCAGCTGCCTTGAATCTCCCATGTGTTAAGCATTTAAACCTTCAGGAGTGTATGTATCTGCAGCACTCATAAAAAATTATAAAAAAAGTTAGATACAATATGTAGACAGCTATAGCTTTACAGCAACAAAAATTGACAGCAGAAACAGGCAAATTATGGGTGAATGCCCTTTGTTTTCCTTCCCTAGCACCTTCTTCCCTTCATGAAGATGTCTAACTTGCTTTTTTAGTATGCTATATTATTAAACATTTCTCTCTGCACTAATGAAGTGCTCTCAAACAAGAAATAGCATCTAAAAGGCTGTTTCTTAAAGACAATGCGATTCATATATCAGACTTGGTCTTGTTTTCTATCACTACATTTACTGACAAATGGATTTTCAAAAAGGAAATTCCTAGCCCAGATTAAAGTAGAGTGCAGAGCAAAATTAATGGTATTTCAGGATTTAAGGAGCAACAGAAAATATAAATAAAAATGCATTTAGAGAATGATATTGTTGCGTAAAGATAAAAGAGCAAGGAATAAAATAAAATACCAGCACTGTCTTCTTGATACAAGCGAACTGCTATATGTTCTAAAATAAAACAGCAAGTAGAAAGTTAAAGCCCTATGTTGACGAAAACTGAAGATACAAAAACAAAGTAAAAAAATTTGTAAATATTCAAGAAAAATCCAGCCTACGCAAAGTTGTATGAAACATTTCAATAATTCATAAAATCATCCAGGTGAAAATTTTCAGAACTAAGACAGGTGTTGGTAACGAACTTATTCCTCAAAACTTTTGTGATACTTTGCATTTTGATAAACAGTGTTTTGGGTTGGGTGAAAAGCATTGACAAATGGAGAAACTTCTATTTTCTGTAAATTCGCAAAATTGCTTAAAACTAAGGAAAAATATGCATAGCAGTTAAAGTAAAAGCACATTTTGGCCATTTACCTTTTTGAACTTTATCACATAATAAAAATACTTCTTCACCACCAGCAACAGAACTGGATGTTTTGCTAATGCGGCAGATTCTTAACTGACCTGCATGTGCAGCTTCTGCAAAATATAATACAAAAGTTCAGTTCAGTTTAAGAAATGCAGTGGGGTGAATGAGCTAATAGGCAGAATAACACATTTTTTAAGATCTAAGCTGAAAACTTCAAAACCTAAGAGGTTGAGCTTGAAGCTTTGGCTGTGTTGACCAAAAACAGTGACTGAGCAGCTTTTGGAGCAGACCTCTTCTCTGCAACTTGAAATGGTACAAATATTTTCAAAAGTGCAGCTTTTCCAGGCTTTAAGCAAATAGATTGGTCCCTGTATTACTGCTATGGTGCCACAAGGGTGAAAAATTCTCTTGAATTGCAGATGTTGGCATCAGAGAGTGGAACCAAATGGAAAATTGATAGGATATTACCAGACAAGCAAAGCTTTTAATCTCATAAAACCTAACCGTAGATGCTAGATTGCTCATCAGCAAACACTAGGGGATGTTGAGCTAGGAAGCCCAGGGAGTTCAACTGTGCCCGTATCAATGACATAAGGTAGCTGATTCTTCCTTGAGTTTTTTTAGATATAATTACAGGGAACTCATTTGTGTTTTTCACATCACTACACCTCTAGCAAGCACACAGTTGAATCAACCAGGACTAAATTTTAGGTCAACCTGCTCAGTGAGCAGAAACTTAAATTGGTAAAGTTTGTGACACTTCTGAACAATAATCACTTCATCAAAACCTATTTGAGGCAGGCTTGCTGCTATAAATAGTGACTGAGTTAGTTTTAACACTCAAATAGCCATAACAATGATATTGAAGGTGGTGTAAATGCAAACAATAGCAGCAAAAATGCTTACTTTGATCATAGATTGGTTGGGACAAAACTGCTGGCAATGTTTTTGTTATTTGTCCACTTTCATCTAACAAAAAAGCTTGAAAGCACAGCCGTACAGCACTGAGATCTATTTCCTTAGAAATCTTTTCTGCTTCTATGAGCAATCTTCTCTTTTCTTCCTCTAAAAGCCACACATAAATAAAAAATGTTAAACTTATGCTTATATAAACCTGATATAGTAAACTCTGAAAGGGAAACAAAATTAATTTGTAATATCACAGCTTCTTTAGGCTATCCCTAACTGCTTCTTTAGGCTTCTCTGCACATTTATTCAAATTAGCTGAATTCAAATTCTATACATTGTCAGTTAAATCATTTTTTAAAGGTTGAATGCTCACAGAGAAGTATGAACGCTAATTTTCAAGGAAGTTTTGGAAACTCCAAGGGCACCAGAGAAACGAACTGACAAACACTCTGTTTGAGGATTGAATGAAGCTCAAGTAATTGGACATTTAGAAGAAGGCATCAATGGACAGTTTGCCAAAACAATTTTCTACTTCCTGGATGTGATTCCCATTCTTCATGCTCTATCAAAGTTACAGGAAAGCTCGTAAACAGTGGTGATGGAGAGGGAATGCAAGTCCCATTTACTACAAAACTAGAAGGCCAGAGCAAATATATTGATATGTGGAAGCAGTTGGTCCTTTAATAAATGGTTTTGGCACAAACACAAACACTACAATAGATTTTTCACAAGGCAAATTAAAATTGAAAACAGAAATGTTCTAAGAGCTTAAAGCCAATTTAGATTGTTAAAAACATGCACAAATGTATTTACCAGCAATAACTAGGGCTACAGATTCATCTATAGCAAGACCAGGTTCGTCATTACCACCAAAGCTTTCAAGAAGGTGTGCAATATCAAAAGATTGTGTAATTTCTGAATTATCTTTTGCAGCTGACAGCTGATTTAATTGGAATTGTTGGCATAACTTTTCATGCATCACTCGTACCAGATCCTTTTTAGTCACATTTTGTATACCCAGGTTTGGAAAACTGTTGAATTCAAATAGAAAGTTATTAAACAAGGATTATCTCTACTTTTTCAAAAAATATTACAAATAAAGTTCATTCTGCAACTGCAGATCTTGACATCTTCTTTAATATTCAATTCAATTTTTCAATTCAATTCAATCTTATTTGTATACTACAGAAGAAGAATACTTTATACATGACCCAAGAAAAAGTATGTACTGATCTAGCCTGGACCCTTAGCAAAAATTATAACTAAAAACATAAGAGTAATTACAATAACAGAAATAATGTTGGTTATCTACTTTCTAAACTGGAGCAAGATAATATAGCAAGTGGATTAGGATTCATTTTCTTCTGATTTCATAATTCTAATATTTTGACAGCATTTGCTTTCTTAGTGATGAGGTAATTTTTTTTCTTTTTTTATATTTTTTTATGGGCTTTGGGAGTTTATTCCATAATTGGGCTCCTTTATTTTGTAGTACTAAATCACCCCAACACTTAATTTGGTTAAATTTTCTGAAAATCATTTATATTTGATAGGTTTCACATTTATTTCTACAGCTATTTATTTTCAAAAGGTTGCATAAGGCTTGTGGCACATTGTCAATTTTATGTTTTATTCAATGAATACAGATCTCATAGTTTTAAGAAGTTTGATTTCTTGTGTATAGAAAGATAAACATTTTCAGATACCTTCGCACCCATTGTTCTTTTGTCTCATCACAGTGAAACATTCCATTTTTAACATCTTTTCCAACTAGATTATAAGGGTGTACCCTAACTGGGTCATCTGCTGTTACCAGTGTTATGCAAACTGAGGCCCTTCCTTTGTAGTTTCCAATCTTTCAAATAATGAAAAATCATAAATCAAATAAAGTATAAAAACAAAACAGGTATATATGATTGTTTATTATGCATGTGACTCACAATTTATGACAAATGACAAAAGACAAGATAAGAAATGAGCTTTACCAAGCAACAAAATACTTTTTCACCATCATTAGCAGAACTGGTGTTTGTTTATTCACGCTGTTACAAAAAGAAAACAAGGAAAATACAATTTCATATATGAAATTTTGAAAACATTTTATATTGCCCAAGCCAAATAAATTCATGTCTCAGATATATTGGAGTGTCTCAAAGCATTTTCTGATTAAAAGATATTTGGGGTTCATAATGCATTGCTTGAAAAGAAAATGCAGAATTCTTCAAAGCAAGAGGCTTACATGAATGGATGGGTATTGCTTGTTCCCTTTATTAGTATTATCAGCAGTAATACCTCCATGAGTCTGGCCTTCAGAGATGTATCTGAACCTATATCCTCTCTGTAGAAAAAAAAGGAATTATCTGTCAACATGTTCCAAGCATAGAGAAAATAGGGAAACAGAATCATGGCTAATGGTTTTGGCTGCAACTATCCTCAAAGGGTGGGGAAAATATTATCCTGCACACACAAATGCATATTAGAAAACCATACTTTGCTTAAATAGAAGAACCAAACACCATTATGATAAAACCCAAACCCTCTAGGGTAAAAGTAGGTAACACTCTTTGTGAGTATTCTTTCAAATCTATTTTTTTCATAATTCATTTCTAGGGTTGCCCTTTAACAAAGTTGATTTACAAGGGGCCCTAACTAAAAAATAACAATTACAATCAATAATACTTTAAAAAATCATATTTATAGCAGTATACATATTTACATAAAATAATACACAAGAGTTTTAGAAATAAAAAAAAAACAAATTTCCACTAAAAGAATGTTTAAAGCTACTCAGTGTTGATGCCTGCTTAGACTCAGCTGAGAGGCTATTCTATAGTTTGGCTCCTCTATAAGAAAAAGATTTTTGCCCATTCGTTGGTTTTTTTCCTGGGCAGTCTCAGGTCTGTTTAAGTATTACAGAGGCTGAGGGAAGCATGCTGTGAGTTACGGGTGAAAAGGCTACAGAAATATTCTGGAGCCAACTCATGCAAGGACTTGTAAACCATTGTTTTTGTTTCACAGTTTATAAGTTCTTAAATAGTCTTCTATCCCAGCTCTTAGATAAATGGTCTGTTTGGGGCATCAAAGCTACTATTGTTAATACCCTTGCAGCATAATTTTGAAGTTTTTGCAATTTGGTAATTTCCATTGAACCACAGCAGCCCCAAACATGAGAACTTTCTTGTTTTCTACTAAAAATAAACAATAATTCCAACAAAAGTACACAAATCAAGTACATTTACCTGCTTTGGTTGTTTAAGAATCTCAATATAAGGTTCGCCTAAAAAACAAGTAAGATTTAATTGGAATCTGGAAAATTATATGATAACTAGATCAACAATTGCTTTTCAAGATTTCATTGGTTAAGAAAAGCTGTTCACTGTCTATTTAAACTTGTTTTTACAACTTTCAAAACTCTGCAAAGGAGGGTTGTATGTGATCATTCACGATCATTCATTTTACTGTAATTGTAAACCCCTCACAGTCCAAATCTGAGTTGTTTCAAAGTCAGACCCCTCACAAACCTGGGTTCCTTATCAGTAAATAGCAAACTGAAAAAAATTCTAGCACACCTAGTCAAGATAGAGCCATTTGGCATATGCCATATGATGACAACCAAATGTAACATTTTGTAGAAATCAACAAACTGGAGCGCTGGGTGGAAATGGTATTAACCCTACTTCTGAGTTAACTTTCCATTTTTCATGCTCCTTGAGTAAATGCTCCAGATTGGTTGTATAGCCTTTAGGAGTTAACGATTGAAGATTAAAAATGATTTCTTAATGGCTGGCGCTCTAGCTAAAGGGCACACCAATAATACTTTTGTGAGCAACAATTTAAAATAAAATTGCATCAAAAAATTTACAAAATACACAAACCAAAGGTACTAACGATGTTTACCTTCTGTTTGGTAATCATATGGTACATTCAAAATTTGGTCTAAAAAGGCATCATCAATTGGTGGCATGTCATCCATGATTGATATGGCCTACAAAATAATCAATATTTTCTTACTGCAATAAAGTTTGGTTATACTTAACTCAGCTTTACATTAGGTTGGAATCGGAGTAGCCTTAACCGTAAAACACAAGAAGTATACACATTAGAATGATATAGAAGGGGGCCTAGGCATTTTCAGACAAACATACCTTATCGCTCCTCCTTTTCAAGTTGTTTACGGCTCTTACAATATCACTAGTCTAATCTTGAAAGTTCAAAGACTTATATCCAAAATTGTGCGAATTCTGTACTTTCCCGCCACGGCCAGTTGCTATCCGAAACATCAAATACCTAAATTGTCTGTATCAAGTGAATGTAGATAAAGACCAAATGGAGGAAAGTGGAATTCCCCGAAATATATGAAACGGGGTGAACACGTTCTCAGCGACAGTTTGGAAGGTGACGATTATTAGGTTGTAAAGGAAAAAAATTGCCAAAATTAATATCAAGATTCTCTGTTTGAATTGGTTATTTTAGATTTTGGCGATTTTGTATCATCTTAGTAAAGATATTAAACAACCATAAACATAATATTTTTTAGTTGTCGGCAAAGGAGTGCCCGGATCGGCGCGGTGGCATCCTATTTTAAAAGGTGATGTAACCTTTCGAATTCGAGGCTTTTCCGTGAACTGGGGAAAACAAGAATCGAAAGTGAATTTTGTCAATGGACCATGTTTTTATTTTGAAAAGAAAGGGGGGCAACTACAAGGTGCAAATTGTAGATGCTTATTATAGGCCAACATTTTAGTATAACGAAAGCTCGATGATACAATAGCTAAGACTAAAAGAAAACCAATTGGTGCATGATAACATAAAGATCCACAGAACATAACTTGATTAATTAATTATATGTATATATATTAGATATATACACAATTTATATTATATCAAATGATTGCGGATTTATTCTTAGCTTTCTCACAATACGGCGTATTCACTCGATTCTCAAATTCCAATTTCAAGTTGCTCTCTCTCCTCGGGCCTTCTCGAATCTGATCACAAGGGAACAAAACGACAAAAACAAAGGAAGCGAAATTCAACAGACGAAAATAATAATTTTTTTATTTAATTAAGCATCAGCAACTTTCGAAAAAAATCAGGCAAAGTTTTTTAATGAATAACTAGTAAAAAGAGGGCTTAAGCAGCAATTTTTAGAAAACTTTTGTTTATAGAGTTTATCAAATCTAAATTGAGATTCTCCGTAGGAAGAAGTGCTTTAATGCATATTTCAAGGCAGAAATCTCAGAAGTTTTTAGCAAATTTGAATGAGGGATGGATCCTTTATCAGGCTGATTTTTCACAAATTTTGCGTAGCTAAGATATAAACAGACAAAAAGTATTTTTACTGGGTTCAGATCAACCTGGACCAAAAGATAGATTTCTGGGTTAGGGAGGACACTTAGCGAGCAGAAATGACCAAAAAGAAAATGTCTATACCCTAAGTAGGACTAGCACCCGGGGAGGGGGTACTGCCATTGAGGCCTGACAGTCTATTTGAGGGTCTTACCAAATGGTTACCAAATGGTTACCAAATGGTCACCAAATGGTCCAGTCTCGTTAATAACACAAACCCTTGGGATTTTTTTAAATAGTTGCTACCTCTTAGGGGATACTTACAATTAGCTGCTTAGTTTAGCTTGCAATTTATTATAGTGATGAAAAAAATTTTATCTTTCCCGAATCAACAACAGTCAATGGCGAAGAATTTTGTCAAGGAAGGACCAGGCAAGCACAAAGAAATGGATGCTACCAAGGACCTAATTTCGGTTCTTATGCTACCATTTGAGAGTTATTGTCGAAAGAGTTGTTTGAGAGTTATCACTTGAGGGTACCCTGTCTCTTAATTTTGTTGCTGATTTCAGTTCTTAATATTTCTTAAAGGTTTCTTAAATACCATGTGCTAAAGACTTGCTTTATAAAAACACACAAATTTAACATGAAATAACATTTCGAACGTCTCTTTCAAAGTAACTTTCGAGCAGTTTCTCAAGGTTAAGAGTGATCAGTCCTAAAATGTTTTGGGCATCTTCGGGATCAGTGTTTTGTGAGATTGTTAAAAAAAATGAGTGTATGCAATCAAAATTCAAAAACTACCAAAACTGCCATTAGAAAATATCACATATGATGATGATTATCCTGCTGTGGGAACAATAAGCTCAAACTCATTTTTCATTCAGCAGCATTTACAAACAACATAAATACTGTTAAACAACTAAATAAGTAATCTGAAAGAACCTAAAAACACAATAAAAAGCAAATTGGCGATTAAGCTGCCTAGGACACTGAGAAAAAAACGAAACGGTTTTCGAGCCCAGCAATACCGTAATGAGTAGACGGCAATACCGTAATGCCTCGAACAAGCGCCCCGCAAATAAGAGCCCCCCCTCGAATAAGCGGCCACCCTAAATATGAAGTTATTGAATAAGCGCCCCCTCGAATAAGCGCCCATCCTTCAACCTTCAGAAACGGGCGCTTATTCGAATTTTCAACGAAAATATAATTGGGAGGCATTTCAACGAAAGAGATTAATGAAGAACGCAATTTGCACCCAAATCTACTATTTAAATAAGCGCCCCCTCGATTAAGCGCCTCAAAAATTAAATAAGCACCCCGAGCGCTTATTCGAGGCATTACGGTACTTAAGAGACCCTTTTGCCTCGTTTCAGTGCTTTGTACCAGTTTAACATTCCTTAGGGAATTTTATCTACCCCTACCCAGAACTTTTTAATCCGTTTTTAGAAAAAAGTAGGTAGACCATGTTTTCAGAAAAGTGGGGAAGGGGGTAATTACCCCCATACCACCCCTTGGTGCCGCCACTGGGGGAAGGGGGCATGGAATGTCCCATGGGGCTCAGTTTAGCTTTAAAATTATCATCATTTAAGTCAATAGGTGCTAAGCCAGTAAATTTAAAGGTGACTACGACATTGGATTTGTTGGATTGTTGCGAATTGTGATTTCATTTCATAATTACGCACCAAAATGCGAAAAGAGATCTGTTTTTGAAATTTGTTCCTACAGTTGAGATAGCAAAGTCTTCGATAGACGCTTGTAGACCCTTGTATTTTCATTCTTTTTTTAGTTTTGACAAACAAACCTTGAAAGAACTGTAGTTGATCCCCTTTGCGAATGTCATACATGAAAGAGGCACATTAAGTGTTGAAACAATCCTCAATTTTCTAGATGCCAAACTTCTTAAACATACATATGATCACCACTTGAAGTCATGTCTTTCAAAATCCATTATTCTGAGTGCTTCTCTAGGATTTCAATGGATAGGATCGGCTGAAGAGAGCTAGGCATAACCCTAGTTGAAAGTTCATACCGTATTTCCTCTAAAGAGCGTTGCGGTGTTAATTAAAAAATCCAACTTTTGGACGCGGCGTTTATCAGTAGGCGGTGCTTGATACAAAGTATAAAATTTGTGTCAAATGAAAAATGACAAGAAAAATGCGATGAAAAAATATGAAAACAGACTTTGAACAATGTTTTCTTTTCCCATAAACACGTAATAAAGGTTGTGTGAACATTCTTTTAAAGTTTACAAAAGATGTGTTGATGTTATGGAGATGTCAAGGACTGTTAATATCACTGTCTACGTCAGAGTCTTCGTCTTCTATGATACAACAACTTTCATAGCTTTCAAGAATACCAGTAGTTTTAGCAATTTTTTGGGTTAACCTGTTATATATAAATTTTCCAGGTCAAATTTTTATCTATTACAACTCCAAGACATCTGATGTAATCTTCCCCCAAAATCGGTTCATCTTTTACTGAATTAGGTAAGGTATTAGGATATTTTTTTCTGCGGTGAAGAGACAATTTTGAATTTAGACTTTGAAATTAAGTGTCAGTCTATTAGGAGTTAGACATGGGCGTTTGCTCTATTCATGACTGATTCTAGAAATGTTTTCATGTAAATAAAGAATACTGGTGTCGTCGGCGAAATATTGTTTTTGAGAATTTTGCTTGTCAAGGGTAGGAAATTTATATATAAAAGAAGCAGAATAGGACCCAAGACGCTACCTTGTGGGACACCAAAGTTAATTTGCTGATAGTTGAAAGAGTGCCTTTTATGCAGACCTTTTGGGATCTGTCTAAAACTTGAAAGGCAAGGTTTGAACAGGCCCGTCGCTATAGCGTGGGGTGTGACACCCCCTTGAAAAAAATTCTATTGCAAAAATTAGAAGCTTTTCACCATATAGGGGTGCTTAGTCGGCAAATTTCCAAACCTGTCAGCAAATAAAAGATGGCTCACCCACGTTGTCGGCAAATGGGGCTTGAAAACCCCCTTGAGCACAACAGCCAATGATGGGCTTGACACCACTCCAATTTCATAATGGCTAAGTGTATTGATGAGAATTTCAGGGTTAACTGGGTCGAAAGCTTCGACTAGGTCAAGGAAGATACAGCAAGATAATTTCCTTTTTTAACTGAGTCAACTAGTTGATTGCATAGATCAAACATGGCAAGTGAAGTTGACTTTCTTTTTTGGAAGCCAAATTTATTCTTAAAAATTACTTTACGTTTTTCCAAGAAACTGATTAGTTGCACCTGTTTGAATAGAGAATTCATGTTGCTATCATGCCTGAAACAAAATCAGTGGAAATATTCAGGTCACCAACCAAAGGATTTGGATTCAGTGTTATTGGTGGCTCAAATACACACCTTCCGCCAATGATATGTGCGTTGGCAAGTGGAGGCCCAGCAGCATCTTCAGGAAAGGTAAAGTAAAGCACCTTTTTTGAAATGCAGCTCTATACTTTTCCCGAAGAAAATTGTTTTTATGAGAAATTCTTTACCAGCTTGTCACCAAACACGGAAGAAAGTATCGTATGAAGACGTATGATATTTAGTACTGAATTATTTATAAGCTGTTTTGATGGGATGAGCTTACGTCGCGAAAAGTAATCCTTCGAAGTAGACCAGCCAATGTTTATGGTCACGAGCAGGTCTGAATTGAATTTCACACAGCGAATAAGGCCGATTACATCACTTCAGTTTCGCTGAATGTTTGTGCGTGTCCGTGGTGGTTACTGTATTTAAAGGAAAAGGCAAGGACATGTTACAATGTATATAGGTTGGTAGATATTGATATTCTTTTGAAAAGAGGTTGCGCTAGGCCATAAATGTTGGGCAAGAAAGGGTTTCAAATGTCGTGTTGTATTTCTCCAGCCTTTCAGGGTTATAACTCACACTCTCTTTTCTTATTGTAAAACTAGTCAAAGCAATAAGGCCGACTAACACCGCGAAACATCTACAATCTACTTCACCTTTTCTCGTCTCTCTGTTATTCTCAATTTTGAATCTGAAACACGATGTGATTGTTGCACAACCAATCACTGTATATACTTATTAAACAGCTTTAAGTACACAGCCTTTAACAATTGATATCACACAGGACCCTATGAAAAAGGGTGACACCCCCAAATAAAAAGTTTTGCCAAATGTTTTTTCAAATTGATGTTAAATGGGAAGATTAAAGAACAGTTTATTTTTGTAAATTGTATTTTTCAAGGTATTTTATGCATCATTCAGCAATTGAATACATTGTTAAACCTGACTTGATTGTGCTTTACAATTACATTTACATTTACAATTATTAGAGTAGCTGAGAAGGTGGGGGCCCGGTCTTTTTTCATGGCAGTTTATGACAGTTTATGACAAGATCTCTGGAGTGCAAAAGCTATTACCCGGGAGTGCAAAAGTGCATTTGTGAGAAGTGTGCACATTTGAGTGCGCATCAAAATTTTCAGTGATTCTTGAGTGTGTGCATATTTTTTCTGGCACGTTTCCTGGTTACATCAATTTACATCTCAGGGAAATTCAATGCTTCATTGTTGAACTGCTTGCCTACCACTACCACTGCTCTCGTATGAAAGGTAACAAAAGAATGCAAAAGCTATTTGACATGCTAGAAGCTACTGCACATTTGAAAGAAAAAGATTGCTGGTAAAAATATTGTTTGCCTCTCATTTTCTTACTCATATTCTTATATACAATGATAAAATTGTTTGCTCTTTGACCATTCTTTTTAACCCTGATCCTGCAAGGGGATTCTTTGGAAATTCTAAGTTTAAGAATGTTTGAAAAGTTTTTGTTAGGTTGATAATACACCACTCAGTAAATAAGCAGAATTAAGATTAATTCACAACCAGTGTCTATCTCAGTGGTTGTTGAAGCTTTGGGGTCCTCAACTCTGTTGTAAAGTCTGGGATTTCAGTCCCCGGATTTGTTGTCATTTTGTTGCATAGGACTGAAGGTTTTTAGGCCTAACTCTCTATGTTATGCAAACTGTGAGGCAAAGCTACCACAAAGCAAATTTGGAAGATATCTACTGTCAATTTTGTTTAAATCTTGCTTTCAAAGATAACTGAAAAATGCCTGATTTCCTCCCTTTCACACTATCAGTTTTTCCTTTTCATATTTCTTGTTTCCTTTCTTTATAAACCTCTTGCAAAATCACATCACAAATTATTGGTAATTTTTCTATGCCCTTCCTTATTGTTGTCATGTTTGTTTTGTGTATCACATTATTCCTTCGGATCATATATCTTCCTATATACAACACCTTCCTTACATATGTTTTCAGACAAATAACTAATTATTTCAGAGTACATGTCTTGGTCATATATTAAGCAATTAAACAAGCTAAACCTGCTTGAGTTATCAAAAGTTAAATAAGGAAAATGTAAATTTATTTTTAGCAGGTGCTTTGTTATTAAATTGAACTTTGTTCGTTTTAACAATCTTATGGCAGACGCTGTATACACAAATGTACATATTTTCAGCTGCTACGTTTTCTAAATTGGTTTCAAGATGTCATGTCCGGCAGAAGCACTAAAAAACTGGCAGTCGTCCCCTCTCCCCACAGCCCCGCAATTTCCGCAACTGACATGGGTTATTCAGATTGATTTTAGCAATCTACAAACAGCAGTAATCAACACTTTCAAGGGTTTTTTATTGACCTTATTGAATGCTTGTCGGAAATCTGTTTCATTTGGACAAATGAAGTGATGGTGGTCATTTTATCCTAGTTTCTTCTTAAATTATTAGGGTGTAAGCAGTGCAATTGCTTGCTATTGCTCTCTAGGGAGGTTTCAGGCCTCATATGAAAACACAGTTAGTGAGACAACACTTATTTGGTGACACGTTTGAAGATTCTTCGAAAAAACACCCCTAGATGGCCAAAAAGCTGATGAAAAAACATTTTCGAGATGAAACGTTGTTCAAAATGACATTTTACAGTAGCTCAGCTTCAGCTTGTTCTTTATTTTGTTTTTAAGTTTGCGATCAGTTTTGAGTCGCGTGTTTTTGGGAAATTGTTTTAATAAAGAGAAAAGATTGTTAGGATTCAAGCCCCTTGTATCTGCTACTACCTAGCTACCGAAGGTAATTTCTAGACCAAAGAGAATCTTTGCTTATGTTACAGTGTCCTAGTCATTTTTTGTATGCCTGAATTAACCGAGAGCTGGCGACTCTGCTCACTCTAAGGGGGCCCTAAGTGAAAGTTTGACTTTGTCGTTTACCTCTATTCCATAGACTGTGAGATCCAAGTCATGGCTCAACATGTCATGGTAAAATATTAAAACATCTTTTAACTATAAACGCATTGTAAAATTTAAAAAGGTTTTTTAATTTTTCAATTTCATTCCTTTCATCAATCAACTGATTGTTTTATATATGTAATCATTAATTATTCATTCTTAATTGCTTTTCTTCTAAATTTTCGTAAAGTAGGCCTAAATAAGCTAGTACATAAATTGTACATAGATTATCATTGTTATTGTTATTGTTATTATTATTATTATTATTATTATCAATAATGAAATGGTCCCTCCTGTCATAACTGGAGAGGAGCCTTTAAGCATCTCGGGCGGCTCAGCTCCATCTTCACAGAACTCCTAACGCAAATTGATTCTTTACCTCTCCATCCAAAGAATAAGCTGCTTCTTTATAACAGCTATCTTCTCTCACAAGTTTCGTGGCACCTCACAGTAGCCGATCTATCAATAACCTGGATTGTCGAAAACCTTGATAATCAAGTTTCTGCATTTATCCGCCGTTGGCTCGATTTACCCATAAGTGCTACTTTAAGTGGCATTATTCTGTCAAAAAACCAGTTCGGTCTTAACTTGATTCTTCCTTCTGTTAAATTCATGCAGTGTCAAACTGTTTATCGTAATGCACTGAAATCCTCTCCAAACAAAAACATCCAATCTTTGTGGAAGAATACCAGCCAGAGCATGAACATCCAATATGATGTTTACAGGAATAATAGAAAAGTATTGAAGGCTGTTAGATCAGAACATAAAGAGCGCCTTCAAAACCATCTTTATATCTCAAGGTACCGTTCTTTCCTTCATCTTTGACCACTCTCTTCCTATGGCATGGCCTCTAAAAAATGGACCACGATTCAAAGCAACATGCCCAAGAATATTTACAGTTCTCTTGCCACGCTAAAAAATGGAACATTACTCAGTCGTCCAATTGCTGTGTTTGCCATATGCCAGAAACGTTACTTCACATTGTTGCAGGCTGCAAAACATACCTCGAAGAAGGCCGTTACACATGGCGCCATAACACTGCATTAAACTTCCTAGCACAGTCTTTAAAAGCTATACCTAATTGCTCTCTTTACGCAGACCTTTCAGGTTATCTCTCACCCTCTATCATAACAGGAGACTCTTTCCGTCCTGATCTACTTCTAGTCACTTCTGACCATTGGCTATTCATACTCGAGCTTACAGTAGGACACGAAACTAACTTGGATGTTAATGCTAACCACAAAAGAGAGAAATACTCGCATCTCATTCACAGCCTTAGCTCAGCCTATTCTTCTATCATGTTTGTTAATCTTTCTATCTTCCCTAGGTATCTTTGGTCTCTCTTGCTCCTCTTTCATTGACATGTGCAACGCTCTAGATATCAGCGAGAATCATCTCCGCTTCATGATCTCCAAACTATCCAACTTAACTATCCATACTACCTATTACATTTTCTGCCGCAGAAATAAATCTTGGAATAATCTTCTTCAATTCTGAACGATCTCTGCTACTGACGACTTCTAAAACAAACAATGACGAACACACTTTTTCCTTTTTTTGTTAATTTCTTTTGTTTGTGCTTGTAATAGTCTTTTTTTTTGTGAACCCAGGCTAGCCAATTGCAAATTGCCTTTGTAATAGTGAAATTTGTAATTGCAGTTTTAAATGAATTGAAAATGAAAAGTTTCCATTATTATTATTGTTTGTAATTGCAGTTTTAAATGAATTGAAAATGAAAAGTTTCCATTATTATTATTGTTATTATTTTTGCAACAAGAAAACACAGCAAGTATGCTCCTCTCCTATCTGACTTACAGCGAAAGTTCAAATGTGTCTCTTTTGTGAATCTTTCTATGAGCTCTCTTGGCATCTTTGGCAATTCCTGCATCTCCTTCTTCAAAATGTGTGACTCTCTCTCCATCGATCAACAACAAAAACGGTATCTCATCTCTAAACTTTCCAACATTGCCATTCGTACTACGTACTACATATTTTGTTGCAAAAATAAACCATGGACAAATCCGGAATTACATCCGTTTTAATTTTGGTTGTTTTATTTTTCTCAGTTTTTCCTTTTACCTTACGATTGTTATAGTTTTTTCTTGTAAAACCAGGCTAGCCAATTGCAAATTACCTTGTAATAGTGAGATTTGTAATTGTAGTTTAAGTTGAATTGAAAATGAAATGTTTCCATTATTATTATTATTATTACATTTAAGAAAACTGGACATTGGACACTGGCTCCCGATGTTTTTTATTTCCTTATCATGTTCTGATTTTCGTTAAATATTCAACAGTGACGAGAGTGTATGTTAAACGTAAAGATAACACTGTAGAACAGTGACCATATCTATTAAGACATGCTGTTTCTCACTGTCTGCACTACACAAACTCTAATTAGGCGGCCAAAAGCATTTTAGTTGAGGCATTGTATCAATGATAATGTTTCTTTTGTGAAACCAAAGGAACTCTTTCAGCTGTTTTGCATCTTTTATTTATGATTTGGCTTCGACCAGTGTTGAATTTACAACTTTTTTCTTTCAATAACATTTAACCCAGCGTTGGAGTATTGCAATAAGACTGCACAAGTGTTTGGTTTTTGTTAGGCCTATTATGGCCTAACGCAAATCCCACATACCTCAGGGTCTGTGGTAGATTCGACCCGTTTCGTGTCAAAGCAGATACTGACAGAAAACCTGACGGTACAGCAAGATGTTGATAACGATGGACTTGAATGTTTACACTTTGAATTGCCAGTGAGAAATTTTATTTTATTTTCTTCATATTTGTTTTCACAATAACGATTCTACGTACTCCCTTTATTATTTTAAAAATCTATCTTCTAGCGGGCAGGAGATGAAGTCTCCGTTTGTGTTGAACAGTAGTTCAATTGGTTTATGTAAAATAGCCGTTAAACACTTTTGCCACTGTTAGCAAATCTGCTTTGAGCTTGAACTTCCTCGTTAAATTATCGTGCTCATTTATAAGAACTTCTTGTGGCCGTAGATGGAATCCGCGTATGGTGTCCTTAACAACTGCAGTGTTAAAATCCTACTAGTAATGGATATTTAAGAGTTGTATTTTTAATAGATAGTTGCAGCGCTTCTAAACAGTTCTTGTTAGGACAGTCGTTTTGGCTCATGACTGCCAACTGCATAGCATTTTCAACCAATTATGAGTTTATAGGTAAATAAAAAAGTTATTTTATAAATTGCTAATTTAGCGACTCATTTGATTGTAAAGACAAAGCTAAAAAACATTTTGTTGTCTAATATTTATATCTTGTGTACTGTGCATGTGTTTGGATAGGACACCTTTTTGTAAAACCGCAAACTTTCTTTCGATAAGAAAGTGTGTCTTACAAAACCTTCCTATTTGAAACAAAGAATGGGCTAGTAATAGGCGTGGCAAAGCTAATCCCTGTTTTTTAAGGAAACGTCACCATGCCTAGTGACCATATGACGTAAAAGTTTGTAACTCAGCAGTTGTGTTTGTAAGAACGTAGTTGCTTTTGAACTTTTTCTGACCTTAAGATCAGTCCTCCGTCCATATTTTTTTGGCAGGTGTGAGCTTTCAGAGAAAAACATACCAAAGTGGATGTTACTCGTCCAGTGAATATAGAGAAACTTTCTGCTTTCAAACTGTGGTAAGAGGTGGACCTGGTCTAACAATTTTATTAGCTACATATAGGAGAATATTAGCTCTTTTAGGAAAGCTAGCTTTTTGAGCAAGGCCAAGATCTACAACCATATATTCACTGGTGTTGTACCTTTTAAAATTATTACTGTATTTATTTAGATCGCTTTGTTCTAGCAGACACACGAAGTTTTAACATATTTTTCTCTTAAACGACCTTTGAAAAGAAACTTTTATTACCAATGCTTAGACCTTGAAAAAGGCAGAAGCCAAGATTGTGAAAAGCAAGAAGTTTTCTGTTTTTTTACGTAATTTAAAATGCTTAGAGTGGAATTCATTTTTTCCGAGCTACTGCATTAAACCATTTATTTCTGACTGTAAATTTTGTTATAAGGTGTTTGAAAACGTATCAATTCCCTTGCAAACCTTTTAAATAGACGTAACTTTACGTTTTATAATACAATTCCAAAGAAATTTAAGAAAATGGCCAGCAACTCCTAACAAGTTACTTCAGAAAAAATTAGCGCTATGCAAGAACATCCTGAATAGTTTGAATGGCGAGCTGGCTATGTGTTTTGTTTGTGTTAAGTCTTGGCTATTGAATTACATTTTGCTTATGTCTCTCGACTGTTCTTAGTAAATTCAGAACGCAATCAACAATAACCAAGTTAAAACATCCATTCTGAAAATCGATTTGTTTTGCCTCTTGGTCTCCAATTGCACCTGCGCATTTCTTCCACCTGCATTGCTCCGCACACCTGCACAGCTAGCTATCTTTTAAGGTTGAGGTTTAATGCAATGATGCTGCTTTCGAGCAGTCAAGAGCAGACCATACAAATTTCGAGTACTTGGTTTGGCAAGCCTGTGTTCAATCTTGTTGTCTTTTGATCCAGAATTGCATGGTACTTTACAGGTAAATGAAAATTTGGACGTCTTCATTTAAAATCGTGGATGAATTTCTTAATGAATTTCATCTGCAACTATTGTTTGTTTGTGGTTAACTTTGATAATGAAGTTTCAGTATAAAGAGGCACTGAGCTAATGCTTTACTTCTTATCATAAACACTTTTTAAAAGAAGAAGACAATTTTTGTCGAGGCTCCATTTTCTTATTTTTTTGATAATTTGAGACTTGGGTATTCTTAATATTGTTTTATTTCAACATTTATATTTCTATATTTACATACTTTATGTTGTTTTTTACGCCACAAGAAACTGTTTTGCATGAAATTATTAATAGCACGGTTGATAAACTGGCAAAATCTTCTCTGTTTTGTTCTGTTATGTTCTTGTAATGGAAATGAATATACAGGGGTGCTATTTTGTTGCTATCTTTGAAAGAACGACCCTCCTATCAAGGGCCTGCTTTTTCTGAGGGGTCTTGGTGACGATCGCCACCTAGCCACCCGTGCCAGTCTGCTCCTATCCAGAACGTGACCGCATTATTTTCTAGTTCCCATTCATGCTCAGCGTTGTTCATTTTTATTCTGTGTTTTGTGCTTTTACCTAAATTCTAACTTTGGGAAAAAATTACCTGGCACAAAAAGCGGAGAAAATAAATATACTGAAGTATAAAACTCACTTTATTACAATGTCATGTCACTTGGTGATCTTTTGTCACCTGGCTGTTTTTGTGTCACTTGTCTGATTTATCTCACGTGTCTAATTTTGTGGCACGTGTCTGATTTCGTTTCACGGCCTAATCAGAATAATTTATTACGCCTGCAGCCAAGTTAACTTCACTCCACCAAGCAAATTTATCTCACTCACTGCGTAACCCAGAGGTTAAAGCAGCAAAAATAAATCAGTGGTCATTGAAATAATAAATAATTAAAAGAAATTTTAGCTTAAATTATTGCACCTTTACCAAGCCAAACCCAGCGTGCCATTGCAAACAAACCAAATCTTGTCAGGGATTTAGTATGTGGAATAATATTCTCGCATTTGGTTTGTGTGACGCCGGTCGTTGCTATGGAGATCAATCTTGATTACCACTAACAAGGCTGCAAATCATATGTGCATTGGAGACGTCCTGTGGCTTTTTTGCCAGTAGTAGTCAATTTTGAGGAAATCGTAGAATAAAGTTTCGCTGGATGATCATTCGTGGGACAAAATATGAGCTTCATTGCAGTAAAATCTCGAATCTAAAATAAGCTGGTCAACTGCAAGGGAGCCACAGAGGGCAGGTTGCCCCGAGCTTGGAGGGGCTCATATAGGTTGAGTGTTGTTTTAATTAGGCAGGGATGCGATTTTACTTTTTCTTTTGGATTGGCTGTTGTATTGATTGATGAAAAATCAAATTTCATGATAGGTGGCGTGGCAAAGTGTTGAAAATTTTTCCCCATCAAACTATCATTTTTCCCTATGTACCAAGGCAAAAAATAGTAATTCGTTAGGAGCATATCTCAGGAAAAATGCTAACATCTGTCTTTTTTATCTCCCCCCCCTTTCTATCAAAGCTTCCAGCGGGTGTAACGACAGACTCCAGAAAACATTACGGTCGCACGGTCATTGACCGGAGGAAGGTTTGATAAACAATAGAGATTTGAAGGAAGGTTTTGGTAAAATAGGTGGAGGAGGGTTGAGGACTTTTCTGGACTCTGTGCAACGGAAGGAGTGTCTTTTTACACATGAAAAAGTGGCGATATTAGTTCATGTCACACATTATATTTTTGTCGTGAATTGCAACAAGCAGTTTGCTCCTAATGAGAGTCAAGCTAAAATTTCATTATTGTGATGTGTTGTTAGAATTTGATGCCAAAATTTGGCTATCGAATACACTGAAGTTATTAATTATTCTTGAAATTTTTTTAGATTGGTGTTGGTGATGTCGTGGAAACAGTCAATGGTATCAATGCAAGAGAACTGCCAACTCGATCAAGTAAGTCTTAAATTTAATATCACTGTTGATCTGTTCTTATTCGTTACCGTCGAGTCAGTACCACATTTTAATCAATTTTATGTTGACGGCCATGCAACGCAATCTAATGATTATTTTCCTATCAAGGATTATGCCATACTTAGCTTCATTTCATCAAAATGCTCAGGTAAATTCGTTTGGAAGTTCATCGCAAGAGTTATTGACATATCTCCTATTTACATTAATAAATATTATGGTATAGTTTGTTCGAGATATGATCTTCTTGCAATATCTAAGTGCCATCCTCTTGAGTTCAGTCGCAAAGGTGCGGTTTGAAATAGATACTAAATATATCTGATATTAAATATGTCCTGTTAATGTTTGAAAATCCCTTTGGTGCCAGGTCCTGGGGTCTTCATCCCACTGACCCTCTTTATCCAATGTGCATCGAATGATATACTACATCGCATGTGCTATCGTTGCTTGGTGTCCTTTCGGAAGGACGTCCGAATAGAATAGTCTCACAGCTATATAAATTTACAGTGATGCATGGTATGTTGTATGTCGTGTCGTGTATCATTTTGTTTGTCGTGTCCAATGTCATCCTATATGTCATTACATATGTCATGCCTTGTGCTGTGTCGTATGTCGTGTCGTGTTGTGTTGTGTATCATGTGGTATGTCTTTTCGCATGTTATGTCGTGTTATGTTTCGTGTGGTATCATTTTACCTCTAACGTTATCTGGGTCTTGCCAACTCTAAATAAGGTGGCTTCGTGCTGTTATTTCGTGCCAAATTCGTAAGCCGGGCGATCAAATAGCTCTCAAACAAGATTAGACAGAACATCTTGCTCTCAATAGGCGAAACTGCAAAATTGCAACGTGTGAAAAGCTGCTTTTGGTCAATGTAAGGAAAAGAAGATTGATGAGATTGGTTAAGCCAACACTCGAAGCAGTGAACAAGAATACCCTCTGATAATTTGTTAAATATAATTCTTGGCATATGTGAAAATAGAATGTTGCATTGGTAACCAATCGGGGGACTGATGCTGATTGAATTCGTTTTACCTTAAAGGGGAACTGAAGTGAAAAATGAAAATCATCTAATTAGTAGTTTTCATCGTGCTGATTTCGAATATCGACACGAAATTAGTGTTTTTCTTTTCGTTTTCCTGCATTTAACGCGCAAAGTGTGAAATTTCTCCATTTCCGTGGCGGAGAGGTCTGGAGACAAGTTTCAGGCGCTGACGTAAAGTCGTGGACACGTGCCCCGAACCTAACGAAAACAACAGTGTAGTAGAGTGAATCGGAGGGAGGGAATTTGGTTAGTAGGTAAAATTTCAGATCGCAATTTTCACGACAGCTCTTCAGGAATGACAACAGACTTAAGATCGAGCGACGATGAAGTGTTTGGAGCATGTGGTGGTGAAGTACTTGCCCTACCAAGGGCGAACGGGACCTGCGAAAGTGGCGATGAAGATTAGCCTAGGCCCGATGAGATCCCAGAGGATGAGGATGAATTATCTCCCGCGACGTGCTCGTTTTGTTGGTAGAAATGAGGAAGTAAATAAATGGTACGTCGATCCTTGTTTTTTTTCTTGCAATGAAGGCAAGAAATACTCAAACTCAATTTCCTTATTTCCTTATAAAAAGTAAGATACAACAGAGAATGAGTAGGCTTCCTATTATAATCTTTCCATTTCTAAAATCTGAAATAATAAGGATTATTACATGTTACAATTTAATAAATATTTGCTTTGATATAAAAACGTTTATACATAGTTTGATGTGTAGCACGGAACAGGTCGACCTAATCCACTTTTGGTTTAAAAGCTGGTTTGTTTTGTGTACATTGACAAGTATTATTAAATCTTCCTGCAATTCAGATTTTTGGACTGATAATTCGAAAATGTCAAATATTTAATAGAATTGCATAAATATGCCTAAAATAGAATAATACCTAAAATTATATCCACTTTGCTAGGTATCTACAAACAGTGGCCGATCAATGTATGGTTTGCTGGTTTTTGGGTATTTGTGCTGGAATAACTGGACAACTTTAAGTATGCATTTATCACAAATGTAAAGAAAAGAACTTTAGTCAAAGAAGACAAGAGTTTCAAAATTCTGCAGAGAGACAATGAAAATGCAAAAATCAGCTACACATACAGTGGAGAACAGGGTTATATACACGGGGTTATTCAAAAGGACCAGACTTTTAGTTCATAATAGCAAGAAGAGAAATTTGTTGAAACTAGTGGGACAATGGCCAAATCTTGTCAGCCCTAGGCCAAATCACTAGATTAGTCACATCAAGGGGGGGAGGGATTGAGCAAGGCTTGATATTTTTAAGATTCCTAAGGTGTACTTTTCAACATAGTTCACTCACATCAAAATGTGTAGAATAGTTTGGATTTGATCAAGATTTTCTCTTACAATAATGGTCCTGTACCACCTTCTTGGTAACATTTTTTATAAATAATCAGAGGAAAATGTTTTACCTTCAGGGTACAATGTTCTGTTAATGTATTCTGTCACTGCCTGTTGTTTAGATACACTGTTTTTAAATTTTGAGAATGAAGTTTTTTTGTGCCCAATGGTTGTATTTTTCTGAAATTCGCTTCAACTCAACATTTAATAAACTTGGAAACATATACATCATTTAATGGTTGTGCTTTAAATCCTCCCCCTTTATGTACATCCTGGTATGAATTGTTTTTTATGCCTGGAGTTAAATCAGAAAGTGCTTTGATATCATATTCTGTAGACAAAGCATGAGAAATCATGTTTGAAGGGGTATTTCTGAAGTGGGGGACCACTTTTATCATTTTCTGCAAGTAAACTGTGTTTGGTTTGCCAAGTTTCATGGCTGTATAGTTAACATACTAACGTATTCTGAGTACTGGGCACAAGTATCCAGTCTAAAATAGTACAAGGGTAGTTCTGAGGATGGGGACCATTTTTATCTTTTTCAGCAAGTCAAATTGTGTAGATTTCCCAAGTTTCATGGCTGTATGGTTAACAGAAATATATTTACCATACTATTGTATTCTGAGTACTGGGCACAAGTACCCCAGTCCAAAAATAGCAAGAGGGGCATTTCTGAGGGTGGGGACCATTCTTATCATTTTCAGAAGCCAAATTGTGTCGGTTTGCCAAGTTTCGTGGCTGTATAGTTAACAGAAATAGATTGACCATACTGACGTATTTTGAGTACTGGGCACAAGTACCCCAGTCTAAAAATAGCACAAGGGGCATTTCTGAGGGTGGGGACCATTCTTATCATTTTCAGCAAGTCAAATTGTGTCGGTTTGCCAAGTTTCATGGCTGTATAGTTCACAGAAATAGATTGACCATGCCAACATATTCTGAGTACTGGGCACAAGTACCCCAGGCTAAAAATAGCACAAGGGTTTTTTTCCCAAAATGGGTCTATATTCTATCTTGTTACGCATATCGAATTCTGTATTTTCACCAAGTTTCATGCTTTTATCACAATTTTCACGATTGTTACCTGTCATGAACCTTATCAAACTCACTACTACATTTCATCAAAACATCTCTTCGTGTCCACCACTTTACGTCACAAGGTCACGTGACACAGTGGTCTGACCGCGTTCTCGCTCCGCCATCGATGAGGGCAAATTTCGACTTTAAAAACTTAATAACTTAAAAACTACATAACGTATTTAAAAAATTCAAACGGTTTTTGAATCAGCACGGGAACCTTTATCAGTGGTAAAAAAATCGTTTTTCACTTCAGTTCCCCTTTAAGGGAATCTTAGTAGGGACAAAGAGCAAGGCCATAGGATAGGATCAAAGGGCAGGAGCAAAGGGTAGGAACAAATGGTAGGGGTAAAGGGCAGGAGCAAAGGGTAGGAACAAAGGGTAGGGGCAAAGGGCAGGAGCAAAGGATAGGACAATAGGATAGGAGCAAAGGGTAGGAGCAACGGGCAGGAGCAAAGGGTAGGAGCAAAGGATAGGACCATAGGATAGGAGCAAAGGGTAGGAGCAAAGTGGCGACTGCCCACTCCGAAGCTACATCTGGCAAAAACACGTTTGAACGAACGGATATTTTCTTTGAAATTTTAGCCTGGTTTCAGTACTATACTCTTCTTGAGTTTCATCTCCAGAATCTTTATGTTGATAGTTCTTTGTATGTTGTACATTATTCTTCGTATATTAGTTTGAGAATTTTGTTTTCAAAAGACTAATTTGACCACGTCAGAAACCTCTCTTGGTGAAACTGTCAGAGTTTTTAGCCGTGCCTGATATTACATGGCACTGCTGTTTGACTAGATTTCAGTGACAATGAAATGAAAGTCAGATGATTCGCCTTGCTAATTTTTTCAAACAAGGCAGGACAGAAGTTTCTTTATATGATTATCTCTGTTGGGGGAAACAGTAGGTTATTCGAAATCTCGATTACTGGTTGTTGTTGTTGTTGTTGTTGTATATTTATTTTACATCGATTGCCAATAGTTAGTCTACAAAATACAAATGTCCAGGTAAACTAATCTAGATCGATGGCTAAGGTAAATTTAAAATACGTTTGCTAAAACAATACGTTAGTTAAAGTAAAGTTTAAAAAATCGTAAAATTTTCTACGCGGTTTATACGTTATTTACAAAGTTTTATAAGCGTGGTTTATAAACGTTTTTAATTATCACGCGTCTTGCACCGACCATAGCGTATTTAGTAGTTGGAAAATTAAATTGGAACTCATTGTGAAGTCTTCCTTATAGCAAAATAATGTTGATAAGCAGGTATCAGAATTTAAGACTTCATTGATTGTTTTCATTCCACAAGTCAATTAACGGATTCTTTTCAGTAACCGGAGGTAAGGCGACCGTCAAATAGCTTAATACCGGGTCAGGTCAATTCATCAAAAACTAAGTAATGCGGTCCATTGCTATGTACCACAATATCCAGATATTCTTTACATGCCCTTGACCATGCTTTTGATTTCTTGAGAAATGTCGTTAATTTAATTACATTGGTATAGGGTATGCTTCATTTGGGCATTAGTTATTCATGAGGTCTCGTTACAAAACTTTCTTGTGCTTTAGGTCTGAGGTTTCGATCGGTTTGTCTGGTGAAAGGACATGTTTTCCCTTACTGTAATTTCTGTTCAGTTGTAGATATCGTTCGCAACTCTAAAGAAAAGGTTTCACTCACCCTTACTGACGGTAAGCCGAGTTAACTTCATTCCTTCTTTGGTTCGTTAAAATCTTGTGTGCTTAAACATTAAATGATTCTTTATTTAGAATGGATTGCAGATTTTAACTCGAACGTCGACAGTCATTTTAATGTCCAGATAGGTAATGCACTGTCCTTATCTAAGCACATATTAAGGAACTTGAATTGCCTCTGTTTTATTTTGAAGCATCTTCAAGATTGAAAATTGAAGAAAAGTTGAAGAAATATTTATGCTACTTTTGTCTTATATTCATGCAGAGCAGTTTCTAATAATCTAATAGTTTTTCAGTTTTAAAGTCAAATTTAATCATGAGATTCACTGAAAAGAAACGATTTAAGACAGGCTCCTTTATTTACAATCATTCCGTCAAAAGCTTAATGACCTTATGATGATTTTTTGCTTGCAAACATTTAATTTGAAATTTTTTTCGCCGCTACAATATTTGAAAAAAGCAAGCATTAAAAACATGCTAAAAATGTTTCCTCATAGTATAAAACGTCAGAATAAGGTTCCGAAAGAACGAGATGGAAAATAATAAACGATCTTTCTCGAAAATAAGAGACGAAGTTTTCGCGCGAAGCGAATTTTTCGCCACAAATTTTTTAGCTACGAGATTCGAAGTTCAATTTACACTGGCAAAAATTTGTTTGCGAATTTGCTGCAAATATTACAAAAGAATATAGCGACTGCCCGAAGAGTGCTCTTATCAGAAAGCTTAAAATTTTGAATTTATCAAAAAGCGAGCAAAACAGCAAAAAACGATACTGGGTTAGAATAATTTATTCAGAGCATCCTCAGAAGGGAGAATTTCATCTTTCGGTAAGAGATTTACGTTTACATGACCTGGAATACTTTTTTCAAATGCTTTCAAATTGCGCCATCTAAGCTTGCACAAACATGCAAGATCCTGTAAGTGTATCCGGATCAAACGGATCTTGAGTTTTTATGACTGAAACTGTTGCTGTTAAGCAGGCAAATAAGCAAGCAACATTTTAGCGTTTGCAAGAAATTCTTGCCGATCGTTTACTTCAATATTTGTAGAACGAAATAACTCTCAAGGCAGTTTTCGTTAATTTGAAATTCAAATGTTTGAATAATAATCCGATATGAATCCACCTACATTAGTGTGTACAAGGAACAGGAAATGAATAATTATCAACCTATTTCTTTGACGTTGTCTAGGTGAGAGTGTTTGAGTAAAAAGAAAACGGAAAGACGTAGGCCATCAGGAACAAAAGCAAAAATCACCTGTCTTCAAATACTGTTCTGATTGATACAACTTGAAAAAATTCCTTGCGAAAGAGTTAGAATGGTTTCTACTTTTTTCGAAGCGAATTATTCGCTGCGAATTCGCAGAGAATTTTCCATTTTCTACTGCTGCGCATATTTTTCCCGCATTGGCAGCGAAAATTTGCTTCTTATGAAAAATTTCGTCGCGTGTAAATGAGGCCAATCAGTAGTCAAAGAGGTTGAATCTTCATGGTAAGGGAATTCTTAGTGGGGAGAAGCTCTAGTTCATCAGTGGAGAAATCATCTCAATGTTCACGCGCTTCTAATAAAAACTGTTGACTTCATGACATTGAAATGATGTGTTATGTATTCGTAATTCTTCCTTATTATTGAATATAATGGTTTTCATCATTCGAACTTTCCATTTCCAATTCACTTGTATGAAGACCATCTCGCATGTATACTAAATACTATCAATCATGCCAGATTAGCATTTCCATAAATCAGAAAGAAAGTGTTTACTTTTTTGACTCAGCTAGCTAAGATTTTAGGACGCAAAAATCTTACAAAAATAAATCTGTTTGTCCATGCAGATGTTTAATATTTCATGGCCCTTGTTTGACCCTTGTGTTTCAGATCCCGAGGCAAGATCGTCAGCGAAGTCATTTCTTTCTTATGATATAATCAAGTTACCCCCAAGAGAGAGTCGCTCGTCAGAGACTGCGTCACCTGCGGAAAACAGACCGGAAAGAATTGTGACCCCTCCGGGCAATAACTCGAAATTTACTTCACAAAATTCTTCAGAAAATAAGAAAAAGTTGGATAAACAGAATTTATCTCCATGTTACAAACGCACAGTTGGGAGTCCGGATTACGATCTCCTTGGTGCTGACGGGCGATTTACCAAAGCCGGATCTTTAGCTAGGCCAACCGGTCACTTTACATTCGAAGAAAAGGAAACCAGTGAGAGATCGTCTTGTAGGATTCCGGAATCATACCCAACTAGCGGGAAATCATCTTCGGAATCTAGGACCTCGCCAAGAAGAAACGAGGAAATTAATTCCCCTAAGGAAACCCAGCCTACAAAAATCGAAAAAGATTCGCCCAGAAGCAGGGATAAAGGAGCGAACGATACTACGGCCGTTAAACGTGTCGAGGTTAGGAGCTTTTTGTCACTCGACGACTTATGTATTTCAGAAATTTTGAAGCAGGAAAATCGACTTAGCAAGCCAGTTTTCGGTTCAGCTCCTCGTATCAGCGCTTCCCACTCAAAAGAGAAAAAGATGAAACAGAATCACGGGCTTCGCAATGTACCAAACATAGTCGTTGACAATTCTCACAGACCGGCGCTGCATCGCAGGAGTGCTTCGCATGACGAACAGACTTGGAATTATCTTCAAAGACAAACAAACACTCAAGATTACCGGGCTCCGGTCTATACTTCGGATGCTGATACGCGGAGTTTTTCAGGCGTAGCCCGGGGTGCCCGTACCGGACCAACAGTGAGGTTTGAAGACGCATCGAGCCAAAAACGCACCAACCCGTCTTGGTCTTCATATCAACCCAAAGATCGAAGAGTTGCTGGCCCACTGGGGAATGGTAATACCACAAGTGCTCATTATGTAAATCCAAAATCAGCAAACAATGCACAAGATCTAAGAAATGCTTTCATTAAGCATCAGATTGCTTTACGAAACCAGAAATTGGCCGGTTTTTCACAAAGGCGGTATAACAGTAGCGAAGAGCTACCGAGTCATGATAATTTTACCCGGTTGATGCACCAAAACGTTCCAATTTCAAATCCAAGAGGAGTAGGTACCGGGAAAGACTTAGATGTGAAGTCTACTGAAAATTTTGAATATGATGACGAAGACGAGGATGACATGCAAAGAAGTGGCTATGGTGTTGGATTCAAAAGGACTAACTCTTTAGGCCGGGCAGACATCTATCAAAGGTATTCCAGAAACCATGATTTCTATTATACAGACCGGACTCATGTCAGTCAATATAAAGATAACAACTATTCTCATAACACTCATAACAATGATATGAAGCAGGCCCCTTTGATACCTCGCTTATCACCAGCTTTGCAGCAGAGATTAATGAATGTTACATTGTCAAACTCGGTTAATTACAGCACTAGCTCGCAAACTACGGGGATACCGAACAGAAATGCTACAAATTTCGACCAGTCTCCTAAAGGTCTAGACATGCGAACAGATTATTCAAATACAAGCCAAACATACTCAACCAATGCAATGTTCAACACGATGGCTGGTACAACGTACAGTGAAGATGCGGGTATGAGTAATGGTGTCCCAATGCGAGATGCTGAAGATGGCATGGTTCACAGTCGTTATGAGCAAGGGAAATCGCTTATTGTTCCTACCCAGCCTTTCGCAGAGGATTTCCTGTCATCATCGGGAGACGGCCTTGGATTTCAAAATAAGAACCGCGGCTCAATTCCATCAAGAATGTCAGTTGGTTCAAGGATTTCGGATCTAGGCCACAGTGAGCTGAGCTCACCTTTGAAAGTCCCGGATGAGCTCAAAACCATTGATGCTACGGATCTTGCTACGAGGCTATTTACACTCGATGGTTTCTCATCTGATGATGTAGCACCACTGCTTGGAAAAAAGTGAGTTACTTCGATACAACTTACCTTAATGTATCTCCTGTAGTTCGATTCACTTACTTTTTGAGGGCGTTGGTAGCCTCTTTTCCGTGCAAACCTCTTTTGGGTTTTTCTACTGTTAACGCTAGTTAACGCTAGTTTGTTTTTTGCTTGTTTGCACCTCCGTAAATTTCTAACTTGGGGTTGCTTAGAGCTTTTTCAAATTCATATTCCAACAAATGGTGTTTTGAATTATTTTTTAAACGATTTATTTGTGGATCATTGAATTTTTTTTGCACAGTTCAGAATTCAGTCAACAAGTGTGCAACGAATACATGAAATTTCTTAACTTCGAGGGATACTCAATTGACGAAGCTTTGAGGTATGTGAAAGCATTTCTTAAAAGAAGTTTCCATCTTTTATTAGAATTTAAATCTGTTTTTAAAGGAACGTATGAAAAACTTATCTTATCGATGCTAGACTGAATTTGAGTTTTATGTATATAAATACATATTTATAACCTTTTTCTTTTATATACTTTTCTAGGATACTTCTACAGAAGTTCCCATTAACAGGTGAAACACAGGAACGTGAGAGGATATTGCTTCAGTTCTCCAAGCGATACCATGAATGCAACAAACAGTTATATGACTCAGAGGGTAATTGACTCAAATCTACTGGTTGAAAATCTCCTGATTGATCCTTTGCCGAAAGCTGCCCAATTAATTTTGATATTCTGGGTTTAAAAACATTTAATGGCGATTGACAGGTACAAAAGTGGCTTAAACGACCTGTCAATCATTATTAGCCAATCAAAAAGAGCGTGAGTCGTATATTGCTCACTGATTGGCTTATTGTTGATTGACTAATGGCCTAAGCCACATTAGTAACTGTCGATTGCCTTTAAGCAGTTGAATGATATGAAAAAAGATTCTTGCTGCAAAAATTGAAAGGATATAGATTGATCCTTTACAAAGGCCAAAAGCTGCCCAATAAATTTTGACACTGGCCAATATCATGCATCGTTAAAAATGTGAATCTACATGTGTCAAAATGCAATCTTTGATATTGCTGGATGAACCCTTTGCTGTGTAGCCAAGCTTGTTTAAAAATCATTGTTTGTTTCCAATGTATAGTTTGAGATACAAGCGCAACCCCTGACCCGTCATACCTGAGTGACCACAACTTGGGTTTCAAGTGCATGAAACAATAGTCGTTGCTCATTTTCTGTGATTTTAGTATCAGTGTAGCAGCAGCTTTCCAGGCTGCAATTCTTATCATCAGAATCTCTTGCAACTTACATTTTACTGTTCTCACTGATCATTTTCTATCTGCTTACCTGTAGACGCTGTGCATACTTTAACATGTGCATTAATGCTTCTGAACACGGATCTCCATGGCCAGGTTAGTACTTCCAAACCTCCTACAAAATACCCATCGCATTTCATGAACCGGTATTTCCGGCCATAAGCCCGTAGAGGCCCTGTACTTAAAGCACAGTTTTTTTTAATTCCCTACCTTTAAATTCTCTACCATCCGGTAAAGTAAAAGTAACCACACCCATCCACACCCCCCATAAACAAACAGGCCTTATTCTAGAGTTTACCGCAATAAATACCTGGTAATAGTCAATTGAAAAATATTGAAGCTTTGAAAAGCACATAAAACACCTTTCCTGAAAGATTAGCAAAAGATAATATCGAAACTCACAAAGATCTAGCTAATAGAAGCCAATGTTGAATCTTCCGTTGCACCAATCCACTTTAATATAAAATAGCTGATAGAAAACTTACACCTTGCAGCTACCTCTGGTGTCTATCGAGAGTTTTTTATAGCCAGTGATGTCTTCTGAACGTTGTTGCTGTTGGATATCATGGTACCTATCCATTCAAACATCTTCTTTAACTTTAAGTGTATCGCTTTTTTGTCAGAATATTGGAACTAAGATGACTCTGAATGAATTTATAAACAATCTCAGTGGACTTAACGATGGCGAAGACTTTTCAAGAGAGCTCCTAAAGGTATTCAATTTGGTCATGTTTCTCTAAATCTTTCATTTACAAACATTGTTTCATGGAAGTTGCTTCTTGCAGATAACCTGGCGAGTGTTTATTTGTGCACATCTTTTTATAATATCCATATTGTACTAAATTGTAAATTCACGATGTTTATTCGCAGACTCTTTACCAATCCATCAAAACCAAGGAAATTCTATATGCGACGTGAGTACTTAGATCAATTAATCTGTCGTCTGGCCTTAGAATATATAAATATTTGTTCTTAAATACCAATGCAGATTTCTGTTATTTGGAATAATATACTGTCGCAAGATAAAATACAGACGTTTGAAACTAGATGATGTAATACAGACGTGTACTTTGGTATGGTATCATTATGATATATATAGTATAGTACATTATGATATAATATGATGTAATATCGTGAAACAATACAAGTTTGATACAATACAGAATGATTTAATATAGTAAGTAATTTGCTCATTGTGATAATTGGTATTTGGAATGTTAACGCCCTTTTTATTTTTTTACAAATTTGCAAATACATAGAGTTCTGTTGTTTTGTTTCTTTTGAATTTTGCGCGCTTTATGTCTTTGATGATATTTTCAGCAATGAAGCCCCGAGAGAAATAAAGCCATCACCAAAATCTAGAAAGGTATATTTATGCAGCATTCTCTTTTGTCGCTTTGACATGTCAATTGATATGAAATTTGTGGACTAAAGACGACTTTGTGTATTCTTAATTACTTTCCAAACAGAACTTGTCTTTATTTCTACATCAAAATTTGGGTGCATGGGAACTGTGCGCATGTGGTCAATTTCAAGCGAACCCCATCTAAATAGGGGGCATAGTTAAGGGTCTTATTCATCAGAGGGTTTTGGGTCCAACTGTTTGTTTGATTAGGAGCAATTACATTCTTTTCACTTTCATGATTCCTTTTTCAGTCAGTTGTAAAGCCCTGTACGTTTCCTTCAACAGCGTTTTCGCGAGTTTGATCATTTCTACTTCGTGTACCCATTGATCTATAGATTATACTTTCTTTAAGTCGTAGTATCATGTCAGGCTTTTTTATATCATCTTTTGCGATAAGAAGCGTCTCTTTGTTGTCCTGCACCTGCCATATTGTTCGCTATGAATATTTTTCACCTTATTTTTCAGCCATCCTCCAATGGAAACCCTTTCATTGAGGTATGTATTGCCCTAGACTTCTATCACATATTCATCTCATTGATGACGTTCAAGAGACCGCCTCTGTGATTCCTCTTCATGCCGCCTCTTATCAAGCTTAATGCTCTTACATTTAAACCTTCTTATCCTGAGTTTTAAAAACATATTCCACTGCTATTAATTTCATAAAGGTTACCGCCACTTTCCATGTTCTCTTCCCCATCTCTTCTAAATTTTGATTTTGACAGATTTTTCCTACCCCAATTGATATCAACATCAAGTAATCAATTCTCTAATTTTCACTTGCCCTTCTACAGCAATTTGTAATGCTTCTGCAACTCGGATTGAATGCAACTCTGGTTGTCTTTATTTAGCATTGAATATTGTGATAAGCCATTAGCTATTTGGCTCAATGCATTGATATTTTCATGATATTATTGTTCATTTTGTATTCAAAGCTTAAAGCAGACGATGATGCCGTCGTGATGCAGAATGGCATGCTAAATAGAAAATGCATCATGGATGCAGATGGAAGACGCTGTGAGTTGTTCTTAAATTCTTATTCTCTTAAAGTTTTTAATTTTTATGAGTCCAAGCCTTGAATCGTAGGTTTAATGTAGTTTCCAAAAAGCACCCCTCCACTGCCCACAGTATAACAGGACCACAACAGCAGGTAAGGATATGAGGGGGTTTAGCACCCATTATTCCTTTCAAGATTAGATAAAACCATGCAAAAATCATTTTAATCTTGACTTCTAGCATGTTTACTCCCAAACACTTTTGTATCAACCCCGTTTTCCTTTTTGGCGAAACGGGTACCATTGGGTTCTACCAAGAATTTATTGGGTAAGGCCTTTTTAGTTCTTTGTAATGTTATATAACTGTTCATTTTCATCTTTGCAGGTCCTCCACATAAACGTCGATGGAAGACTTATTATTGTATTCTCAAAGGTTTAGTTCTCTTTCTCAGGAAGGTAAGTCACCGCCAAAACTTTTCAGATGTGTCTATTGCCTGTTGATTGAAAGCAGCGTTTCATAGTATGCTATGCTACAAAAGTTGACTGATCAAAGAAAATCTTTAATTGAGGTTGTTGCTAAAGAAAGATAGGTATATAAGTCGCTTTTCCAGTAGCAAGTTTATCGGATACGGGCTAGTGAATGCGAGAAGTAGATGATCTTCTGTTGATTTCTTAACTAGGTTTGACTTCAAATGTTTTTTGACTTCAAACGAAAGCAACCCTGTTCTTTTAAGGATAATTCTGGTTGAAAATAGTTCGCTGAGTGTAAAGATAAAAACCCCATTAAGTACTTAGGATATACAAGTTTATCTCTCCTGTCTACTTTGGGGGCGGTCATTCCTGTCCACCTCATGTTGTCCAGCACTTGTTGCTTTGAATATTTGAAGTTGAGGCGAATAAATGAATTGATTTTTTAACCTTAAACCTTTAAAAGTCAATTTAAAACTCAAACCTTTACTTTGCATTTGATATATTTTTTACTTTTTATTAGATTTCAATTTATAAAAATGTTTGATATTTATCGGCATTACCAAACCATTTTTCGTAGCATGATAGAGAGCAATTCGACCGGTCAATCGGAATACACCACTCTTTGGCAGGTCCAGCCACGGATTACAGGAAGAGAAATTTTGTTTTCAAGCTCATAACTGCGGACTGGCGAGTTTTTCTATTTGAAGCAAAGTATGTGATTCTTCATGACAGCAAAATATTATAAATTATGTGTGGGAATATTATAATATTACACATATTAACTATCCTGCCTGGATCCTAATCTTGCCTTTGTTCATGATTATCATTTCTGATTATGCCAAGATTTTGATTATCATGACTATTATTTCATTTGTATTGATTTCAGCAATCATGTGATTAGGCCAGGGCTAGAGCTGTTAGTATAACCCACTACTTTTGTTGACTATAGGGTGTTTGGAAGCGCAAAGTCCTTTACTCTTTAAATCATAAACTGCTTTGCAATGTTTTAACAATTCTTAGTCGTTTTTCATGTTTTTCAGTCTACTTCTTTGTTACTTTCCTTAACGGTGGAAAATTTATAGTTTTTCGGTTTTTAACTAATTAACTACGTAAAACTGACTATGAAGTATTGATTGAAACTACGTATCAAGAGGCCTAGACTCTATTTTATTCTGTTTACAGGAGTAAGGCTGATGTGCAAGGTTGGGTAGATGCAATCAATATAACAGCTGCTGCCTTGTCGTCACCACCATTGCCGGCACCTTGCTCCTCCAGGTTAGTTTTACTATACAGCCTCTGTGCATGGAGGCCAATTGTGGCCTGCACAGTCTATTATGTTCGAATCTGAGATGTCTTCTAATCACATAGCACAGTGTAATGTCGATTCCACTATGCTGTGTGTTATATAGAGCTCCAATTAGTATTCACTGCGGCTCCCCTAACTTGAGTAAGGTTCTGAAGTGATGACATCACAACAATCTATTTTTAGAAATTTTTTAAATCGGATTGCAAAACCTGAAAGATTATTATGAAATGAGATCATTGCAATTTTATGAAATTAATTATGAAAATTGTATATGAAATATTATGAAATTGATTGTTCTAAATATGAAAAATCAGTCAAAGGTGTTTAAGATTGGCTGAGATCTGGTCACATCTTTCCACATCAAGTCACTTATATTTGTTCATGGTTTTAAAATGTATGAACCAGGCCAAAACAACCTTTCGATCCACTATGAAAAGTAAATTTTCTTTTATTTTTAAGTCATTACCTAACGTTTCAAACATTGGAAAGTGTCGGACGAAATGTATGAAATGTTTATTAGGCTCTGATTGTTTTGCAGCAAACAGTTCACCCGTCCTGTGATGCCAGTTTCCGTCACTAGACTCAATTTGGTAAGTAAACTTCCCAAGAGAGAAGTTTCAGGAATTGCTAAATCTAGACACTAGATGAATCTCGACAAATTGAGACAACTGTTTAGTTCCATGTCATTCGATGGAAACTCACAGACTGGTCTTTCATTATTTATGTAGTGACAGATGATATTTTCTCATTGCAGGAACAGCAAATCAAGCGACACTCCGAAAGGGTGAGCAGCCTTTCCTTAGAATTGCTTCATAAGATGTGGAAATTGTTTGTACCTGTTCTAGATTATCCTCTTTTAACTGTTTGAGCCGCATTGAGATAGGGGAGTCGGGAAAATGTCTGGAATTTTCAATCAACCGACCCTTAAACAGTTCACCTAAGTGATTCATCATCATAGCTTCACTGAACTGACATTTTCCTGCTTGAGATTCTGACTTGTTACAAAGATTAGATATTTACTTATTGTTATAAGCCGATAAAAATGCTTAAATAGTAACTTTTTGCTATACTATGCTTGAGATTAGGCGAAAGCAGAGCGTTTCACGCCAGTGTTTTCTTTGAGTTGATCTTTATATTTTTTGTACCTTACTTAATGTGACTACCTGGCAGCTCTGTTTGTTGAAAGCAACGGTCTCTTAATAAAATGCTTAGAAAACAAGATCTGCTTTTCTCCATCTTGGCTGCATAAATATTGTCACCTATTTCCAAATCTCATGTTGGCCTTACCTTATAGTAGCCCCATGGACACCTTACAGTAGCCCCTGATTCTGTGCCATCTTTTTGATAAATCTGGAGGCCCTTTTTGTTTCAATAAAGTTGGTCCCGAGGATAAAGCAGGGAACACTTGCAAAGCTTTTCAATGACATTATAACGGTTGGCTTTTAATTTTGAGTTAAGTATTAACGCGAACAGGCGTCATTTAAAGAGGATTGACCGATAAATCTAATTGAAGATTTCAAGTTATTTAATTTCTTGATAATCTCAAGGAGCCAATAACTCATTAAAACTAATGTTAAACCATATTTGACTAATTCTTGTAAGTAGGTCAGCCAAGAACTTCAGATGAAAGGATTTTTACGGCAGTTGTCTTTAAATTCGACTGGCTGACTAAATTTTCTTTATATTGATTTCCAACTTTGGGGATAAGGTAATATTTACGAGGCATTTTGATACGTAATTCTGATCACTTTCATTTGTTATCTGAAAAGATTTATATTCCTCCCTTTACCGCTTGGGTATAATTCGAAGTTCGCTAATCTTTTAGGCTGAATCAATTGACAAGGATATGCAGAATCACAGAGAACTGCAACCGAATGAAAACTCGAAAGATTTCAAGGTAAAAGCTAATCGGTCGATGCTGAAGGCCTCTCTTCATAGATAATATAATCGAAATGAGTTGATCTAGGCTTAAGATGTCTTGATTCATCACATCTTTTGTGGCAAATTGCGAAGAATTACTTATACCGGGAACTACTAAATTTTTTAGCTAGACATCTTGTTTTTTAGAAATTATTTTCTATATTTCCATATCGGCTGCCTACGAAACACGGCTTTCATTTAAACCCCGTCAGTAAAATTGAAATTTTCGATTATAGACCGAAATGGCCTCAATTTACTTTCGCAAAACACAACCTGAAAAAGCAAGCGGAAATTATAAATCAATGCAGCTATAAGAGATAATTTATACTTAGCAATCATTGGAAGATCTCGGGGGGGGGGGGGGGGTGATCAAGGCTGATCCTGAATCTTATATTTAATGCACCTTAGTCCTAAAATGGTGACCCTAAATCGTAAATCTTAGGCACCTTTATTTGCCAAGCATCTGCAACTATTTCCGTTGCTGGTTATGAATATAGGAAATTTGTCTTATTGAAAATAAATGATTTGCATTCTATCTTAATACTTTTCATTTCAGGATTGGGTAGATAAAATGGATTACTTAGAGTTTGAGGTTCGTATAGTTCGTCTATGTGAACTTTTACAAAGATCGTGTTAAATGTGCAAATATCATTTCCTTTCTAAAACCTTTTCAAGTTGCTTCTCATTTGTCCTCTTGATGGCCGCACATCTTTGTGGTGAACTGGACTTTTCCAGATAATTCTTAATAATGCTAAATAAGTAGAACACGCTAGACAAGTTGACTAATAGTAAAATAATTCCAGAACCTTCTAGAGTTAGCCTTACGTAAGATGCTGTAACTTGCTTATTCAAGATTGTATTCCTCCACACGTGATATTGTACGAGTTTATTCTAGAAATTTCTTGTTGAAGAGTATATAAGGGTAACGTAGCTTGCTGTAGGTATTCAGTTTTTAGTTGAGGATTCGATGGATACATAAACATGACGCATTGTTGATTTCTTTGGAGAATAACTATACGGGCCTAAGCTGGAAAACGTACCTTATCATAGCGTTGAAAGAGACGCACTTTTGTGAATCTATTCAGTGTGTCACAGGGATTAAAAATTTACACCAACGCGGCCTTGGATTCCCAACATCTTCACCAAAGTGAATCTGTTTATATCATTGAGAGGAAACTCTTCCAGAGTTTTCCTTTTTTCCACGGGCAAATATTATTAGAGCCTATCTTCCAACGAGTAACAGATGAGAGACAATTGATTGTCGCCTCTGAAAAATTTTGTCATGTAGACAAACTTGGATGTTGGCTTGTTTTGTGTTGATATATTCGGTCTCTGAAAGGACAGATAATCTGCTTCGTTTGCAATCATTTTTCATAATTCATTAGATTAGTGGTATTATTATCTATCTAAAGCAATCGAAGATGTAGTTTTAGTTACGAAATTTGAACTTAAGCAAGTTAAAAAGAGACAATTTTGAATTGCGATTTTTGTGTGTCATCACTAATCTAGTTTATGAGAAAAATTAAATCAAACAGGAATATACCCGATTTTTTGAGTACCTTCGAAGAACACGCCCGATAATATGCTGCATTTCAAGCTTATTTTGGGCGTGATCAAGCTAATTCAGTAAAACTGTAGTAGCCTATTATTCTGATCCTCAAAGCGCTTGTCGCTGCTAGAGATAAATATTATTTCCCAAATTGATCTGCGCGAATAACTTAATATTGCTGTCGTCGTTTTGAACTGATCAATTGTTTCACCTGGCTGCATCATGATCAACGATTTTAATGATATTACGATGAACATCGTTACTTCTATTCTAAACTGTCAATATTTTTGTTCATTATCACAGTTGACATTAAGCAGTTTTATGCTCCCATCCACTCAAAAGGATTCCCTTCACGCATAACCAATAACCAAGTTAACCTCACTAGTATAAATTTCTACTCTAGTCGTTATAGGACACTCGTACCCTTAGGAGACACTATGAGGCACATAAATCCAACAAAGTATAGAAAGAAAGAAAAGAATTCCGTCAACAAAAGAGTAAACTTTATAAAAACAATATTTCGTCCCAGACAGCGATTTCCAGTATCAGTAGATTTTGTCAACTCAACAGAACAAAAGAAAAATAATTACCTGCTAGATTCACATAAACATATCTTAGTTCTTAAGATATCTATATTATTTATTCTTGTTTTATAACCCGGCCTTTTCAAGATCTTAGTTTCTTCTTATTTACTCTGACGTCTATAACTTTATTACAAGTTCTCTTTTCTGATTACAGTACAAGCGGTTCTCTGCTTATGGTAAAGTTCTGAGCCTCCAACGGCTGAAACAGAGGCTGGATTTCCTCATGTCAAGTCGAGAGACACCTGCTACCCGCACCGAGGAAGCTCCTTCTAACCGGCCCCTTCGCAGTAGCTCGATGAATGACATCGAAAGGTCAAACGGTGTAAGTCCGGCCACGCGGAGGAAGATGCGAGAAAGCTACCTTCGTGCAATTCATAATTAGAATATAAACAAATCGACCCAAGTAATTTTGGAGATCGATCAGAAGTGACGTTGTTGTCGTGTGATCATGGTTTTTCATGAAAAACGCAGAATGTATCACTTCACTCAAGCAACCTTGTTTTGAAAACTAGTCTAGAAATTTGAAGGTTTTGACCCCAGAATGGATTTAGCACCGAAGTTTCATTCTAGATTCAAATTTTCACATTCCAAGCTGTTATGATTTTGATCATGATAAGAAGGAGTCCGGAATTTTATAAGGGATTTGACCGTGAGAAATGACTGGGGCTGTGACTTTACACCCGGAATTATTTTTGCGATCAAATTCCTGATAGGTTGTCAAATTTTGTCCTATACGCAGTTCACAAATGCTTTTAGTTTGGAATTTTTAGCGGGACTTGAATAGTTTCGGTGCTAATTCATAATCCGAGTTCCAAAAATTTTATTTGAAGAAATTTTGTGAAGTTTCCTGATCGAGGTCGTTCATTTAAGTTATGTATAGAGTTTGATTGAAATGGTAGCTCCATATCGGATGATAGAAATTATCAAAATGTAAATGACAGAATGATCTGAAGCTGTCGATCATCAATTTCCCTTTGTCACTATTTTAAATATTCATAACCAACACCAGCAAATCATATCCAACCAATGCAACCACATCTTCATGAATTCCAGAAGATTCAACTATATCAAGAGTTTTTTGTGATTTATTATATTTTTCTTATTGTCAATTACGTAGATAATTTTGCTGTTTTAAATTCATATGAAGATAGCTATGTTGACTAATTGTCAAACCTAGTTTAATACAAATTATAAGAATTGTAATTAGATCTTGTATATGCCTTTGTAGAAATTAGAGCATGTTTATCTTTGATTTATGTTCGAAGTTTTTCATTAACTGTTTCCCGTAGTGCAGATTTCTATGTTAAATTAGAGAGACACCTAGCGATTCCTCCTTTAAGTGACCTGTATCAGTAACGGACCCCCAAAAATTACCAACAAATATCTTTGTCCCAAAATTTCTCTCCTACTGTGGCCTAGAGCCGTCTACTAGTTTTAAAGTTTCAGTGTCATTGCTGAGAAAGAGATTCCTTCGCGCACAAGACTCTGAAGTTAGTTTTCTAATGTCATGAATCCTTAGCATTTAACGATTATTTTCTTCATATTTTTTAACGAAAGACAAGGAATCTCAATTCAGACGAATGGTGCAAGAAGGATTAGGATAGCTCGCATACTGCGCATAGTTTTTCCTTCCTGGTGGAAGGCATATCTTGCATCCCCGTCTGCCGTTTATGTAAATTTGCATTGCCGATAAAAGATCTTCAAATTTCACCTTGCCTTTCATGCCACGTCAGATGAAATTTTAAATTACCTTTGACTTTTTAAAGACTCATTGCTAAAAATGGGCCTTTGCGAGCGTGGTGACGGTCCAAACAATGGCAAAATTTTCTACGGATTAACCAAAATTAATTTTAGACAGTCTAAAAATGCATTATGGGATGCTTACGTAGTGCAATGGCTCATTGTTAGCAATGGGTCTTTAAACAACAGTTGATCTTGTCCTTTGGATCTTCTAGGCATGTTTTCAACATCACTAAATGGTAATCTATAATTTTCATTGCTCCTGAAACAATCTTAGGGGTTTTGCTGGACATATACCCCTTTCAATTTCATTATTTTATCCTTAAATGTTTCCTTAAATGTTGTCAGAAGTTCAGGCAGTGCGAAATTGTTCTTTCAAGCTTTTAAATGTAATACGTTTTTAGTTTGCACATCACCACTACCTTTAAAGCATTCGGCTGCTACAAATTAGAAAATTAGGCATGTTACGTGTGACATGGTTTGGGTTTCAAATTGCGTATTTCTTCATATTCAGTGGTATTTATTGCAGTACATCTTCCTTTTTTGTGTCCATTCTGAACATCGCTTTAAGGATTGAGGCTCATGATTTTTATAGCTTCTGTCTTCTGGCCTTCGATGGTCACGAAGTTTGTTTTAGTAACGCCAGCTTGTTTCATAGCCTGCTCGAGTCGCTCTGTGGGGAAAACCAGCGAACAATTGATGGTGGATAGAAGCTGTTCTCCCATTAACTTGTTAGATGGCTTCCGCTTTGTTCGTAAAAACTTCTTTAGAAAAGAGAAAAGTACTTTTAGCATAAAATCTGAAATTGGTTGATCAAAAACGGAGTTGCAGAGGAATTTACAAACCTCGATGGTAGAAGCTGCCACTATGTTTTGCGGCTTTTGCATCGCTTGAGTGATGGCTACTCGAACTCCGAGATGGTCTATTCACTCAACCATAGACAATAGAAAGGAGAACTGGATTGGCAGCGCGGCAACTTCAAAGCGTGGCGTGCAGAAGGTTCATTTCCGGTTGCAAAGGAGAGTCCGCGATTCTCGGATTCGACCAATTTGTATCTTCACATTTGGCGAAAATGGATAACAGAATTGGAACCTTCATGCTAAAATTAGTCTGTGCCAAAAATTTCAAATTGTTTGGGCCGTCAGGCTGCGAATTACCCCATTTTCAAAATTTAGCTTTTCTTATACATTTCAATGGAATTTGTTGCTGTAGTGAATTTTTTTCACTGCAGCAGCAAGTTCCGGTCAACTCTAAAGAAATATCTGAATATTCGAAACAAAGTAACATGCGACCGAGCAGTCCAAACAACATGAATTTTTCAGTATAAATTTATTTAAAGATGAAGATTTCAATTCTGAAGTCCATTTTCGAAAAAGATCCGTAGATAGCGAGATACAAAATTGATGACGTTAACTTAAATCCATCAAGAACAAGGATCAAATGAAAACTTTAGAAAAATTGGCATAATTTGGAGTTGAAATAGTTGGAGCAAGTTGTTGCGTATCCAACTGCAGACTTGTAAAATTAAATATCCTCACTTGAGTTTTTTCAATAATAATCGCGTCGGCAACCCAGAATGGACTGCCAAGCTTGTTCACTATGTCGATAGCTGTGACAAGGGTTTCAAGGTTAAGAGTGCAAAGATATGTGCTGTGCACTTCAAAGAGGAATGTATCTTTATAGGTATGTGACTGGATTTATTCAAGCATTTTTTTTATCTATTTGATAGTGCGAAAAACGAGTCAAATGCAGACTTTACCGGTCGACGGACTTCCCACTCTGCACGCATCTTAAGTGAACCTCACTTTGCCTATCGACCAAGATAATCTTGGAATACATTTTAACCATTTTTGTTTTCGACATAAGAATCTTTACCTCCTCACGTATCAATCATTGTCGTTTATGTTCTGTCCTGATAAAGCCCTCCACATCCTGTTCACCAAATATGATATGTATATTATAAGATTTGAAAGCTTACCAAACCTTAAAGATACCAAACCTACTGACTTTTTCTGTTCTAGATGAGAACGGATCCCAGAGTTGAAGGAGAACAGTTTGCCAACTGAATTTCTTCCTTAAAAAAGCATTGTAACACCAAAACCAGCACCCAGAAGAGAATTACAGTATTTAAAGCCACAAGAGCCAAAAGCAATCAAGTATGCTTGTTTAGACGATATTAAAGAGAAGTATTCTCCAGGCAGTCGAGGGCTGGTGCACTCGCAGGCCCACTTCCTGAATAGGATTTTTATAAGGTATTAGCTAACATTAAGTCAAGAGGACAAGGCGCACTATTGTTGCTAGTCCCTAGTTGCCAATCCAGCTCTCCTTTCTATTATCTATGACTCAACAGAGTGGTCACTGGCTCTTAGGACAGCCATTCTTAACCTCCGGCCCGCGGGCCAACTCCCGCCGAACAAGATTTCATCCGGCACGCCAATTGTTTTTACCTCGAACAATTGTTAGCAAAACACTGTCAGAATTTGGAATTCGATTCATCTTCGTTTTTCTTTATCCGCTCTGATGTCTTCTTTTTCTCTACAATAAATTTTAATATGCATCTTGTAGACAGTTATTGGTCCGAAAAGGAGTACTCAAATAGGAAATGGTTTACTTAATCATTAGATTGTTTTATATTATTTCATTAACTGATTTTTATTCATTTCTCTTCTTCATCTTATGCAATGCTAAGACCCTTGCTTTTTCATGTCAACTTTTAAACAGATAAAACTATGGAACGGAACCTAGTTATAAAAAACCTTAAGAATATTGCCTTGGATTATCTCTTGTTAAACTCTATTTGAGGTGCAGTAATATAATCTAAAATTTTTCTTGCCGCCAACCATGGCACAGAAAAGAAGTCTATTTTTCTGATTTTCTACTCCAATTATTTTTCCTGGCCCTCGGTACGAGGCTACAGGCCAAAGTCCAGCTTCTATCGAGTGATCATGTGAGGTCTTTCAGGAGTGGGAGTTTTCAAGAAGAAATGGTTTGCGGTGAACTCTGCCTAATAACTAGCACTGCCGTCTTTGCCACAGTCATAGCACTGTTTTGGCTGGTGTATAATTTCTTGAGAATTGACAGTTCAAAGGTATTGATCAGAAATTTTATTTAGTGACCCTATGTGCTGTGTTGTTCGTTTTATGTACCCAAGGCCTAGGCCCCATGGAAAAGATGAGATTTCACATTCAAAAGTTCTCAAAAATCATAAATGCAAACTTGAAAACAACTGGAGAAAGTAGTGATATTCCAGTAAAATTGTCCTTTTCCCCTGAATTAAGCATGGCAAAATTAAACACTCGACAAAAGCACTGCACATTCAATAAAAGGAGAAATCACTGTCAACATTTATCATTGAGAAAAAATGTTTCTCAAGCAGTTTTTAGAATTCTTTGTCACAGTGAGATAAAATTTAGAGTCAAGAATTCAAATGGTTTTGAATCTTATCTGCCCTAGGTTAGGCTCCTGAAAATTCTTCAAAGTCCAGTTTGTTTATAATATATTTCCAAAGTAAAGTATGGCATCACTAAAGACGTTTGCTGTACAAAAAAACGGGGGACTTATGGTTGTGCTCATTCAGAGAAATTTCTGTGCTTGGTCTAAAGCAACTCATCATGGAATTAAGTGTATGATATTTCAAAGAACACTAAAAACTGCTCAGGTACATTTTTAATGTTTATTATTTGCTAGACTTTCTTACTGATCTCCTGTTTCAACGAACCAAATGAAAATGAGCAAATGCATATTAATTTTTTTAAATAGACCATTTTCGTTGAAAAAGTTTGATTTATGTGAATCAAATTCTTTTTTTGCAAGCTGGAATATTTTTTCAACTTGCCTGCTGTTCTTCTTTCAAAGGTAGATGAGAATTCCAAAAGACATGGTGGAGAACTTGTAGCTGAAGTACTCCAGGTAAGAAAGCCTGAATAAAAACATTTTTTGGGGAAAAATATTTTGCAAATGTCTATGCACAGTGATCTTAACTGAAATACATGTTGATATTAAAGGAGAACTGACACGCAAAAATAACTTTAGCTTATTCTATGCAAAATTTGTCGCTGACTTCAAATCTGGAAAAAGTTTTCTTCTAAGATTCACCGTTTTTCTGATATTTGCACTTTTATCCGTCAATTACGTCACAGCCAGGACTCGGGAATTTCCCGAAGCGGAAACAAGATTATCGCCAGGAGTTGTTAAAATTCTCGGTTGACGTCACAAGTGACATGTTAACAATGCCGTTGTAAAGGCTTTCACCGCAACGGTGAAAGTACAAATGAAGTTTCGTGTTTTACTGAAAATAGTCTGCGGTGAAAAGACAAAAAATTGTCAGGCATTTCATTTATAAGTATAAAAAAGCTAGAAAATCTTAGCTACATGTCTGCTAGGACGCTAATATCCACAGAAAATTTATTTTTTTTGCCATGATATCTTCGAACCAGCATGCTTTGAAACATTGAAAGAACCTCTAAGCTTGTGAAAAAAGGAGTCCACTTTGTTTGAAAACTGATACCGTTTCTTCAAAGTTTTTACTTTTATAATTACAAATGAAATCGCAACATGGGGGAGGGGGGATGAAGCAATAGCCAAAAGACAAACGAAATCTAGTGGAGACGGCGGGAAAAGCGATCCTGCAGCCTGCTTTGGGTACAGAAATATGAATTCAAGAAAAAACCTTGGTTGACGGGAGCTGCGAGTGTGACTAAATAATAATTTCACTGAACTTTATTATCGTTTTTTAACAGAGGTTGAGATACTAGGGAATAACCTAGTCTTGAAAAAGACCATCCCCTACCCAAGTCAAAATTGTTTGCAAAAGAAGATAATGCGCCAGTTGATATTCCTATGACAACTAAAAATCATTTTCTTTGACTAAGAAATCAAGTTCTGTGACTAAGAGCTAAGAGCCTATTTCGTAGATCCAGATTGTTCAACAGCCTTAAAGGTAATTCCCGAAACCCTTCACACCCGGTGAAAATGGCATATAATCCGCACAAGTGAGACTTTCAACCCGCCTTTACTATTCAATACCACGATACAGTTAACGAGTTTGAAACATGGAAAAACAATCATAGAATGCTATATTGATAGTGAATAACTTGCAGTTCCGTTGAGGGCATCATAGGCATTTCAGCGAATTAGGCCATACAGACAAAGCAGTCTGGACAAAGACCCCTCAATCTGAAATGAAATTCTAGTTTTACGATACCTGATCCCATTTAGATTGTAGCAATAGCAATGTTTTTAATAGAAACTCCATATCAGTTTGTACTTCCAGTCTGTTCTTTGTTCATAATATTGTCACTGTTGAGCCATGGAACGACTGTCTGCCCAAGCGGCAGCGCTGGTTGGTAGCAAAAACTCAGACGGCTGAAATTTTCCATTTGTTTCGAAATCAGTGTAATAAAACTCGGATTCAGAGTCCCGAACCATTGAAAAAGTCAATTATGTGTCAAAAAAGCAAAATTAGCTCCTTTCAGATGCACAAAATAAACATTTGTCCGCAGCATTTTCTTAAAGGTTTCTATAGAGAAACACAATACGTGCTGAGAACATGTCACTTGTGACGTCAAAGATGATCGCCCACTCGCGACGATTTTCGCCTCGAGTCTCAAGTTGTCGGAACAATTGTCGTTTCTCAACTTAAAACGCCTGTATTTCAAAAACGGTAACTGTGATTTAAAAAATTTTTCCGATCCCGGAATTTTTCTTGTCACAAACTACCGTTTTAGCCAAACTTATTTTTGCGAGTCAGTTCTCCTTCAATGAGAATGTGTATTGAGGGGTTAGACATTAATCGATATACATCTTTCTATATCACTTTGCTGCTTCTTTCCTTATATTACTGAATTTTGACTTGCATTTTAGTCTCATGGGGTGAAAAATGTCTTCACTCTTTGTGGTGGTCACATTTCACCTATCCTTGTTGCTTGTGAGCAGAAAGGAATCAAGGTCATTGACACAAGACATGAGGTAAAATAGATCAATTATGAGTGATTCCATAACTGAATGAACATTTCATTGAGCTATGTTTACAAAGTATGTATCATGGTCTCCATTTGAATGAATATCAGTTTGAGAATGTTTTGACCTGATCAATGGTTTTTTTCTTTTTTGTGAATTTATTATATTGACACCAGAATAAAGATTTGTGAATTCATATAATATTTTATACTACAACATTTCCTGAGATACAATGTTGTTTATATCTAATGGGTAAGTAGAGATAAACAAAATTGTGAATCAGGCTATAAAACAAAACCTAATTGATAGCCTGATACACAATCTGATTGTACATCACTTGATTGCAAAGCTCCAGGTTATAAATTAAACCCTAAATTGGCATACAATTTGAATGCTAGCCCACTCTGCATTAGAAGGTACCCTATGAGAACAAAGGGAAGGTTAAAGGCAGGAAGGAAAATAACTGATCATCCTTCTTGATTATGTTGGCTTGACAGAAGTTTTCTATTAGAATGGTACTTCAAAACCTCATAGATGAGATTTCCTTTAACTTTTACTTGATGTACCACATTGTCTCATGATATCATGCTCATAAGTTGGAAGCCCGAGATTTTTTCAAGATCCTCAATTTATATGTTTCATCTCCAGGTAAACGCTGTATTTGCAGCTGATGCTGTTGCAAGGCTTTCTGGGACTGTTGGTGTGGCTGCTGTGACTGCTGGTCCAGGTTTGTAGAAAAGGTCAACAAGATGATAAGCAAAAACTATTACAACTAAATATTGAATTTGTACATGAAAGAAAATATACATATGCATGTATGGCATTTTGAGCATATTTCTTTAATAAGATAGTAAGCAGTTGGCATTTCCAATGTGCAGGTGGACAGCTTCTGATCTTAAGTTTGATTTACTGTCTCATAAACAACAAAATGATTTCCCAACTGCTTACTTATAGAAGTAAAATGCTTAATCTGTAATTACAAGTTACTTACATCTATTGCTCAATCTTGTTTCTTTTAAAATACCTTTTTCTCTCTATCCTCAAGGATTAACAAACACAGTGACAGCTGTTAAAAATGCACAAATGGCAGAATCACCTTTGTTGTTGATGGGTGGGGCAGCAGCAACACTTCTCAAGGTATGTAGTTGCCATAGGAGCTAAACCTCTGTCAGGGGAGGTCACATATGGAAAATTGAAGCTAAACCACTTGGGTGAGCGACTGAAAAATCAATTGAAAATAAAGCAGCTTTTAGATCTACATTCATTATGCCAAGCTTTCGAGTTTTGGTATGTTTTCTTAAAGTAGATAACACAATGGTTCCCTTGTATGTCTTAATGCCATTGTTCTTTGGCAAATCATGGTGAATTTATTTCTTCAACTTCTTTCATGCCTGGTAAACCAACTCAAAGTTAAAGTTTAGCAGCAATGGCACAGAAAAGCTGATCTTAACAATGCTATTGAGTTGCAATATCATATTTTAAGATTTTCAAGACAGTTCAGATTTTCAATAGTTATTTTTTTCGATCTTCAATTAAAATCCACCAGAAAAGTGTGGCTAGTATTTGCAAGCACATGCTGGTACATTACCATTTCAAATTCATAAATAGTTTCAGTCTTCAGAATTCATCTTTAAAAATTGAAATGATGATTGCAAATGATACTGAAAGCAAACAATATGAAACCTCTCAAAAGCCTTCATGACTAAAAGGAATTTGGTTAGCAGCACAAAAGAGAACAACACCCATGCCTAGATTTTATAGCCCCAAGGAGCCATTTGGTAGCCTTGTTTTCTGTTCTGAAATAGAGTAAGGGACATTTCAGATTCTGGTTTTCCACAGGGTAGAGGTGCATTGCAAGATATCGACCAGATGTGTTTGTTCAAGCCCTTATGCAAATACACAGCTACAATCAAGAGGTTTGCCCTACTTATGATGCAATACAGAAATTGTAGCTGCTAACAAGATATATATTATATATATGTATTTATATAATATAAAATAGAATATAGACTAGAAATGAGACATGTTTTCTGTTACTCCGAGTTTCGTGCTTACGCACTCATCAGACAGACTATAGTCTATTGCTCTGTGCTTTTGCACATCGAGCACTGTCATGTCAGAATAGACAACGCAATCTGGAATATGTATTTAAATATATATATATATCTGGATAATGCTAAGTAAAACTGCTCAAATGATCTTTTTGTATATGTTTTCATAACAGTGTAACTAAAGATATGTTTAGAAACAGTGAAAGTCCCTTATTTTGAATTGTATTGTGCTGACATTGACTACATTGGTTTCAAGTAATTTTGGTATGTTTTTAACCTTTCAGAGTTGCTGACATCATACCAACACTGAAAAAGGCATTACAGGCAGCTCAATCTGGGACACCAGGTTTAACTTTCATAATAATCATAATACCCATCAGTCATAGTTATTATCATCAAAGTTCTATAATTATATTCATAACTAGATGATAATATCTCCATGTGTTAATGAAAGTCAACATTCAATCAGTGTTGCTGACTCACAAAGCTTTTGAGATGTTGAATTTGAGATGCTGATAACTGTTGATATCCCAGAATATTTCCAAGATCTTTGTTCTTTTTAGGACCAGTTTTTGTAGAGTTCCCAATTGATGTTCTTTATCCATACCATTTGGTTAAAAGGGAAGCTGGAATAAAGGTATTGATATGACATTTTTATTTTCACATCTGATATCTTATGTAACATTCTTGCACTATTGAGTCTTGTACAATTTTTACATTGTTGGTTCCTTTATCTTGAATGACTTAGAAAAACCAGCTATTTGGCACCTAATGTACATTTACAAGAAAAACAGCTATTGTGTAGACAGAAGAAGTTCGTTTTTTACCTTAGGGCTCCACTAGTGATATTTCAATAGGCAAGCAGCACTGATTACGCAACCTGTGCTTGCCTTTCTGATTGGCCTATTCTGATTGGCCTATTCCGATTGGCCTAATCCGTTCCAAGACTTAGTATATATTTCCTAGCTTAGAGGTTTTGATCTATGTTCTGATGTTTTATACCTTGAAGTGTGTCCAACCAAAAGCTCTAGAATTTTTCAAAATGTTTGCTTTTTTCAAGACCATTTTTGATTTTTTTACCGCCAAAAGATTGTTTTCATCTTTTAAAGAGGATCAGACCGTCCTTTATCTGTTAGTCAAATGTAGGTAATGTTTTATTGAAACTAGCTAAATCTTATTTGCATAGGTTGATAGAAATGAAATTACTCTATATCAGTTTGTCATATAGTGCTCGATATTTTATAGGCAAAGCTGTATAGGCTTTGGTTTATTGATTCTGAGTTGCATGGTTCTAAGTTGCAACTCCGAGCTTGATGCTTTATACAATCATCAGGCAACAGCTGAAAAAGAAAGAAAAACTTTATTTTGTTCATTATACTCACACATTTAGCTGTTATTGCCATTATGATACTGGTGATGAAAACCCTATCTGTATTTTTATTTGCAATGCCTCTCCTTCATTTAAATCTTTTTTATCAAGAGCTACTTTTTATCATTTCAGGAGAATCCTGTTGGTTTGCTTCCAAAAATTGTCAATTGGTAAGTGATCATTCTCTCTTCTGATTTTCATATTTTACATTTAATGGCAACTTTCATTCATAGCTACTGTTTATTCTTTCTGACAAAGACAAATTTTTTCTTTCAATCTTTCCTTCAACTGCCATAGGTGTTATTTTTCCTCTGCGCCCACCTAATGAGCATCTCAAGTAACAGATTCATTGCCTTATTTAGGTAGTTAACTTCTAGGAAGAGTCTTTTCTCCATTACAGTTAAAACTGACCATTATTTGGAAATTATTGGCAGTGTCACATTTTGACATGATGACGATTTTGCTTTCAGGTACATTACAAGGCATGTTAACAACCTATTTGCTGGTGCTTGGGAAAAGCGTGATAGCTCACCACTTCCTGTTGATATACCTATGCCATCAGACAACCAAGGTAAAACGGAAATTCAATTCAGATATATATTCCTACCTTTTCATTTTATTTGATGGAAATTTTCTCTTTTTTGATTAAAAATACAATTGTATTTGCAATTTTACAAATAAGCTGTCAAATTTACCTTGGACAGATAGGCATTGTTTCAAAGTTTTTGTCATCAGAATAAGGGTAAATCATTTATTAATGAGGATGTTTAAGCAAAGCTAGAGAATGGGGGCGAAATATTTATAATATATGATTTCAATGACTTTCTCGACCTTCTGATTGCAACAATGGCTAAACTTACTTACTTACTTACTTACTTACTTAATTACTTACTTACTTGCTCAATTACTTAATTACTTACTTACTTACTAAGCATGATGAATATTCTCTACCCTTATGGACTCCCATCATTTTTTTAGCCTGTTTCTTTTGATACCAGTGTCTTCCTCCAATTGTTCAATGTAGGTCTTCGCTTGTTCGCCAACATGGTGTCTTTAATATGATGGTTCCAAAAACAGCAAATCATGGGCTAGTTCTTTGCTTCTCATGCAGTGCCCCACCAATGACAGTCTTCGATTTCTGATAGTAGTTGCCTGCTTGGGAGTATTGATGGCTTCAAGTCATTGCATCTACCTACGATTTTCATGATCGAAATCCAATGTTTGTTTTTTCTTTTTAGTTTCGGAAGCAATATCAATTATCAAGAAGGCTAAAAAGCCTTTGATCCTACTTGGAAGCCAGGCAACCCTTCCTCCAGTCAGCGCTGATAAATTACAACAGGCCATTGAGGTTGGCTAGATTTCTAATATTCATGATGTCATGTATTGAGAAATTAATGCATTTATTTCGATATCATCTTAGCAATTAAGTACCTCCAGAATTTTTTCCTTCGATCTAAGGTTGTGGTATCGGTGACATTATCCTGAAAAATTTCCATGTCATCAAAAGCGCCCGAATGTGTCTGTAATACACCTATTGCATCTTAGACTGTTACGGCAATATCAATGCTTTTAGGCACTAAACTGGGCAGCAATGTATGCAATATTTTCATCCATATTTTAGCACACAGAAATTATATTTCATATATGATTGAAATGATTTTGTGAGATTTGTTTTCCTCGTTGTCAGCTGGTATTTTTTTGCTAAATTTTTGTTCCAAATTGTTTATTCTATTTTTTATTCTATCTTTCAGTGTTGTTGTTCATTTACAGTTGTATCTAAATAATATCATTGTATAATGTAATCAGAAATCGAGATTTCTTATGTGTAACTTTTCTTCGTAGGCCTTGGGAATCCCCTGTTTCCTTGGCGGTATGTCGAGGGGCCTTCTGGGTAGGAACAGCCCGCTCCATATTAGGCAAAGACGGAGAGATGCTTTGAAAGAGGCTGATGCTGTCATTTTGGCTGGTATGTTAATTGTGATTCTGTTCGTTGTTCTTTTCGTTGTTCGTTGTTCTTTTGTCATTTGGAGGCTTGCTTTTATTGTTAGTGTATTTTGCCACTCTATGTTGGGATGCACAAATATGAAACTGGTAGATTAGATTTCATTTTTGGTTAGACATTTTTCAACTAAGTAGTATAAAATTAAAAGCACTAGGTGCGATCTATTTGTGCTGAAAGGACCCTGCTCTTAGGTGTATCGGTTGCCAAGCGCAACTTGTTCTAAAATGTCCAATATAAAACTTCTGGACATTGTGCTTTCAACGGAATGTGCTTTTCTGTAATATTTCTTGTATCTTTTGAAAAGCCTGCAAAATTATTTGAGCATATAGCATTTGTATAGATGTTTCTCAGGGTTATCAAATCACAGTTGCTTTGAGTGTTGTTGCATTCCTGTGGGCAACATTGCAGTGTCTCTTTAGTAAAGCTTTGCATCAATTCGCTTCATGTATAAGTGTGTTTTGATTCCCAGGGACTGTTTGTGATTTCCGATTGTCTTATGGTCGAGTTTTGAATCGGAAATCGAAAATCATTGCCGTTAACAGAGACAAAACACAACTGATGAAGGTTAGTTGTCGCCATCATCGTTTGTTTGCTTTTAAGGGATACTAAACTATTAACAAGAATTGCCCCAAGTATGCCTTGTTAATTGAAACCGTAGTGAGGTCATCACAATTGGTTCAGCAATGTTAGAACTTGATCAGAAATATCTGGAAATGTGGTTAAGAAAATATGCAGTTCTTTCGAAATTCCAATTTATTTTCTATTGAACAAATATATTTATGTCGTTTTTTTGTTTTAGAACGCAAGTGTATTCTGGAATCCAAATTTAGCTGTGCAAGGTATGAAACGATAGATCTAAAAAGTACTTTGCACGTTTGTACACTCTATTTATATTGATAGTTTTTACAATCCTTTCTTTCGCTTTATTCTGCTCATTTTTTGCTGTGTTAAAAAGCAAATATTTGGCACTATATTCATGCATGTGTTTCGATTTTCCAGCTGATCCTGCTAGTTTGCTGGTCTCGATTCAACAGAAGATCGGAAGTTACAAAGTGGATACAGAATGGACCACCATGTTGAAAGACAGGGATAACGAAAAGGAAAAAAGCAACAGGTAAGACAGCACTCTTTATCAGAATTATGATCTTTTTACGATCTTGAAAGATTACACGTTTTACCTAGCTCCCGATTTGGCTGATGGACAAGGAAGTATTCGAGTTGTTTCTTTCCTGCCAGTCGTCCTTGCCCTTGCATTCAGTAATTCGCTACTTCCAAAACCGAAACAGTTTCGACTCATCAAGCCCAGCGCACAATAGTAAGCTTTTAATCAGTGATTGCTATTATGTTTTCTTGTAAAAAGATCACAGTTCCATGCGAGATTTTGTTGCATGGAACGAACAGCGTATATCGATTGTTCAATAGCGAATAGCGGTTTTGTCGTATTAAGACATATATTTCAGTCGCTGGCGCCAAAAATCGCTACTCTGGACTTGG